CCCCCCCCCCCCCCCCACCCCCCCAGCCTCCTCTCACCGTAGCCGCGCTGCAGATGGCCACTTTTGTTCTCCATCATCACCAGCTTCCGCTTCAGCATCTCGTTCTCGCTCTGCTTTCGGGAGATTTCCAGATGCAGAAACGCACATTTGTCATCGACCAGCTTGGAGATCTCTGCCACCGCCGCCTTCACCAGAACCTCCATTATTGAGGACAATTGTGTTTGGAAGGGAACGCACGTCGCCATGATGATCCAGTTTTTTGTTTTTTCTTCAAAAAGTCATTTGAGATTAAAAAGGCGTAAAGGGAAAGGTCTACCCCCAAAAGTGGATATTCTTAACATAAAAAAGGCGCAAACAAACGACGCAGGGGAAGCTTTACATCCCTGTTTGTGGCTGCTAGCTGGGACCGTCCTTCCGTGTGGCGGAAGCTTTTTACCGTAAACGCTGTAATTGGCGCGCAGCGAAAATCTGGTCCGGCGGAAGAGACCAGAGACGGTCCAAACAAAAGTAAAACAGACCCCAAATCACGTCGGTGCGGGTTGATGTGGGTCGATTTGGCTTAACTAAAGCTCAGTTTCGGCTTTAGTTTGGATTGACTGTATTTTGGCCTGTTGTTACCTGTATGGACTGAGAGTTATAGATATTTTTATGTGTGATGACCTTAAATGGGGGACAAAGCAGGACTGAACCCATATTCCCACAGTGCATACTTGATTTTTAATTAGTAAAGGACTACTAACATAATTTTGCACCATGGTTGGCATTTATAATCAGTATTTAAGTATTTAACCCTGTACCAAGGGTACATTGATTCAAATCAGGTGTGCAGAAACATGGAAAGCTCTGGGGGAAAAAAATGTGTGACTTGTAAACAGAAATGTATTAAAATAAAAGTTTCTGTTATTGGATTTGACATTTTTCTCTTTCGACAGTTACTTCAAGAATATGAGAGAAGTGAGGGCGTATTCAGTGTTCAGTAATCATTAACCTACAATAATGATCATTACAAGAACCAAAGAGACAGACTTGATGAAACATTTTTTATTTTTTGGAAAATATAAAATAAAGAAATTCAAACATCTTCAACCATTTTCCTTCCATACAAATTGAAAATGATAATAAATACCATGTGATAATGTTGACTTGTGCTATAAATGTATTATCATGGATTAGCAAATGGAAAGTCATAAATTAAGAGAATAAGCAACGTATTTCTAAAAGGCATCAACACTGCAGGTGAATGTTTGAACCTTAAATAGAAACACCCACCTTTTTTTTTTTTTTTTTTGCGCCACATCTGGTTGTTTTAATTTGAATATCCACTTATTTTCAGAACTAACCTGTGGAAATAAATATAGGAGGCAACAAAACCAAAGAGAAGCTTGAAACTCCTGGAGGTGCTGGAACACTTTGGGTGTGGCTGAGGTAGAAGGCTTTGCTAATGCTGCGTTTGTTGGTTCTAGTTCATAGAGATGTCTGATGTCACACTTAAATAACTTCATTTTGCCATTTGATAAACAAAACTGGCAGAAGAACGCACTAAGATAATTCATTGGTAATCTGGAGCCAGTTCCAGAACCTTTTTGTGAACTGATAACAGTTTATTCCACACAATACTTACAGTCAGGGTCATAAATATGAGAACTGGTGCTTTTTATGGCCATTTTTGCCAAAAACTGACTTTTTATACTTCATATTTTCTATTAAATGCAAAAATGTCACGTTCAAGTTAAGTTGCAGATGAAATACAGGCTGAAGAAAGTTTATATTTACATTAATCTCTTCCTTTTCAAATCATTTAACTTTTTCAAATGGGAGTTGTTTTTGTTTTATTCTGAAAAGAACTCATTTAACCCTATAAACCCCCCCCCTCCCCCCACAAAAAGGATTTAAAAATAAATTCACACTGAAATCTTTGTTTGGCTTTCTAATATAATGTAAGAAAATAATCAAAGAAAGGGAATTTCTTTTTTTTTCTTTTTTTTTCTCATCAAATTTCTCAATTGTGGCAACTTTTTTTCCATTAACTAAAATACAAAAGAGAACTCTCTGTAGCGTGTTTTTTTTTTTTTTTTTTAAAAAAAGTTTTTACTTTTAACGGGTTTCCGGGGTTTTTGTGTTTAAAGCGGCACCGCTGGGCATTAAAGGGTTAAACCTGTCCTTATTTAAGCGGTCTCTCTGGTCCCAGATGAAATCTGAGGGTGAAACGGGTGACCCGACTCACGCGGAGTAGACAAAGGTCTGCTTCCTGTCTGGGGCTCTGAGGCTTAGGGGACGGTTGGGGTCTTTATGTGGGGTCTACGGTCACTCCTTCTCTCCGGCGCCGGCGTGCAGGCGGGCGTGCAGCTTCAGGACGCTCATCTGGCCGAAGCTCTCCCCGCAGACCCGGCACCTGAAGGGGGGGGCCGGCTGGCAGCGGTGCTCCTGGAAGCTGCTGAAGCCGCCGAAGCTCTGGCCGCAGCCCGAGCAGATGTAGCTGCTCTGGGCCCCGTTGGCAGTCCGCCCGCCCCCGGCCTCCATCGCCGGCTGGACTCCGGCCGGCTCCGGCCGTTCCCCGCCGTCTGCGGGGGGCGGCGGCCCCGGCGGGGAGCGCTCCCCCTGCTGACCGCCGGCCGGACCCAGGTCCGGGTCGGACGTCCACAGCGGGCCCGGGTCGGTTTCACCGCCGGCCGCAAAGGGACTCTGGCCGCGCTGACCCTCGCCGTCATGGGCGTCCGCAAAATCCTCCACGGACGGATTATCGGGCATGGAGAACAACAGCGGAGGCGCCTCCAGCAGCTCTGCGCTTTCTCCTGGTGGGAATGACAAAAAAACAAAACAAAGACGGTTAAGTCATCGGAGCTTGTCGGCACGCCGACTCGGCTCTACTCCAGACGTTCAGATCTGAGGCCCGGAGCCCCGAAAACGCCGCCGAACCGAGGGGCGCTAGAGCCGAACCTCCTGACCCACGCCGACTTCCGGCGGAATTCCATAGCCGACCGGGCTCAGGATTCCCGGGGCGGCGCTCACCGTTGCCGTGCGTCTTCATGTGGCTCTTCAGGCTGCTCTTCTGGTTGAAGCAGCGGCCGCAGACGGGGCAGCCGTAGGGCTTCTCGCCGGTGTGGATGCGCAGGTGGCGCTCCAGGTGTCCCGCCCGCTCGAAGCTCTTCCCGCAGAAGGAGCAGTCGAAGCTCCTCTTGGCCCGGCCCTCCTTCTGGGAGCGGCTCCTCCTCTGGCCCCGGCCGCCCGGGGAGCCCTCGGTGGGGGCGGGGCCCGGGAGGTCGTCGGGGGCGACGGCGGCGGGGACGGTGGCGTGCGGGTTTCCCTGGAGACAGAAGGCGGCGGCGGCGGCGGCCTCGGCCGGAGGCTGCAGCAGCTGCGCGATGACGGGGAACGGGCCCACGCCTGGCGGCGAGCCGCTCAGGAAGTCGGCGGCGCCCAGCTCGGCGCCGCTTTGGAAGCCGGACGGCCACAGCGAGCCGCCGGGGTCGCCGTGGTCACCGGGGTCAGCGGCGCCATCCGGGGGGTGGGTCTGCTCCTCGGGAAACAGGGCTCCGGCTTTGTCCTCCTCCTCAGGCTCCGCTTTGACCTGAGAAACGTCCTCCACCATCACGCAGTTCTCTGGATCATCGGCGTGCGGGCTCCCCGGGGGGTTCTGGGTCTGGTTCTGCTGGTCCACTTGGATCTCACCCGGTCCGGACTGAGTGCCTGGTTGAAGGGAAAGGACACAGTTTTGACAAAGTAATGATCATATTAATACCAAAGAGACACTGTGGGGGGGGGGGTGGCTATCTTTAAGGCTTGTCCAAAACACGGCCGCCATCTTGAAAGCCGCCATCTTGGATAAAGGTTAATAGGAGGTGCAGAACCGTCTCAGAGATCCATCGGCCTGCCAGATGTTCAACATCTGCTCTGGTTCAGAGGTTATCACCCCGGAGAGCTGCAACATCTGGAAGGCGTTCCCGTGCTGAACACGTCAGCCGGCTGCGATCCTCTTCAGCCAATCAGCTACATTCCTGCAAAAACTCCTTATGGTCGGTTACTCACATCTCCCGTGAATCTTCACGTGCCCCTTGAGGCTGCACTTCTGGTTGAAGCTCCGCCCACACAGCTGGCAGCCGTAGGGTTTCTCCCCGGTGTGAATCCTCTGGTGGCGCTCCAGGTGTCCGGAGCGCTCGAAGCTTTTCCCGCAGTACGAGCAGACGAAGCCCCTCCTGAAGGCCCGCCTCCTCCCGGTCCTCCGCGGGCTAGGCCCGGGGTCACACGGGGTCAGGCCGCCGTCGTCCCCCCACCGGCCGCCGTCCTCCCCCGGCCGGCCCGGCTCCCCCCCCTCCCACGCCAGCCCCTCCGTGGGCTCCCACTTCAGCAGCGCCCCGGGCCCCGGCAGGGCGCCGCGCTCCTCGTCGCTCACTGAGAGGTCGCCGCCGCCACTCTGACTCTCTGTGGAGAGACGAGAATCTGTCAAATAGAAAAGACAATTACTGTCATGAGAGTGTTCATTTTCTTTCAATTGTATTCAAATATATTGAATTCATGCATGAATCCAATCCATATTCTTTTGGATTTAAGGTTCACATTTAGCTGTTTTCATCAAAAACTGGAGATAAATGATGGAGCATTTCAGTTTGGGAGGGTTTAAGGAAGTAAGTCTAATTTTCCGGTGTGGAGTTAAAGTGACGTCTGACAGAATCTGTTGGACCTTGAGTTCATTTTGGATTAAACCGGCTCTTCTGGTGGGATAAAATGTGTGTGACTGCGGCTGTGCTCTCCGGCTTTGCCCGCTACACAAGCCGTGTCAGGGAAAGAGCTGTTATCCACTTATTCAGTGATTCCTGATTCATTCTGTACTGGAATAAGAAAAACTTCAACCCAAACTACAGAAACGGTTACAAAAAGCCACTTTAACATCTGTACGTGTGACTTAACTTCTGCAGTTAAATCACTGCAATTACAATCATATGCATTCAGTCACAGGAACTTATGTCCGAGAAATGAAGGAAAAAACCAAAAGACTGGAGATATATGCGATTTTTTCCGGGCTTTATATTGGCAAAATGCAAGTAACGGAGTGGGTTTGATCTCGGGGCAGGTTAAGGTGTGATGGGAGGAGTGCGTTCAGGTTACTCACCGTGTCCGCCCGGGCGGGCGGGGCGCAGCGCCGGCGCTTGCCGCGCCGCCCTCAGCTCGCCGTGCAGCAGCTCCACGCTGCTCTTCAGCTTCCGGATCTCGTCCTCCCGCTGACATATTTCCAGCCGCAGCACCACCATGCCGTCCTCCACCACTTTGGAGATCTCCGCCGCGGCGGCTTTGGACAGCGCGTCGATCACGGAGGAGATCTGAGCGCGCAGCGCGACGCCGCTCAACATCTTCCCGAAACCTCCAAGTCAGCGCGGGGGTGAAACCCAAAGCGGAGGGAAAAAAAGTGGACCAGAAAGTCCGGGGCCGGGCGGCAGGATGGCGGGCACAGGGCCGGAGCAGGGGGCCGCTGGGCCGGTCACTCACGGCGGCGTTTTTCGCCTGCTCCGCGCTGGTTGTTAGCGTGGGCTCCGCTCAGCTAGCGGTGGCTAATCGGTTAAGCTAAAACCGTAAATAACGAATGCTCCAGTTTAAAGGAAGTGATGACAAATGCTACCGTAAAAACCAGAAGAGAAGTGCAACTTCCGCCGTGGCGTTTTCTCTTCAATGTAGAAAGAATTAGCTTGAGAATGACCGTTAGTCTCAACAGCCAATCCCTAAACGCCCTCCAGTCCCAACCACCAATCACAGATAAGGACTCATCCCTCTCTGGTCCCAGTCGGATCCAATCCAACACACACCCTGTTTATTTAAACGAACCTTGAAGACATCAGACATAACTCTTTCACTTTCTGGAATATATTTCTTTAATTCTGACTATCTATGATAAAATAAATAAATAAAAAACCTTTTTAGGTTGAATGAAATTTTAAAATACTAAATCACTTACATTGCCTCTTGACTAAGGCAAAGTTCAAGTAAAAGGTTATTTTTAAAACATAAAAATGGAAGTTTCACAGATTTAACACAACACTCTTAAAAACTCTGAGTCTGAAGAATTTTATTAGCCATTCATTCATAAAGAATGCTCAGTGAAACAGATAATTATTAATTTACCTATTTCCATTAAACAGATTTAAGTGCTCACAGCCAGAAAACATCCTGATCATGTATTCACTCTTTATAATACAGATAAAAATCCTCACATATCCATCTCACCTTTACACATTAAGCGGAACAAAAACATTTAATGGAAATCTAAAGTCATACCATGTTCCCCACAAACTGTGGTGGAGGTTAGGTTAGGTTAGTTTATCAGCAGTTCCAGTTTGTGATAATTTTTTTTTTAAAAACTCGTTTTCAAATGTGAATGTGCTGAGAAGCTCAAATCTTACAAAGTGCCCAAGTTATTGTGAAAAGTGTTAGTTAATCATTTATTACTAGATTAATCACTTTAATTAGGGGCTTTGTTGTTAATTAACTTCTATTCATTGCATTACTATCAAATTGCACTGGACACCAGACATATATGTGAATGTAAACCAAGACCCATTGGTCTCTTTTTTTTAAATTACTTTAAAGGCCATACAATTTATTGTAAGTAAGAGCTTCCTCCCTGTTTGCCAAAAACAATTTAAACTCTAAATATCTGGGATTTATTTGCAATGTACTGCATGTAAAGTGGTCTCACAACCATGTAAATGAAGAATTAAATTACGAATTTAGTGTTTCTCCCAACACAAGAGTATCATATTCCCTTTTTTGTTATCCATCTCTGCTGCTGTATGTTTTTCCGTCACTGTGAGTGTCCTGGGGGGGGGGGGTAAAAACCGAGGCAGGAAGGAGGCCGAGACATCGGCTAGCTGCAGGATCACAAATCAATTTACCCAAAAAACACACACGTTGGTTGTGAAGTTCAATGTCTGAACTTTTAAAAGGCTATTGAAATGTTTTGGATCGCACAAGCTGTTAGAGAACCGTAATTATCTGACAGTAACCGCTGAGTCGCAGTATCCTCGGCAGGCGTTGGACACAAAGACAACGCCAAACACAAAACTCCTCCTTTCTGACTGACGGCGAGCGCCTCCCGTGTGCTACCTGCCCTGCAGGTGGATCTCTTGATGCATTTTCAGGTTTCCCAGCACGGTGAAGCTCTTCCCGCACTGCCGGCAGCTGTGCGGCTTCAGCCCGCTGTGGAAGCGCTCGTGCCTCAGGCAGTTGTCGTGCCTGGAGAACATCTTCCCGCAGATCTTGCAGCTGAACGGTTTCTCGCCCGTGTGCACGCTCTGGTGCGTCTTCAGCCGGGTCTTCTGGGTGAAGGACTTCCCGCATTCGAGGCACCTGAAGGGCTTTAGGGTCTGGTGGGTGGACTTGTGCTCCTCCAGCTGAGACAAGCGCGGGAAACCCCTGTTGCACACGGAGCAGGTGTAGAGCTTCTGGTTGGGTTTCCACACGCTGATCCGACCTTTTGATCTAAAGCTGGGCCTCTGTGCCGGGGGCAGAGCTGCCGGTAGCTCCACCAGTTGTGAAACCGACTGCATGCACTCCGCTGGAGCGACTAGAGGGAGAGAATCGTGCCTCAACAGTTCATTGGGAAAATACTCTGAGGCGGGAGATCCCATGCACGTGGGCCGCATCGTCACTTCTACTTTAATGGGTGCAGTTAAGCACCCATCTGACACCGTCTCCGGTGCGGCGGATAAACAATTAAAGGAACTTTGTGCCTCCCTGCAGGCAGAATAATCCTCGGAGCGAAAGGGGAAAGCTGGCACCGGCTGCGGAATTGCAGCGCAGGTTTCCTCAAACAGGCCGGGAGCAGCCGGCGGCCACCTGGAGTCGCCCGGCTCCCCCCCGTCAGAGCCGGCCATCGCTGCGCCGTCCGGTGGTTTGGCCGCGGGAAGTTCACCCGCGGGCTCCTGTTTCACGGCTGGCCTGATGGCAGGGCTCTCCTCCACTCTGACCTGAGGCTTGTAGAGTGAATCGGACGGATTTGGTTGAGGATACTCTGCAAAAGCCTTTAGCTTTTCTTGTACATCTGCAAGAAAACAGGGTGTATGTATGACAAAAGCATAAACACAGCAACCAATTAGGAGCTCATTTGTTGAAAGGTGCTGATTCGTTGATGTTACTTTAATGAAAAAAAGCTTATTAACTATGTATAAGCTACCTTCACTTTTTTTCCTAGTCATTGATGCCCCTGAATACTTATAACATTTTCATGACAAATAATTAATTGAATAAATGATCAGTTGAGCAAAAGAGGAGAAAGGAATTCAAGGATATGATTTAAGAATCTAGAAAATTGGCAACACAGCCAATTTATTTTCAGAAATAGTCAATCCATGTAGTCTAAAACATCAAACTGTAATGCTCTCGGTTTGGCAGGATGAGTATTGAAGAAATACTCTACATTTGAATTCCTAAATTGAGCTAAACGATCAGACGAATTAAAAAAGACATTACCTCAAGTACTTTCATGACATTAATTCGCATTGTTGACAGGCAAAAGCCTTTAGCATCAGCGAGTTAATGTTGAAGTTCAGAGTTTTTGAATGAGGTTCGGCGTGGCAGGTTCCACCCCCACGCGGGCTTGGGTTGACCCCTCACCTGTCCGAGTCCTGCATGACGTCTGTGTCTGCCTCTCCTCCGTGGCACGGCTCGCTAAGGCCTCCTGGGCTTTGCTGAGTTTAGCCTCCGTAACCTCCAGGCTCCTCCGCAGCTCCTGGATCTCATGGTCCCTCCGACGCACCTCCAGGCGAAGAACCACGCAGCCTTCCTCCGCCAGCTTCGTTATTTCCGCCACGGCAGCTTTCGCCAGCACGTCCATGATGGCGGCGACCTGCGCACCGAAGGCCGAGGGGGGAGGCATCTCAGTGGGAGCTCAGCTATGGGGAAAAGTGAAGTTTTAACGGGGCAGAGAAGCGACTCACTCCCGTTAGTGTGTTCACTTCCGGGAAATGTCAGAGCGGATGTGACGTAACAGCTAAAGAAGGCAAGAGTTTGATAAACACGATTAAAACTTTATGAGTTTAAATATGTCAGGTTATCAGAAATATATTTTGTTTTTTCATTATTCTTTTTCTATTTATTTGACAGTAGATAGATTATTTTTAGTCAAGCTCAAGGTAACTTTATATTCCCCAGGGAAGCTATTTGTTGTTGAACCAGTAGTAGAGTAATAATTCATAACCAGCTCACACTCCGGTCAATCCATAACATAAAGGATTTAAAAAAAGTTAAAAGTGTAAAAGAAGAATAATTCCTAAAACAGCTTAAACAAGCTTGTGAGATTGTGTCTAAAGCCAGATGTGATGAGAACAGATGTGAGAGAGAGCACACTTTTCTGTCCTTGTGCAGCCTTTAGCCTGTGATGGCCCTTTGTAAACATTAACCTCAGTTCCACCTGACACATGAAGCAGCTGGCCTGCAGATGTGCCCACAGATGCCCTCTCACCCAACAGTCCTCCAGACACCAGACTGTGCCAGTAAAAGGGCTCTGCTGCTGTTGCTGCAAAATGGGCGTGTGTCTTCACTTCTTAACCACTGGGAGAGGTTTCTTTTCAGTTCGTTGCGGTTTTCAGAAAGTGGAGCCATCCTTACACCTCGACTTTGATGCTAGGATTATTAAAACATCATAGTTAAGTAAACCATCAGTTGTTTCTGACTACAAATAATCCTAAAAGCTTTCATTTAGAGCTTTAAATTGAGTACCAAGATAGACGGTATCTTGAAAACCTGTTTTTATTCACATTATCCAAAACATTGAGACTACAAGGAATTAATCATAATACAGTTTATTCAAGTCACAACCATATCGGCCATTTCTTTATAGATATCCTGTCTATGTAAATAAACAGGTACATACTATGTACAATCTATAGCTGAAATGTTTTTCATTATCAGATAACTAGTGCAAACAGCGAGTGTGAATTATCTGATTTAAGGCTAATCAATGATTCTTTCCAACAAAGTGGCTTTCTTAAGGTTTTAAGGCATTTTATTTGTCTATTTTCTCAAGAGAGTTGTGATTTGCCTGTTTGTCAGGCTCAATCTGAACCTTATTGTTTGCTTTCAGTTCACGTTTCATAGAACTTAGCATCAATCAGATTGATTCAAGCTGTTGATTTATTAGCTATCCTCTGCCATGAGGAATCCTGTTTAACATAATAACTGCGAACGGGCAAAATCCCTGACTGGACCTCATGTGGCACATCCTGTCCTGTTCTCTGTAAGAAACTGAAAAGAAGCATGCTTCATAAAAACGAAAAATAAAAACACTTTGTGATGATCGTAACTGCAATCCAGGTTTACAAGACTCTCTCTCCAGCTGTCTCTCTCCAGCCGATCAGACGTTTTGCTGGGCCACATCTGTCCAGAAGAAACGCCCTGGGCGGACTTCACTTCCCGCATCCCTCTGCGTCCGCCTCTCCCTGCGCTCGCTCTTTCTCTCTCCTCAGGGTTGCTATGGCGACGGCCTCATCGAAGCACATGCTGTGGGCGCTGTGTCGGTTGGCGGGGGCGCCCTCGGCCCCGTCCCTCCTCCGGTCCCTGTCCCTGAGGAGGGTCAGCCTCTCGCCGTCCTCCCTCCTGTCTCTCTGCTGCTGCTGCTGCCGGAGGGTCAGGGCGGTCATCCGGCAGTGCTGGGGCTTCGGGGGCACCACGGGCACCGCTTTGACCTGGTAAACCCTCGGCTGTCTGGACACCACCAGCTTCCTGCCGACGCCCTCCGACCCCCCGTCGCTGCTCCCGCTCGTTTTACTCTCTTTTGACTCAGAACCGACCACCGGTGGCTGTTTATCTAACCTCGGCTGCCCCAGACTGCTTTGCTCATCATCCTTTTCTGAGTCACCCTTCTCTTTTTCGGGTTCCTTTGAAACCGCTTCTTCCCCGTCGTCGGGCCGCGCTTCTTCATTGGCGACACGCTTCTCCTGGGTGGCTTTTTCTAGTTCACCCATCGCCGCCGAACTAGTCTCATCATCTTTTTCTTCCTTTACCGGATCTGGGACCTCTTCTGCAGGGGCCTGCAGGGATTCCTCCTCTTCCTCCTCCTCCGCTGACACCTGCGCCTCGTTCGTTTCACATGCACCGGCTTCCTCTGTTCTCCCTCCGGAAGCTCCTGCCGGCTGCCCTCCCTCCACTTGGGCCGGCTCGGCCTTTGCCTCCACCTCAGACAGCTCGCGCTCTTTATGTTCGATCGCTTCGCACACCATCTCCTCCAGCTCACTCCAGATGTCGCTCTCTGCTCCGACTGAGCCGTGCTGCTCTTTGCCACCCTCCTCATTTCTGTCTGATTCCCTTTCGCCCCCTCCTGCTGGGAGCTCCTCCACCAGGATTTCAGTGCTGTCTGTTATCTCCTGAGCAGACTGTTGACATGTGTGGTCTTCCTCTGTTTCACAGCAGCTGACGGAGACCCTCGGAGGTCCGGGCACCACAGAAGTTTCTCTGGACTCCTCCAACTGAACATCCGCCCCGTAAGGTGGGGGGATTTCATCCACGCCCTTCACATCCTCGTCTTCAGTTTCCAGCCCGGCGGTCGGCTCGCCCACCTCCTCGTTGCTCGTTGGGAAACTCTCCACGCTGAGGGCTGTCGGTGGATCTGAATTCTGAGTTTCAGCATCTTTCAGGGAGTTCAAGTGTTCGTCTGTTGCTCCGCTGCAATGACAGATAAAGAGAATTTCAGATATAAGTAGGTGCGAAAAAGGATGTATGAAAGCAGGAAATCCTTTTTTTCTACTGTGGGTGTTTCACTTGTCTAACTCAGAAGAAAATATGCATTTTATGTGAAAGAATAAAAGAAGTAAGTTATTTTAAGAACGAGATGCACAATTCGTATTAAACACGGCGTCTTTTTTTAATCAAATTGAACTAAAGGACTAAATTCAGCCAATTTCTTAAGCCAAGTGATATCAATGGGGATCAAGAACGTTGAGATTTTTCATTTCTATTATACATGAATGAGAAAAAAACAGGCCCTTCCTCTAAACTGTGGTCACTTTGGTCAAATGTGATAACATGATGATGTTTTTATGTGAACTAAATATATATAATTAAACATGCATAAATGTTCAGTGTCAAACAAAAAAAAAATGGAGCTTTCTCAGAAAAAAGACAGAATGCTTCTTCTTTATCTGCTGGCTTTGCACTTTTCTTACCAACTATTTGATATGAAATAATGGTTAAAGAAAATTAAAGTAGGGTTCTGTCCTACTTAATTCACCAGTAAAGCCAAAGAGAAAAACACAGAACGGGTCTGCAATATGTCATTCAATTAAGGTGGAAAATTAATCTTAGAGTCAGTCATCACCTTTGTAATTTGTCTTCCGGCTGCTCTCCTTCATCGTCCTCTTTCTTCTTTGCTGTCTTCCTTCCTTCCTCTTCGCCTCCCTCCACTTCTTCCTGCTTCTCATCTCCACTGGTTGCCTCTTTCTGAGCAGACAGTTCTAGTTTAAGTGGCAGGCCGTTGTTCCCCTCAGGGGTCTGAGCCTCGGAGGGCGGGGGGAGTCTGTCCGGGTCGGGACGGGGGGGAGTAATGGCGCCCAGACCGAGGCCGGACAGGTTATTTAGAAAGAAATCCGGCGGAAGGCTTTTGACAAACATGCTCTCGTCCTCCTCGCTGTCATAAAGGTTGTCGTCCTCGTCCTCGTCGTCGTTTTCGTCCTCGGACAGCGACTCCTCGGAGCAGCAGGCCTCCGGGCCGTGGACGGGGGGGGTCATGTAGGGCAGGCTGAGGGACTTAGTGTGTCGGTTGTGCAGGTCCAGGCTGAGCGGCCTGTGCGGCTTCAGCAGGGCCTCGCTGGGCGTGGCCGCCCCCGGCTGGGGGCACCTCCGGGGCCCCGCGGGACGCTGAGACGCCTGGGCCTGCTCCATGATTTCGTACTCATCGTCCGAGTGACCGGGAGGCTCCACTGAGAACTCGTTTACCTTAAAGGCAAAAAAAACAGGCACGACGTGAGTTTTAAAAAAATAAAACACTTCTGAAAAGCGTTCAGTCCCTTCACAGTTCTGCATGTTCTGAGCTTTAATGCCACACCTGAAAGGGCACGCTGGAGTCCAGGTGGTCCAGGACACTGCAGTCCATTTGGTCCAGGAAGTCAAAGTTGTCTTGGACGTAGCCGGACAGCCCCTGGTCGTCGCCGCCCACCTCGGTGGAGTTGAGGATGTCGGAGGCATCGAAGGCACCGTCGTTTCCCCGCTGAGGCTCTGAAGCTGACTGCTGATCGGTCTGCATCCCCCCCTTCATTTCTGTAAGCCAATCACAGTCAGAATTACCGACAGCCAACGGATGACCAAAAATGAGGAAACATTTGAAAGAGCACTACATTTTTGGCATCATCTGCTAATTTGTGAAGAATTCATATCATTTTAAAGGAGAATTTGTTGTATATTAAAACTATTCATCATACGAATATATCATTCTGATTGTCTTTCGAAGGTATTTGATCTTAAAGCAAGATAAATTTCATCCCATGGGTCTTACTAGGCTTTGCTTAGACGTTCGGGAAAAAATTCAGAGGTTGACTTTGTTAAAAGCCCCAAACAGTTTCCCCTTTTTTGTCATAAATCACTTTCAATGGTAAACAAGGCAGCAGCTGCTGAGCTTAATACGAGTTGGGCCTGTCTGACCGAGCAGCTGTTCCAGATGTTAGCTAAACGCGCGGTGATGGTGACAAAAGCGTTTGCTGTACCCATGTAATCGCTGTTGTCCTCCTGGTCCTCGTGGACGGCCTCCCCGTCCTTCCCTCCCTCTGTGTGGGAGCTGGAGCTCGTGGTTCGTTGCTGCCCTGAAACACTTCCGCCCTCATTCACCGACTCCTGCTTTTGCTCACAATCTCTCTTCTTCTCCTCATCTTCCTCCTCTTCTGCTCCACCCGCCTTTTCCTCGGTAACAGCGCCCGCTTCTGATTTACCCCCCTCTGGATTTTCCGTTTCCTGGTTTCTGACCAGGGCCTCTTCGACCTTTGGGCTGTCTTCCACCTGCCACTCCATTCCTTGACACTCCTTCCTCTCCGTCCTCCCGCCTCCATCCCTCCCCTCCACCTTGTCCCCCGCATCCTTATCCCTCCCCCGGTGGATGACCCTGTCCCCCCCGCCCCCCTGCAGCACCCCCAGCGCCAGGTTGGAGGTGATGTGCAGCGGCACGGTGACCAAAGTGGGGCCGGTGATGTGCATGGCCGCTCTACGGCCGGCTTTACTGTTCAGTCCCGGGGATCTGGATTGGACGCCCTCGTTGCTGGGCAACCCCAAACCGTCTGGGTCCAGAGCTGTGTAGGTGCCCTGGACCCCCGCCCCCCCGCTCACGAGGCCCGTGCCCCGGCGGTAGGTCACCGCATATTCGCTGGCACCTAATCCAGCGGCCGGAGCCGGGGCGTCCGGGGCGGGCGGGTGGGAGGAGGTGACCAGGGGGGACATGTGGGTGGACGGAGGACGCTGGGAAGAATGTCTGGTCCCTGCAAAGAAGAAGAAGAAGAGGCTAAAACCGGTCACAGAACATCCGGGTGTTCTCCTGGTTTGGCACAGATAGTTTTTTTCTGGGCCTTCAGAATATAACACAAAACAGTTTTTTTTCTAACTTTTCCTCTCCACCCAGTAGAGTCTCTTTAGCAAAAAGTAAATACACTTATTATATAGAAGAGAGAAATGTTAATAAGAATCCAAAAAAGCTTTGGTAATGGCACCTTCATTTGGATACGGCGGGGTGCTGAGGGAGTCCATACTTCTTGCCGGTCTCAAAGCAGTCTTCTCTTTCTCTGAAATTGAAAAAAAAACAAGCCCAGATAATTTGATGATGGTTTGAAACATGTGAACAGACTGAGAGCTGGATTTATTGTAGGATAGACCACAGCTTGTGGGTTGTAGGGCAGTAAAAACAGTTTTTAAGTCAAGAACACGCTGACCCGCTGACTCTGCCCAATGATCGGGTCATTCTTCTGACAACACAGAACCTTAGAGAGGTCAGAATTTACACATTTTGGTTCTGAAACTACAGAAGGAGAAGATGGATTTAGCTCAGGGCATCAGATTTTCTGCCATCTGGATCAAGGATGAGGTTAATGCCACTGGAACAACCTGTGTATGGATGTTCCTATTAAATGACCTATTATTAATAACCTTTTTCCTATTAAATTGCTTAAATTAAATTAAATGATCTTGTGCATATTATTTAGATAATTCCTACCTTTGCTGGAGTGCTTGTGCCTCCGGCGTTGGTCTTGAATTCGAACTCCGATATTAAAAATGGACATCCACTTCCTGCCTTTGAGGGAGCCTTTCCTCCTGAGGCGAGACAAACAATTTCATATGAAAATGTGTTCGCCCTGACATGTTTAACCCCCAAAAAGCGTCCACATGGCACTGTTACAGTGTAAAGTCTGATAGCGGTTATCTGGATAAATGACTGGTCAACTCACTTGTCTGTGCCTTCGATGATGGCGTGGTACGGCCTGATGGGCAGAGGACCGTCTCCTGGGCTGATGTTCCCAAAGTTTGGCTGCGCGGATCTGAAGAATACCTCTTCCTGATTGGGCATCGCCGACGGGGAGGGGAGAGACTTCCTCCTCTCGGTCGGTACACCTGTAGAAGGCACAGGAAGGAGGTGAGGCCGAGGTAAATGCGTGGGTCAGTCGGCAGTCGGTCAGCGGGGGTGTGTCTGTGTCTCCTGACCTTCCAGAGGAAACAGTTGAGGGACGTGGGTGAGGATGAACTCCACCACGATGGACTGGACCCTGACCTCCATGAAGGCCGCTGTACCGTTAAATCCCGAGGCCTCGATGTCCTTTGACCTAAACAAGAGCATTAGTTACTGATTGATTAGCGGATGGCGTTAGATTACAAATAAATAAATAAAAGACTTAGCCCTTTAACTTCCACACAAAAAAAGTGTCCTCAGAATGAGTGTTTTTTTCATTCTGACTTGCAAAAGTCTTGAATATTGAAACAAAAGGTCACAGCTTCACATTCTTTAAGCGTTTTTTTACTGACACTACATTTTACAGATGGTTTTAAAAAAGGTTTGCTTCCTCTAAACTAAGATTGGACATGTAGTCAAAATAAGGAGGAAAGTCAGTGAAACACGTTAAAGGATTAAGAACAGACAAGAAAAAAGAAAAGTGTAAGGGGAACCAATGATATAAAGAGAATTATTATTATTAATAAAGATGTGATTATGCCCTTCTGTAGGCACCCCTGTGACCCTACTTGGATAAAGGTTGAATAGTATAAAAATGGATGGATGGCTGGTTAGATTTCATTGTTATTTCTGTCAATAGATGCCGTTTCCTTTACATTTCATAAAGTTATAAACTTTAGGGGTACAGGAGCGGGACCTTTGAGGGGAACCACCACAGAGACAAGTCTTTTGACTCCTAAAGGCACAATTAGCTGCTTTGACTTCAGCCGCCATCGGTCACCCTCTCAGTCTGACCTGAGCAGGTTGGGGGCCCAGACGATGGCCAAGTTCCTGGCGTGCATGTTCGTCTCTGAAGAGAAGGAGGCCATTTTGACGAGGTGGCGCATCAGAAACTCCAGAGTCCTGCAAAACACACACACACACACACACACACACACACACGCACACACACACACACACACTGTGTGAGCCAGCAGCTGCTCCTTTAGAAGCTCAGAGGTCACTGAAAGCTTCCAGTCAGTTTCCATCAACTCCTACCGACTGTAAAAACTTTAATGGCTTTATTTTCCAGGATGCTTCTTTAAATTCCCACTTATGTTTTCATTTTTTCAATTTAGATCATTCCGATATTTTATATCCATTTGATTTTTCTTGTATCTGATTTCTTGAGATAATTCTTTCGTCATGCTGAACTTTTGAAAAATGACGTTGATTTTGTATCAATATTTTAAACAAGTAACATGTGATTTTTGAAAATAAATCACTGCTACTGTAAATGTTTTTGGAGGAATGAGTAAAAGCTGGGTTTCTTTTTTATCTTGACCTCTGATCTTGACGTGTTTGCTGAATAAGGATGAGGTATTTCATCCCAGTTTTAGCCAGAACAAAGAGCTACAGAGTCTGTGAACCTGCAGCAAAGTAAATATTTCAAAGCTGTTGGTGTTTTCAGGGCTGACGTTACCTGTTAGTTAAGGATGGAGCAGACTTAACTGTACCTGTAATGTGGAGCTGGCAGTTCTTTCAACACATCTTTGATCTTCACCAGCCTCTCCTCCTCCAGCTGGATGGCCACAGCCTCCTGTGAGGCAAACATGTCTTTTCAGTGGTCATTTTTCTAATAATTAATGCATTTTTTCCCCATATGATTTCATACATCCCTGTTGTGCTGACTGTGGAAGTCTGAGATACTCACAGCAAACTTGTCGTACAGCTGGTATGTGAGCAGAGGGTTGGGCAGCTCTCTGAAATAAGCTTTGCACAGCGAGCTGACGCAGTGGATGTCCTGCAGGTACACGTCTTTGTTCAAATCTGGACTCCCGTCGCTCTCAAACTCGCCCCTGAAAGTGTGCAAAGGCAGGTCCGGTTCAGAGCTTTTTAACATGGCCCCACAGCGCCGTCAGGGAGCACAGAAACACAGACAGGCTCACCGCAGCTTCTGGATGTTGGAGGACACTCCGGACAGCCTGTAGATGCCGTCCACGATTCCATTTTGCTCCACAAACTCACTGCAGCAACGCAGCACCAGAGGAACTGCAGGAAAAGCTCTAATTATCATAATTTAAGCACGATTTTACGTTAGCAAAAATGCACTGAAGGCTTTGAGAAAGAGAGATGCATCAACCCCAGACAGTTGCTGATAAATGGATGATGAATTAAAAACCAGACATTTTCAACATACTGGGGGGGGAAATATATCAGGCTGCAAATTTCAGACTATTCTGATATCCTAATTATGTTTTAGATCTCTTCCATGTATTGGACAGGAAATCCTAGAAAAATTCATTTTGAGTAATATGAGTTCCCATTTATTCTGTTAATAACAATTAAAAACTTTCCACTTTATGCCAGTGTTGGCGTTTTTGTAAATTCACAGGTGTATTTATAGATATGGCTGAAACTAAATTCTGTCCTGGGAGAAATGAGATGGCCAGTATATTACAAGGACACAATGTAAAGTGACAGCTCTGGAGGACCTGATGTGATTTAAGCTCTAAAAGTGTTAGATATAAAATAATGAAAATACACTGGGGAAGAAAAGCTGAGGCAGGAACCTTCTCAGTTTCATGTTTGCAAGAAAAGAAGCACAATATGGACGCAATCCAAAATTTGACTAAACGTTGGGTGAATTCTCTCAGCCAAATCACTTTTTAAACTAAATGTAAGGTTATGTTTGCTGATACACATCCAATGACACCACCATGAACAGTATGCTGAGCTCAAATATACCCATACCAAGAATTTTCATTCCCAGATAAACCAATCTGTGCGTCACTGTATTTAAGGCAAGTTCGAAATGAAGAAACCCAGCACAGGAGTGGCGAAAGTGGAGTGTGACAGAGCAGAAGAAGAACATTTCTCGGGGTTCGGGGCGTTCACTTACTCTCCAGAGAGGAGGTGGTCAGATGCTCCAGCAGGTCGCATCCAAACACCTTCTCTTTGTTTCCCCCTTTTCTTCGAACTCTCCGCATCTTGTCCAGCCGTTTGCTGCTCACATTCAGAGCTGTGCTGCTCGGCTCCTGAACGGTCACCAGCGGGCTCCCACTCGGTCAACGTGACTGGGACTCTGAGGAGGTGCTGCACATCTCAGATTTTTGGCTGCTGCTTCCTCTGCCTCAGCGCATGTTGTTGAGCACAGGTTGCTTCCTCTCTGAGCTCTGTTGGGGTGGTAAAACTCTGTCTTAGGGCATATTTCGGTTTTCCCTTCCTCCCTGCGAGAAGCAAAAAACGGCGAAGGTGCCTTCATGCAAATGGACAACAAGCGGAAACCGACTCCACTGAATCCTTCGTTGCATATGCGTCTCTCCACTTCCCCCTGATGCACTCGGATTATTTTTCGAATGAAAGGCCACACCCTTGCCTCTGAACTTCTCCTATTCGGTAAAAAAACACATTAAAGAGGTTGTTCCGGTCACACTATACTGAGTCTCTGAGCTGGGGGAGCCTCTGAAGTCACGATCTCAGCTCCCGATGGCCTACGGTCCGGGTTACAGGCCCGGTTGGTCCTTCCTGCCCGCATGTCATGGCCATCGCAGCCCTGTTCTCACTGCAGCGGAAGTCGTGCAAGAGCGCACAAACCCAGGCACACAATCAAAGTCTAACTGCCTCCGTCTCCATCGTCCCGACACCTGCCACCGCCCTCCCACAACTCCCCATCCTTCCCTATCCGTCCACCTTCATTTAAGGGTTTAACTGTAAAAATGTGAGCACGGGAACAAGCTAAAAAGCAAACAAGAGGGTTCCTACCTTCACTCTGCATCGGCACACAAGTAGCAGCAAAAAACGATGACGCAAAAAACCACCAAACTTCCCCTGTTGACTTCCTGAGTGTCTCTCATTCTCTTGTGCTTTCTCTGTGTATGTGGCCCTCGTTTTCTCCGCCTCTACCGACTGAGTAGGGAAATCAGTTCATTGTATCTACACAGGGCATCTATTTCCCTCTAAAGCTTTGTTTCTCTCTTTGCAATCCGAGTTCCATAAGATTTACTAACGCTGACAGGAGGAGGTAGACATGCACAGCACTTTGAGACAAAGACACCGTTTTTTTCCTTTAATAATTGCAGATCGTGTGTACATTCCTACAAAATAAGTCGTACAGCAGGAGAGCGTGGCAGGGGTCAGGAGACCTGACACTATCTCCTGACACAAAACTATTATGTCAGGCCACATAGCCAGTTAAGGCTATGTGACTCCTGTATTCTATTGTGGTTTTAGGCATGTGGACTCCTGAGTCTGATGCAGATGTTCTGGTGAAACTGGGTTATATCTGAGCTGGAAACAGTGCAGTTTTGCAGTTTCCTCCTTGTTGCAGAACGTTAGATCTAAACCTCAAGGATTCAGGGAGGCCAGTTGCAGTTTTCAAAACCAGTGAACTCATACTTTGCAGACATCAAAAGCAGCTTGTTTCGACGGATTACTTTCTGGTAGAATTTCTGTGTAATGTCAACATTTTTACCCTCAAATACAGCAGCAAGTAAAAGTAGTGAGTGGGAGCACAATCATACAAACTGGCTTAAACTCATCTTTTGGAAGGGGGAGGGGCTCATAGTGGAACCAGGGAACTTCAGAGAACTTCCTGGTACCTCGGATGGCCTTTAAGATGAAGTCACAAGTGAGGCCTCTGATCCAGAGATATCTAATATAATTCAGCAAAATATCTAAAAACACAAATGATGCCTCTGGAGAAGTATTCCAAAATGAATTTGCATGGGAACATGTCAAGAAAACTATAAGCTAGCTGTTGTGTGTGGTGGTTGTTTCTGGTAGGACTTAAGTTCTGTGTTGTTCTGTGGTGCTGCACTTAAGATATATTCAATTACGTTCCATCGATAGACCACCAAATCATGACAAATGTCTTTTCTAGGCGGTGCAAAGCTACAATCCAAAGCAGACTGGCATGTGCGACACAGACTTGTTGAAAATACAGGTCAACAGTTATGGCAGATCTGTATTTAAAGCACTGGATAAATTAGAAACCATCATTCTCACTGTGCTGCCAGCTTTGTCTAAATGAGTAGCACCTTGGCCGATACAGCTGTAGGACTGATGATTTATCTTTTTTAACTTTCTTTTTCAGGTGATCCAAAAACAGAGTTTTCATGTAATTTTGATTTTAGGCAACCTGAACTACAGTTTGAGCAGATCCATGAGATCTTTTAGGTAACGGAACAAGGCAGGATGTCCTCCACACCACTGGAACTTTTTCCTGAGTCCCACATGGCTGTTCTGCACCGTTTTTCAGGGGTTAGAGGAGGTCCCACTGTGTCTTAATGTGGGGAAAGAGGTTGGTGAAGTTCTGTTCTGTGACATGACTTTCGAGATGTCACAGAACGGATGTGGTTGAGACGGGGTGTTTATTTGAACTTACGGTTAATTATTCTCGTTGTTACTATCAATACCATAATCATTACTGTCATATTCGGCTCTGCTCCCATCAATCTGATGCTCATTCGCAGGAAAGTTTAAGATGCCGGACTTCGCTTTCTGGCTTTCGTCTGCTTCTCTTTGCACCTTTCTAAAGTTATTATGAGTGTTTTCTTTTGAATTTTCATTGAGTGACGAAAAATTTGAGTCACATTATTTATTTATTATTTCAAATGCACACGACTTATGTACCATGCGGTCGTAAACCAATATTTACGGTAATGGCTAACCGTCATCCGTGGAGGAACCTTGTTTCCTTTTCCTTTTCCTCATACAGTGGCGGGAATAACGCATTGTACTGTCGATTATAAAAATAGACTGACAATTTCATACTTAGCATCAGTTTGTGTAAAATGTGCTGTTAAATTCTCATTACAATATTACTTTCGGTCGAAGTGAGCCCCTTTGAATGAAATGTAGCCGCCTAAGCGACCTGTACGAGTTCAGAAAAGAAGCGACCCTCTTTTTACATCATCCTCAGAGGAAGTTGTCATCGGCTAAACCACGCCCCCTGGTTTCCAGCTGTGTGAGATCCGCTTCCCGGAGGAGGTCTGCTCTCGTCCCTCCCGGCTGGTTTTTTGTTTGTTTTTGTCGGAGTGCGGGGCGTGATGGAGGCCGGCGGCTTCCAGAGCCAGCTGCTGGCCGTCATGGAGGTCCTGGCCAAGGCGGCCGTGGCCGAGATAAACCGGCGGGTGGACGACAGCTGCGCGGTGCTCCGGCTGGAGGTGAGCCAGAGCCGACGGGACATCGAGCTGCTGAAGAGCAAGTGTGAGGCGCTGGAGGCTGATCTGAGGAGGAGCAGGATGAGAGCCCGCAGGAAAGGTGCTGCCCCTTCTCCCTTCACTCCTCTAGTCCTTCTGACTGAATCCCCACAGGGAAACGAGTGGATTTTGTTCCTTAAATCACTCAACAATGAGCTACGAATCATAAAAGGCAGGAACCAGACCACTAAGTCTTAGTAAGATACTCTAGTCTTCTAGAATCATCTCAGGACCTGTGTCAGGTCTTTGTTTCTCTTTAACAGGACATCACTTTCATGTGCCCTTTTTGTAGATATTCTTCTTCTTCTTTTGTCCTCCCTTTGTTCAGATTCTCCATATCCTTTATGGACATGCCACCCTATGATAAGCAGGATGGTCAGGGGCAAAGGAAAGGCCAGTGTTAGAGAAAAAAAGATGTCCAGAAACCCAGAAAGTCTGACTGAATCTGAATCTGAAAGTCTGTTTTTCCTCTCTGTCAGCGTGCAGCCCTCCTGCAGACGAGACACTTCCCAGCTCAGCCAAAGAGGCTTTTCCCAACGCGGCCAGCGCAGACTGGGACCCCCCGATGGAGGTTGAGAATGTACCTCAACAGGTAATACATTTAACTGACTTTTCCCCTAAATAGTTTCTTGTAAACTTCTGGTTTTGCAGACATATTTAGCCTATAAATAGAGAAGAACAGAGTCTGTCTGACTCCACTTTAAACCAAATCGTCGTATTAATTATTAGATCAGTTGGAGTAACAGATTTGCCTTAAAGCAGGCAGACCCCGGTGGTTGTGGGTTTTTGGGTCCGATCCTGTAAGGCCGCTCCATCAGGCTGACCATCAGGACACGGGTCAGATGTCTATTCCGCCTCTTAAACCCCCGAAATGTGTGGTGGTTGTTGCAGTGTGCGGACGTGGAGGCTGCAGACGAAGCCCAGCACATACACATCAAAGAGGAGTTGAAGGAGGAGGACATGTGGAGGACCGACCCAAAGGACAAAGAGAGTGAGCAAAAACACACACACACAGACACACACACTCTCTTAGTCACCCAATATAAAACTCTTTTTCCTCACTTTTCCCGGGAGGTCCAAGATAATCCTAATTTTTGACCATGATTCATCTCATTTTAAAGACATTTAAACCAACAAATTCCAACATTTGTGGATTCTTTAAGTTTTTCTGGTTTATATTTCCTGCATATAATTTCTATTTTCACCCCAAACCAAAGGTTTGATGCCTTCGCAAATGAAAATAATATTCCTAGGTAGGTTGAATAGGTTAAAGATGCTGTAGATGGTTAATGAAATCCTACAGGTGTGGCAACCTCTGTTTGGTAAATGATTCATCAGTTTCATCCAACATTTAAGAGCTTTAGAACAGAAAAACATGGCCAGAGGAAGTAAAACAAACATGTTATCTCGGCTTAAGTTCCATTTGCTGCATCATTTTTGATTTGTAACGAGCCATTTTTCCTTCCCAGTCTCAGAAGGCGAGCAGCTGCCCCAGTTCGGGGCCACGCCCCCCCCCCAGGAGGACTTCTACCTGGAGAGCCACGGCTCGGCCCAAAACCCGGCCCACCCCGAGGCCCTGCTCTCCCCAGGGGAGCGCTACCAGGTTTATCCGGAGCAGCGCGAGGAGTCTGCGGGGGGGGTGAAGCGCGAGCGGCCGGAGGGGGCCAACGGCACAGACCCCCGCTTTGTGGAGGAGGACGAAGAAGAGGAGGAGGAGGTGGAGGGGCAGCTGTGGTCCCCGGCCGGCCTCCCGTTCCCCGGGCCCCAGATCGATCCGGCCCCCGCCCGCTTCCCCCCCCGATCTCACTCCGCCCTGCTGAGCGCGGCCAGAGCGAGGCGGCGTGCGCGGACGTTTGCCTGCAGGAGGCTGCAGCCGGAGGACGGGCCCGCCGCCCCCCCCCCGCTCGCCCCCCCCCGGCCCCCCCCCTCAACGGTCCGAGCCCCAGCACGCCGACCCGGACGGGGAGCCGGCCGTCTCGCTGTTCAGGCCCGGCCACGGCGGCGTGGGCCTTGGCGTGGGGGTGGGGGGGTTCCTCTTGACCAGGAGGATGCGGGCGGCGTGGCGGCCCGGCCACGGCGAGAAGCGCTTCAGCTGCACGTTCTGCGACAAGAGCTTCATGCGCTTCAGCCAGCTGAAGGAGCACCTGCGCAGCCACACGGGCGAGAAGCCCTTCAGCTGCGCGCAGTGCGGCCGCAGCTTCACCAAGCAGTGCAACCTCATCCGCCACGCCGTGGTGCACAGCGGCGAGAAGCCCTACCAGTGCGCCCAGTGCGGGAAGTGCTTCACGCAGCGCTCCAGCCTCAAGTCGCACCAGAAGACCGCCCACTGACCCCCGCCTTTTTATAGAAAACACCCCAAAGGGGTCCAGATCGATGACCTGCGCTGCTGTGGGAACGCCACCGGTGATTTGGGGTTTTCAGAGGCTCACCACAGGAACACACTCCCTCCTCCATGCCTCATTAAATAGCCCCCCCCACCCTGAAAGAAACATAGCTTTTCTACCACCCTGCTGGAAAAAGAAAAGGACGACAGGTGTAGTTCAGATACACTGAAGGTGAATATGAACCAAATGTTCAGGTGTTTGACCAGCCGTCACCATGGCTACAGGCAGGACATCTTTGGGCCATGCCACTCAATTATGAGGGATTCTAGATCTGAGTGTTAGTGGGTTCTTTTTTAATGTAGTGACATATAGGATTGTCCTCACACAGTAGTGTTTTCCCAGTAATTCCTGAAGAGAGCTCCTCCTCCAGGGTGACGGGAGGATTCCAGATGAAAGATGCGGGACAAAATTCAAAATGGCGGTCACAGCTAACATTTTGGACCATGTGGGATGTTGCATCCGTTCATAGCTTTTACACCTTTTTTTTTTTATTGTCGATTGATTTTAACTACATGTAAGTTCCCAGTTCACACTAAATTGAAAGATGCGTTCATGTTTGTGTTTTACAAACTTATAAGCTAATTTCTGAGACTGGAGCGAAAGAAAAAAGACGAGAAACACAGAAAACTCGGGGAAGCTTTGTTATTTGATCAGAAAAAACAAAAAACAAAAAATACATCTCAGTCTGTACGCAACGAGGCATGGAACACATTTTTTTACAGAAATATACAACGGGTAAGACATCGAATGTTTTCCATAAATATCAAATTAGATCCTTTATCCTGTAAAACGGCGAGATAAAGGTTGCATAGAAAAGTAGTGACAGGACAGCTCCATTTATATATGTGTGTGTTTATCACTGTACAAGTGCGTCTGAGTTCCTTCTGACCTGACCGGGCTGAGATCTGCATTCGGGGACAAAAACCCCACAAAGGAAGTGAAGCAAACATGACTCGGAGAAGAAGAAGAAGAAAAAAAAAAGGCTTCTTCAGTTTGTGCGTTGAAAACTGTTTCTGATTAACTGCTTTAAATACTTATTAACAATAAAGAATCTGTTATAGACATTCGGAGTGTAGAGCAGCTACCGGCAGAGGCCTTTCTATGGATCACCACACAGACAGTTTAGTTAGAAATCCACTTTTAGTTCTTTCTGTCTCTTCACTGAGCACAAAACTGCACGCCCGACCCCCGGAATAGAAAGGCCCCCCCTTTACGATATTTACAACCATATCATGTTTTCTCTTCCACTGACTCACACTCTGCTTTTAGGCAAAGTGATTCTCTTGATTTTACAAACCGTCGGGGGGGGGGGACCCGCTGGGCCGGAGCCGTTCCAGCTCCCAGCTCTGAAAATAACACTCAGTCGGCTGAAATCTGAGAGGATTTCTGAGTTTATAATGTTTCTCAACACTGGAGCTAAACAGTAAACATGACTTTCTAAAAAATCATCTGACTCTGGCTTTATCTGAAAAGGCGTGATTCTTAGTGGAATTTTCTGTTTTAATAAATGAACTGGCGTCTGGGTTAATTTGGACGGTTCAGAATCACCTTGACAGCTGAGAAGGAAAAAAAAGTCTGTTTTCGAAAACTGACGTGAAATTTGAGAGATGGCTTTCAAACTGAAATCGACAGCTTGAGTCGCTGTTTGACTGAAATGGGAACTTTTTCTTAGCCAAACTGCAATGAAAACAAAAAACAAAAACAAAGAGCAAAGGTCTCTGAGGGAAACGGAGCGGGCTGTAAGTGCTGACCTAAGTGGAAAAATACGAGTGAGAGGTTTCCAACAAAAAAGTCTCCTCTTCCCTGAATTGATCTGAATTCAGATATCCCCCCCGCCTTTAAACCTGGTATCTATTCTCAGGGGAGTGCGGGCGCACAGTAACATGTGAAGGTTTTGTTTATCTCAAAGAAAACATCCGAACGCGGCTTTAAATTGGACGCGCAGCACGAAGGATCTTCAACGTCCCTCCTGGAGAACGAGACGGCTTGAAGGGAAGAAAATCTACACCTCACGAAATTAAATATGAACAATCTTTTTTAAGAAAAAAAATAACGGGTCTGTGCTAGTGGGAGAGCTTTGAAAACCAGACGTTAAGCTAAACCGTGAACCTTTCCAACAGTCACTTGAAAGGTGACAAAGCTGGAGTGCTTTTTCGTGGTCTCCACCTGCCTTTCCCTGTCCTTCCCTACCTCCTCACCTCTGTCACACATCTGTCACACGTCTGTGGCTCTCTGGCCGTCCCTCTCTTCCTCTCGGCTGCTGGAGCAGTCCATGGCCTCCCCGCCGTCCGCCTCGCCGCTGGTCAGCATCGGGCAGCAGCCCACCTCCCCCTTGCCTGCCCCCTTCCTCCTGTCCGCCTCCTCCTCGTCGCCCCACCCTCTCTGCCCGCAGTAAGGTGGGATCTCTACCACGACGTACTTCTTTCCCCAGCCGCCCGACGCCGCCCGCTGCCGGCCGTCGATGGACGCCGTCAGACCGCCGTCCCCTCTGGAGTTCGCCGCTGAGGGGGAAGAAAACAGGCTTACAGGATATACGAGCTGAACTGAGCTCGGCATTTGGGTTGATTCCATTCAGACTCTTTTTAGAACTGTGTGCTTTTGTCGAATTATGATTATGTTGAATATTTGTGAACAATGGACAAACACAAGATGTCCAACTCAGCGCCTTTTACTATTTTTGGCGAGTTTTATCAAACAGCAAAGTTGAAAAATTCAGTACCACTACACTAACACAGCTGGGTTAGCGAAAATAGCTCATTTTAATCACTGGGGACCAGCATTGCCTTAATTTTGGGACATATTTTAAGCAGAATATCCGTTATTACATCACAGCTGCTTAGTGTTTTCCAAAAAACGAGGAAATCTTTTTTTTTCTAAGGCCAAATCACTTCTGCATCAAGCCAACCCACAGGTAGAAAATGCATTTCACTCATAAAGGAAAGTCCTAGATATCCATTCCAGGAGCAGCTGACTGACCTGGGAGGGTGGCGGACATCTGGGCGGAGCTACAGGTCACAGACCCGTTGTAGTTGGAGCCCACGGCGGCGGCGGCCAGCTGGAAGATCTCAGAGCGGGGCAGCTGGGGGGACACGGGCAGGGAGTGGCACAGCCTCCCCGGCAGCTGCTGCCAGTAGTAGGACGTCTCCTGCTGGGCTCCTCCGGGCCCGTGGGCGGCCGGCTGGTGGCTGAAGGCGCTGCCCGGAGGCGAGTGGAGGTCAAACACCAGCGAGAAGACCGACTTGCTGGGCACGTCGTAAAACTTGATCTTGCCCCCGCACAGGTCCTCTCGGGCGGTGAAGGGGTTGACCTTGCGGACTTTGGCCGCTCTCTGGGAGCTGGGCGGGTTGTAGTAAGGGTCTTGGACGTTTATTTTTCTTCCCGGCTTGCAGGAGAAGATGTCCGATTGGCTGCGGCTGAGCCAAATATTTCGTCTGGGCCGCGGGGATTTGGGGGGGATTTTGTCATTTTGGAAGCCGAGAGGGTTCAGTCGTTTAAAGCCCTGGATCTTCTCACCTGGAGTGAAAAAATAAAAGTTTTTTGTTACTTCTTTAAAAAAAAAAAAAACACATCAAACCAAACAAGTGTGAGTGATAACAGGGACTTGCTGTTGGAGGTAAAGTGAGAACCTAATATGACCACTAGGTGGCAGCACATGCTAACTCCTGCACAGGATGCCAAACCCTCAGTTTAAAACTGGAAAAGAGGTGTTAAAATAGACATTGGGACATGATTCAATAGATGTAACTTCCTCACAAAAGCTGACTCATGGCAGCAGAAAAAATATGCATTGAGGAATAAACTTGTGATTCATAAAGTTATACAAATTCTCATCCATTAAAAAAAATATTAATAAAAGAAAATAACAACAAAAAAAACAAACAGCACACAATGATTTCATCCTTCTGCCAGAACACATTTTTTTCCTGGAGATATCTGAATGTCTGACTCATCTTTGTTGATAAAATCTCTCTTTGTTTTTGTTGTTATGCTATGAAAGTCTCAGGAAATACTGATGTTAATCAGGGGTGAGGAGGAGGGGGGGGGGGGCTGAGGGAGGAGTAGCTCCTGTACCCATCAACAGCTGATGAAGTGAGAGACTCCAGACTCTCCACAAAAACAGCTTCAGGGGAGATGAGCTCTCCTGTCAGCGGGCAGTGACGTCTGTCTTTATGTGTCCAGTCACCGTCACTCAGGTTTACGAGCAAACAGCACCGGGGGGGAGAAATGCGCTCCACTCGTCACCCCGAGAGCCTGCATCCTGTGACATAATGTGTCACGAGTAAAAGGAGCTGCCCGGCTCGTCCGGACCAAAACATTACAGCCTGCTGACCCCGGGATGGTCAGACATGCAGGCGGCTGCACGGGGGACCAAATTAGCAGCCAAACCCTGACCTGGATGGATCGAGTGTCTCAGAACGGGAATGCTGATCTGAGCAAATCTCCTCATTCGGCGACAATAAAGTTTATCAGATCAAATGTGGGACCTTTTTTTCCGTTAAACAGGAAGCCAACAGGTTGCACGTGGGGATGAAAACGTGCTGGAGAGGGGTGTGAGCCCTCTTCTGTGTGCTGGTCTGAGCTAAAGGAGGCTGAAGTAATGTGTGAGGGGGGAGTGCAGAAACCTTTGGGAAGGCTCTTCTTATCGTTCTCGCCGCCGAGCGGCGCGCACTCCTGCTCCATCGCTTCCACTTTAAGGCGTGCAAAGATCTCCTCCAGGTGCCGGACGCTATCTGGGAAGGATGGACGGAGCTTAGGATCCATCTGTGGACGAGAGCAGACGAGATATCGGAATATTGTGCTGGAACGCTAAAACATCCAGTTTAACCGGTTCAGACTGGAGGCGTGTGAGTGATTATGTGATGGCGTTGTTTATTTTAGACGCATGATTTAGTTTTTAATGGCTTAAAAAAAAAAAAGAAGATTTTTGGAAATGTCTCTTTTTAAGGGCCCTCACAGTTTTCAGAGATTCTCCATCTGGCATTTGGAAACACAACGATGCCTTTGCAACGCTGCACTTTGTTTCCCAAAGAGCGGAATAAAAGGAATTCTTCCTTTTGGAACGTCCGTAGAAATTTTATTGCTGTTGCACTTTGGAAACCTAGCCCTCTCAGCAAAGAGTCCCACCAATCTAAGATGACGGGAAGAAATCATTACAATACCACTATAAAACTTGACCCCGGCCCTCCCACTTTGATATGTGAGTTAAGATAAGATGAAACGGTATAGAACTTCATTCTTCCTACAGGTGCTATGTGTGAGAGTATATAGGGACTAATTTGAGAATAAAACCGACTTCAAGCCGTCCAAAATGGAGCTCACGTTGGGACAAATGTGAGGATGACCGACAAAGACAGAAGGCAGAAAAAGGAAGGGCAATGTGGCAGAAATAATTCAGTAGAAAAAAATCCCTTGGAAATAGACTTGGAGGGAGGACAAAGGAGACAAAAATGATAAAAGCAAGACAACAGACAAGGATGAGAAGGGATAAAGGAGTCTATACAGGATCAATCAGCAGGGTGCTCCGAAAACCTTTTAAAGCCCTGTTCCCCGGGGGGGGAAATTAAGGTTGGGGGGGGGGGGACGTCAACCAAGAGTTAAAGTCAAGTGGAAATGTGTTGGGAGAGAAACAGAACTAGGAACATTATTTTCATTATGTGTTCACTTCTCGTTAAAAAAACAAAAACAATAAATAGCTACTTAAAAAAAGCTGAATCTGACAAGTTAGCTGTCCAGATTGCTGAGAGCAGAACACCCCCTGGATGTACAGCCAAATCAGATTAATCAGATAATTAGATTGCTCCTTATTCTGAACCTATGATCTCTAAACAGAAACATAGAGCACATAAACATCCAGAGTAAACTGAATAGGGAGCTGCTCAGAGAGAAAACCCATCAGTTCTGAAACAGAGAGAGTCACAGGGCGTCGGGGGGGCAGACTCACGTTGCAGCAGTTGAAGGCCAGCTGGAGGAAGTCAGGCGGACAGTCTCCAACCATGTGCTGGAAGGTGTGGTAGTCCAGGCCGAAGTTCTGTTCAGGACACAAAGAGTTCTGATGAGTGATACGCCGAATGCAAACAGGAAATGAATATTTTAAAAGGAGCAGTAAGGAGGGAGACAGGCTCGCTTCATCACACATTTGACATGATGTAACTCTACCACCAAAGCCAATTTCATGTCAAATAAACCCTCTGAGTTTCAGTATGCTTATAAACCATCAAAGAGTTATAACCACCACCCTTTAAGCCTGGCGCTCAGGCAAATGTCTACAGTGTTTCCAACAGCTGTCGCTGTTGAATCAGTGCTGGCTCCGATTCCATATCAAACAAAACAGACTGTATGAAGACATATGATAGACAACACATTTCATATCGTTCAGGGCATTTATAATAATGTGTGATTGCAGCTGCAATCTGAAGTGAAACAATCTGCAAACTCTTAAAGTTCCTTTGGTAGTTGCAGGAAACGCTGACCGACAAAGCAAGAAATGTTGGCCTCACAAGTCCGCCTGTAAACCAATACAATGAGGAAAAGCTTAAAATATTTTGCTGGTCTGTGTGAGAATATTTCACAGAGTAAACAGAGCCAGGGATGCCAACACGCTCAGCCTGTGTACACTGCAAACACCCAGCCGGAGCATTAGAGGGTCAGGAGGAGGGAAGGAGGTGAAAGGGAGGTGAGCAGGTACCTCGGTCCGGGGAAGGAAGTCCGGGTCGGCCTGCACCCTCGCTATGATTTCACACAGGATTATTCCATAGGAAAACACATCGGCCTGAAAATGACACATAAAGTGCACAAAGAAAAATGACCCTTTGCTTTTGATTTTTTTGTGGCTGAGCAGCATTAATCAGCTGTGTTTAAACACCTCAGCTTGACTCGGTTTACTTGTATATGGGTTGTTATTTCACACAGTCATCATATTATTCAGCAATTACATAATCACACATGTCATATTTTCGTAATATCATGCCAAAAACCCTCCACAATGAGTGTAATCCTTCACTGGTACATCGCAAAACCTCCTTCTTAAATCAGTGACATAATATCTGATGTAACCGCGCTCCTTCACCGAGGTGAGGGTTGGGAATTTCACCTTTTCGTTGTAGGACTCGTCTCTCAGCACCTCTGGAGCCATCCAGAAAGGAGAACCGACCACGGACAGCTTCTCTCCTTCAGCGCTAGGGCACAAACACAGGGGTGTCTAATTTTATCCAGCATGTCGTAAAAATGAAGAAGTCACACGTGCCAGAAGATGTAAGCGCTTCTTAAGCTTCGGGACGTCTGTGCTGTGCCTCCCTGATGTGGTGGACGCTTTTGTACGGCCTAAATACAACAAGGCAGAGCACGACGAGGCCAGCAGTAGTCTGTTGGGATCGCGTTTGTGTTCTCATGTACGAGAGATTAAGAATAAACACGACTGAAACAATAGCTGTTTTTAAGCTGCTAAGTGCCCAGTCCTTCCTGTTTAGAGCAACGTGTGAAGACGGCAGCAGTGCTGTTTATATCTGTGAGTGACACTGTAGCTCCCCACCCAGGCTGCTTCTCAACGGTGGGTTTGAGCTTTTGCTCCAATTTGACTTAAATGTGAAACAAAAAATGGCTCTAAGCAAAAACAAAAAAGGAGAAACAGTCGAGGTTAAACTTCCTGCTATTTCCTCCATGTTATGCATGCGGAGATAAACAATTGCAGAAATAATTTAGCAACCCCCCCCCGCACACACACACACCTTTGTAGTTCTTAAGAAAAGAGTAAACTCCTGAGCTGATAGGATTCTCTTCTTATCAAAACAGCGAAGCTGAGAATGTGCGCTGTAGAGGTGGCTGTTCGTGTTAGTGTGTGACCTGTGTGTTAATAAATAACCCTGGCATGAGGAGGAGGAAGAGGAGGAATACACTTAAGTGAGAGAGCAGCAACAGGAATGTGGTGGAGGAGGCACATCCAAAAGGATTATATTGACATAGCTTGGAATAAAAATGGTATTATCTGACATACTCTTCTCATATTAATAGTTAAAACACATAAACGCGCAACTTGTTGCAACAAAACTAGTAAGATATCTTACTGATTGAGTGTTATAAAGATTTTTAGCAGATGAAAATCAAAAGAGGTATAAGAAGCTTTATGCTGTGGTCGGTCACACTCAGATCTTCAGTTTGAATCACCTGTTTGATATTCAGTCTTCAGGTTTGTGGGAGTAACATCAGAACTTGTGACTGATAGGTGTTTGACTTCTTTACATCCACCTACCAACTATGACTAACTGTGTGGAGGGGGGTTTCAAAGCTGATTTTTTGTGGAAATTCTGTTCAAAAGGCTGTGACTCAAACACAGAAAACATGTGTCATTTTCCAAAAAACTGAGGTGAAAAAGGTTGGATGGTACTTTTATCACCAACTCCAGAATTACAGCCCTATTATGATACACCGTTAAACACAGTGACAACATGAGTCAGTATGTGGGCCTTTTACTAATCAACGGAAAGGCCTGGGTGTGTTGCTGTAAATTAAGTGTGTGAACTGTGACGTCTCCTTACAGATTGGTGGGGATCTTCTCTGCCAGGCCGAAATCTCCCACCACTGCCGTGTAGCCGTTGTCATCGCACCTTATCAAGCAGTTCTGTTTAAGGCAGAAAATCGGATGATCGCTTGAGGAAGTTGTACAACAGAGAGATTTAAAAAACAAAGCGCTTTGTGGCTCAGCGTCATCGGCTGTACTTCCTGTCTGAGTTCGCTGTGAGGAAACTGCTTCCTACGATGGGTCCCGGCCAATCACCTGAGCTGTGTGCTAACGCTGCATGCAGTCAGTCTAAATGAATTCAGGCTATTTCACATGCATCCTTTCCTTGTTTTGAGTCTGTCACTGCAGAGGTTCACAGGGTAATGCTAACATCAACAGGGAAGCTAAAGTAAACTGACTTTTTAATGAGTTTAGGATCCATTATGGGAGTCCACTGTCTTGTTTTCCTCCTCAAGCTGAATAAAAGGTGCTCTAACTGGTGGGGAATGATAATGATTAGACAGCAGATTGGTCCTGTTATCTCAAAAGCACTTAACAGTTTTTGGTATTTGTTGTTTGGTTAATGTCCTCTAAACAGAGGGATATCTAATTGGATTTAAAGGAAATCCCTTTTAAACCAACAAATAATTCAATCTATACCACAAGACAACCTAAACCTGGTGAGAGGCAAGAGAACAACAGGACATATTTTCTTCGCAAGGACTACTGGAAAAATAAATGTAATTAATTATTTTCTGAGGATGTCCAGACACAGGCCGTGCAGACCTGCTGGAGGCCATGGCTACGTTTAATCGGGGCTTTCAGCAGATCTACTTTTAGCTTCGCTTTCTCCTGTTAATGACCAATTAGCCTATAAGCCAACCTTGGAGGTAAGGTCCCGGTGGAAAATGCCTTTGGAGTGCAAATAGGCCACACCGCTGGCGATGTCACAGCCGAGCTTCACCCTGGTGGGCCAACTCAGATGTTTGTTGCTGTCCAAAAGCTGCTCCAGATTTCCACCATTGATGTACTAAAGAAAAAAAACACACAAACACACATACCACATTTTACAAATGACTGATATGCAAGCACAGGTGTAGATAAATTCTCATGAAAATGAGGTTTTAAAAAAATTAGGTTAGAGGCTTAGAGCTCAGCTAATAATAGACAAAATAAACTGTTAAAATCATGTCTGCAGTGCGTCCCTAAAAAGAGATGTTTTACTGGAAGAAGGAATGACATCATGCAGTGGCAACTGACTGATTGCTTCAAATTAATGAGCTTCAGCAGCAACTACATCTGATGCTGACTGGAATTAGCCCATTTTTTAAAATCATATAGAGACTACAGAGGCATTACTCCATTACATAGCCAAAGCCACGACTTATGTGACGTGGTCATAGCGTTGTTGGCTGGCAGCTTCGACTACAGACTGTCAGTCAGCCTACTGGGTTTGCTGATGTATTGACAAACTAGAGGGGGAAACAGACAGAAGACTGGACTGTTCATCTGCCAGTTTTCTCATGCATGAATGTGGAGTGTCTGGCCATTATGAATGCTGGCCTGTGGAAAGACGGCGCGGCCAATCAGCTCAGCGGGTTTAAAGCATTCAGGGTCTTTCACTTTGTCTGCTTTGATCCTCGAGAACTTGCCTGACCTTCCTGCTGGCATGCAAACACACTAAAAGGACTAATCTCTTGTCACATATCATGAACAAGAGAGGCTAACTACAGAGAGCTGACGGGGGGGTGAGAGATCATCTGGTTTAGCTGCGGTTATTGGTACGACTGACAAGTATGGAATCAGAGCAAAGAGGGTTAGTGACGGGAGGATGTGACTGCTTCTTCATGCTGATAATAAACTCAGTTTAAAGCTTCTTTGCTGCAATCAGTTTAATGATTTCCCCGAAGAGGAGCAGAATGTCTAATGTCTAATCTTTTATAGCTGGGCGCAGACATAAGCCATTACTGAAACATCTTCCCAGAGAATTTGAAGGATAAGTGTTGTAAAGAGGCCGGCTTTGAAGGACCCCAGAAAGTCTAAGATGATGCAAAAACAGGGGTGGGAAACTCTGGTCCAGGAGGGTCGCTGTCCTGCAGGTTTCAGGTGTTTCCCTGCTTTAACACGCCTGATTCTGATTCCCTGGATCTCTTCAAAAGGTTTTTACGTTCTGCACAGGACTGCTGAAGTTGCGTTGAATTGAATCGGGTGTGTTGAAACGGGGAAACATCTAACACATGAGGGACAGCTAGCCCCAAGGACTGGAGTGGCCCACCCCTGTGCTAAGAGCCACAAGACGCTAAAAAACTTGAAATGGACGATGGGAGCTGGAAATCTTCCAGTGCTAAAGTGAGGAAGTCGCCTCTCCCCCTACCACCAGTTGATCTTTCATTAAACATCAACGAGCTGCTCTGAAATATGCTCATAAAGATGGAGTCAGCTCACGCTAATGTTTAACAGGCTCCGTTCTCTATCACTTTAGACACGCTTATATTTTAAACAGTTAACTGATCCACTGACACATACTTGGACTTTGAATCATACGTACTTAGTGCTTTAAGTAGCTCCAGGGCTCAGAACTAAACATGACACATTCTGCCGAGTAACACAAAGTTCAGAAGTCAGGTCTACAAAGGGACCACAGAGATCAGGAGGTTCCTCATTCGGTACTCAGCCACTATCAGAACTGAATTGTGAATTCAGGAAATCGTTCTCCGGTTCATTTTCTGTAGCACCAGTTGCTAGTGTTTCCTTTAACTGAACTAAGGGGGAGTTTTATATCCACTCTGATTCAAGACATCAGAGGATTTGAGTATTTGTCCAGCAAATTCCTCAGAAGCCACAGAGTTCAACATCTGCCGCCTCTTTGGGGGTTAAAAGGAAAGAGAAACAACAGGAGAAAAACTCCTCTGGAGATATTCTCAGCTCAGACTAATCAAACTTCCCTCTATCATCGATTCACGGCTACATTACGCAATCACAGGATGCGGCTAGCACACAAATGGCGTGGTGTTTGTAGGAGTAACTAATACGGCGCAGTAATCACTCCGCTGAGCACACCTCCGGGCCATACAGGAGCCCCCACATGACTGTGCACAATGCAGAGCACTGAGGAAATAAGAAACATATGCCAGGTCCTGATTGTTCGGGTTGCTCTGCCTCACTGTCTGTGTGGACAGGCTGAAACAAAGAGTCCCTGTTTTCTACAGGGAGCAGGTTCAAACGGCAGAGTAATCCTACCATGGGTCATGACTTACCATTAGTCCTGATTATGATTGCAGCAGCATTTCTTACAGAGAGCAGGACAAGGCGTCATGCTCCAGATAGTTAGTCTTTAAAGAATCATTTTCACGTGAGAACGTTAATCTAAATAAAAAGCTGGTGCTTCCGGATATGTTTAAAAAGTCATTTTTTAAATTTAAGGGGCGATTTCAGGATTTAGAGCTCACCTTTTGCATGTTGGAGTAGGTGGATTTGCAAGTGAGTGTTTGTTTGTGTGCGTCAGTGAGTTTCTTGAGGAGACTCGAGGCCACGCACTTAATTCCAAGTTGCTTTTGAGCACGGCGTCATGGAGGGGGTCAGGTAACAAAACACCACCAGCCCGCTACCAGCATCAGTGCAGGGAATCTGTTTACAGCCCAGCACTGCGTCTGCGTGCGTTAGAGTGGAGTCATTCACTCCACCTGCAGCGTGTCGTGTGAACTTGAGACGCTTTCTAGGATGCAAATGCAGAGAGCTCTCCTGTGGCTTTGTTATGGCTGCAGCAAGCACGTTCAAAGTGCCCCCCCAACGGTGTCATTTACAACATGCGCTTGAGTCTGTGAGCGTCTTCAGCGGCGTTCGCTTTCCTCAGAGTGAGATTAAGCCATTTGGTCACAGTTTGTGTATTTCAAAGTGAGAATGACAACAGGTGAATTTAGTCCGTCTGGTTCTCACTCCTGAACTAAAAAGATCTGATGGATTAAGTAGAAAAAATGCAGCCATCAATTTTCTTTTTATTGATTAGACTCTCATGAAATCATTTGTTTACCAGCTGACAAAGCTGAGCTGAAGTCCAAATTTGTAATTTCGCTAATCTAAATGACTGTATTGATATAAGTAGTTATTACTAAATATTTTGTTTCCATAACGACTTGCTTTAACCTTTATTCAATGAAAGTTAACCTTTAACTTGAAATAGTTCCAGACATTGGAAATATCCAGAGATTTTGGCTTCTTTCTTTGATGATTTTGGGTGGAAATAGGTCAGTGTAAGAGGAGATAACAGAACAAGGAAAAAATCTAATTAATTTGGTAAATGACAGAAAGAGCAGGAATTCCCTGTAACACGAACCTCATTTGTTCTATTCAACCTCAGATTTTTCTTCCAAATACAGATGCACTGACTTGACTTTTTTTGTTTTTTCTAAAACCAGCCTTTTCATTCGGAGATACTCATCAGCCATTTTCTGTGACAGTAGTGTTATAACTCTGGTTTTACTATGTAGCTTTTAATATGAAACAGCTGCCTCTTACATTAAAAGAATATTTCCAAACATTAAGCATCTCAGGAAATGTGCTGTATCCATTTCTCATGAGTTTGCTCTCTCAAGGAAGACAAAGCCAAAGTGTTTTGCGGAGGTAAGTACATTCAGTTCTTTTGGTTTCCCACAATTACAGGCTTATGTGTCCCTGTGTTGTGTTCACGGATGAGGTGATGTTCACCCTAAAATAATAGCAACATAAAGAGCTCGTGTGTAGACGCCATAAAAGCTGGAACATAGAGTCGCCGCACCACTACTGCCTTTCATTAGAGATAGAACTACAAACTGAGGTGCCATTAGTTTGTTCTGAAGTGTTAAGGTGAGAGAGTGTGTGTGTCCTACCTCTGTCAAAGCGTGAAGCTGGCCTTCATGGACACACACTCCCTTAAACCTAGGAGAGAAGACACAAATTAAGTGGTTGTTGATGCCATGTTTAAAATGAGGAATAAGACAACAAAAGGAGAGAGAAAACCCCACATAGCTGTTCATGGTTTAGAAGCTCCACAACAAAAGGACACACAAAAAATTTGGAATATAAAAACAAACTTGACCGTGTTCATTCACGAGTAAACAAACAAAGCAGGAGGAATAGTTAGAAAATAATTAAATTTCCTGAAGGCAAGACCAGACAGGTGATAACAGTCGTTGAACTAGAGGATAATAACAACTCAGATGCTTCACCTGCATTCCTTCCATTCAGCCCTCCGTTTTGGTTTTCACCCTTTCAGACCCATTCATCTAAATAAGCATCTTCTGGGGTTTTTTTCCTATAAAAAATCTTCTTTAAATCCTCTTATACTATGAAACAACTGCTTAACAGAGGAAAACTGCTCCAATTTATGTTGATAACGTATAGTTTTTAGGTTATAAATTGAAATCAGCACATAGAAATGCATCTGATAAAGACTTTAAACAGGCTGGATGATGATCTCACATTGAGTGTGTTTGTGTAAAAACATGAGGACAAACTTTGTTCACTTGCTGCATTGAAGACCTCGTTACTCTGAAGGCAATGAAAAGGTCAACTTTGGATCTTAGCAAACAATGACCTCACAGAGAGCTTGCTAACACAAAGACGGAGACTCTCAACAAGCCATGCCCAACAAAGATAGCATTGTGAGTGATGTGTGTATGCCTGTGTATGCACACCCCGAGATATTTATGCATGTATGTGCATGTTCAGTACACGCTCGCCCACCCAGAACCTCAGCGCTGAACGTACAAAACAAAAACAATCCTATTTTGGTCAGTGAGACAAAAAAAGACCATTTATCGCTTAAAAGTTGTGCTTTCTTTTCAATTTCTTTTAATTGTCGTGCACGTTGTCATGCAAACTGGTGAGAAAAACTCTGTATTCACCTGCAATAACATGCATGCTTGCTAACTGGATCTGACAATGGGTGTGAACACAACCAGGAAAAAACTGACAACAAACTGGGCCTTTTTTGTCTAACTGACCACAAAAAGCACCTTTATACTCACAAAACACACACATTCACACGGCCCTCTGCACGTGCATTTAGTTTTCTCCCTCACACACGTTTGCACATGTCGGAAGCAATGCTGGGTTCATGAGGAAGCCATGGATCGAACACCAACCTTTTTATTAGTAGCCTACGAGTGGAAACAAAACCTTGTAACTGTGCAGATTTTGTGTTAACGCCCAGCTAAGGTCATGCCTCTTATATAAAGAGGTGTAAATGCTTTAAATGACAGCGGTTTCTGGTGCTGAACTGTGTAATGCACCCAGACCCAGGCTGCATTGTGGCATTTGGGCTTGGCAAAGAGTACTGGAGAGGCCCAAGTGTTTAATCTGTGTACAGGGCTATAATTAATCACCATTTGCTGCCAAACACCTCTAATAGTATCAATGCACACGCACAAAACTTTTCTGAGTTACAGTCGGCTTTGGCGGTACAGGTCTCTGCCCATTTTGTCAAACGTATCAGTGGCCGGATTATCCAAAATGCTGACATCACCGTTCAAAGTCTCTGCCTTCTCCCTCACAACAATAAAACAGAAAAAAGGTCCTCCTCGCTTTTCCCCTCACGGCATCTGCTGCAGCTCTAACAGGAGCTGGCAGTTTCAGAAAATCCATTGTTAATAGGCTGTGTGTTTGACACAGTTTCTAGTCCTCCGCAAAGGAAACGGGTCACAACCACAGGCGCATGAGCAACTGAGAGAGCACCGGGTAGAAGACGGGGGTAAAGGGGGGATACATATATGACCAAAGAAGCAGGGGTTGGTGGAAATGTGTAAAGCATCTCCATAGAAAAAGGAAAAAAAAAGATTCAAGTCTTAATTTAATATGATAACTTGTTAAATGACAAGACATATCCAGCTTCTCACACCGGGGGTGGCAGCACATCAAGAATCAGCTGATGTTACGTCATGATGGAATAATCGAGCCAGCCAACAAAACGGAAAATAAGCTTTATTCATAAGCCGCATGAATAAGGGTTTCAAGCTGGTCTGCAGTGGCCCTTCGCCAATGTACAAATTATTAGTATTAGAACTACATGAAATGAGCGCATTATGCTTGCTGGCAGCCGGTTCCGACTTGCCGAGCTGGCCGGTGGCTCGGTTACCAACCTGAGGATGTTTGGATGGCAGAGGCGGTTCATTAGCTGGACCTCTCTCAGCATGTTGGCTCTGTTGCTGCTGAGTTTGTTCATCTTCAGAGCCATGACCTGGTCTGTGGCTCGATGGCGAACCTGCAAAAAAAACGAGAAGGTCTGTCTCAGCTTTGTGGAGAAGTTCGTGCACCCTAGACCTGAACACATGGAGAACACACAGCGAGAGGACACAGGAGGCATAAACGAGATGTGAAATGAGGTCAGTCCCTGTTGACCCGTCATGACATTCAACACGCCACAAAATCGATTGGATATTGCTGTGCATTGGGATTTTGGTACCATCTCGGTGTTAGACCACGGTGGCATTAACTCCCATCACGGCTGACCGGATCCCACCTCAGACACGACACCAATGGCAGTCATTTAAACTAAAGTCTGAAGGTTCACTCATTTAAATGCTTTATATTTCATGTTTGTCGTTTCCTCTGTCCAGATCCTCTCTAAAAGATGTCAAAATTACATTTTCATGTTTAAAAAAAAAAGCCCTGTAGTTCATAAAGGCTGTTTTAAGAGAGCTTGTCATTGTGAAAGGGGTGATTACCAAGAATACGAATTGCTGTGAATCTATTCATGCACGCAAGCAAATAGGAAATATCAACCTGGAAACCACAGAAGACGTGCAGCTGCAGAGGCTGACTTCTGTCCACCTACATTTGACAACTAATTTCCCCGCAGCTGATGCATTTCTCGATCCGGATGCAAATTTGAAGGATGAATTGATCTCTCTGTGTTTGAGTCTCCAGATAAGACGGTGAATCGTTGGGAAAAATCTAACATATAAATGCAAAACAGGGCTCCATATGTCCTATTAGTGTGCCGATGGAGCCATCGTTCACCCTAATCCAAATTCAACATGTAAATCAGGTGCTAGTGCAGCTCCAAGAAGATTTCAATTCAGCCTCTGAAACCCAAACCGCAGAGACTGACGGACTGTCACGAATAACGGTGACAAAAGGGACCAGCTTCCTGTCATCCTCACAACGGTGCTCTTAATATCTTCCTCTAACACTGCCACAGCAACACCATAGATAGTGGGAATCAATTACAGCAGAAAGGGGAACTGACAACAGTTAAAATGAGAGGCACAAGCAGCCCTGACAAGGGAACTCTGACATCTAAAAATGGACAGCACTGCCACTCTTTCAGTATTTTGAAATACAGCCTTCGATTATCAGGGATGATCAGGATCATAGATTTGGATTAAGTATACCGGATCAAATCTTCTCGCCGTCTCTTCCACACACAAAAATCCCTCTGTTCAAGTTCAAAGGAGGGGGCCCTGGCTAAGAGGCGACAGCAGAAACAACAGATGGCCACTCCTCTGAAGGCCTCCTCCCCCACATCCGTCTATCCTCTTCCGACCCCCCAACTCCTCACTCTTCACGTGGGGGGATGTGTGTCCCGGTGCCCCCTCTTTCTCCTCCACGCTGCGGCTTCAAACAAACCGCCATGCCCAGTCCAAATCGCTCCCCGCAGTAGAAGAATCTCCTCCACCTTCCTCTGATGTCCCCCCCCCTCATCTTTAGAAACTCGCCTCTCAGATGGAGTCCCTTGTCCTCCCAACTCTTTTTCCTCCATCCCGCCCCCCAAACCCAAGCAAACCAAGTTAAAAATAACCCCTCATCTTCACTAGCTCCTCTTCATGTGCTCAATGGACACCTAAAACTTCCACTCAGCCCCTTTTTCATCTCCTTTAACAGTCCTCCCTCCTCAGCACTCTGCATCCAGAGGCTTTCCCTCCCCTCCGTTTCCCAGCATCTACTGGCCTTTTTATTTGATTTTTTTCTACTTTTTTCCACTTGTCGTTCCTATATAGCTTTAAGCGTTTCAGTGGTAAACTGTCCTCCCCTTTTTTATTCTTAAAATGCAGATTCTTTCCTTAAAGGACTGAAAGAGCCACTCACAGGAACTTCCAATGAGACTGTGCAGGAGTTTAACATTTACCCGTGTATAATATCTCTCAAAGAGGAGTCACGCTTTTAGACCAAGAGAAAAGCCAGTTTGAATACTCTGCTTTAAAATTTCCGTTGAACTGGCTGTTGGCAACTTTCCAGTCTAACCCAATAGGAAGTGTGCTCCATCACTGGAAACAGTAAACTGTTCTACATGCATTTTATGTTTTTTCAATAACTGTGTATAACACACATGTTTATAACTAATGTACAGTTTTTTATGGCCACAAAAGTCACGCATTTCTTTTTTATAGTGCTAGTTATGGCTGAACAACCTTGAGTGTTGCCATATCGCCCAAAATTAAGTGGGAACTGCTATAAAAACTGCAACAATAAAATTAAAAGGCTCATAAAAACAATCGCATTATGGATTGATTTGCATTTCCCACTCACAAGTTCATAACAGCAAGAAGTAAAGCGTGACATAAGCCTGGATCAGCTCATCTCCGAGACAGAATGAGAGATAAATCAGTTCATTACGCCACTCGTGTCACACGGACTAACTGTGCAGTTAATGACCTCTGGTACTAAAACCATACGGGGATTTTGGGGAATTTCTCATAAGTAATATGAACTGGGTAACACTCAAATATCTCAGAGCCTTTCTCTAACTTTACCAGAATATTTCCCATCTGAACATTCCTCTCATTTTTGGTTCTTGTCATAGGTCAAACTAAAAAGTTAATGCCTGAATAAATGCCAAAAATAATCTGTTAGTCATCTGTGTACCTGAGCTTTTCTCTTAGAGAAGTAGAAGTAGAAGCTTCAAATTTCCCACTGACACAGAGGACCTGTTAATACATCTGACAACAGGAGATGAATTCATTTTAATTTCTCTACTGGTGATAGTTCATTTAGCAAAGCCAAACTAATAAATGTGCCTGTATGACCTCCAGTCCCATGCCCACAGGGGAGGGGGGGTGTAAGTGATGTCTGATGTGACCTAAAAATGTCAAACCGAGACTAGTTAGTGAAGATAACTCACAGTCGATGTTTGACCAACCAAGCAGATCAACTTGACAAGATCAAACCAAATGGAAAACTACATTAGGTTCAAAAGTTTTATGCCCCATGAACACAATTTAGTCAACGGGGGCCCAGTCTTCCACTGATAGTCTGACCTTTTTACAAAATGTAGAGCATGACTGTGATGTATGCGGGGAAAAACCCATCTGAGATCAAATTTAGATCAGACGGGCCGCTTTAACCATCACAAAGAGCTGCTGATGGATGGAGTGAAATGTGAAAAGAAAACAAGAAGAGACGGGAAAGTTTCAGGATCTGGAGGGACAGCTGAAGGAAAGATAAAGAGAGCATAACAGGAATAAAAGTTAGATCTGATCTGAACCCACCTTGAAGACGTCGGAGAAGAATCCAGAGCCAATCCATTCACACGTAAAGTCATCGAGGCGTGTGAGACAGGAAAAGGCACTGATGAGGGCTCTGTAGGAGGACGGACACACCCTGCCCACCTGAGGGAGACAGGAACCTTCAGGAATATTCAGACTAAATAAAGATTAGGACTAAAAGACAAGATTTTTTATATGAAGACTGATTTGGATCATAAAACACAGAGATACAGAAGCGTTTATACAGCTGAGCTCATTCAGCCCCTAAAACTAAGAAGCACACAAATTCTTACTCCATGTCCACACGGAAATTAAACTTTAAACAATCGCTTAATCATTTCAGTTTACTATCAGTAAACTGAAGAATCAGGGGTGTCAAACCAGGAAAACATCCAAGACCTGCCGGACCCCCGAGCCAAACCATCCCCCCAAATCTTACTTAATCTTTTTAAAAATCAAAGACTGATGAATGATGACTCTGAATTATCTGTTGACCTTACCTTATCTATTTGTTGACAAAAATACAAATAGCTGCCTGCAGCTCCTTAGTCTTTAAATATCAAATCAATATCCAGTTAAGCTCCATTAAATTCATGATTTCTTGAATACCACCATATTTTACCGTTTGTTACAAAAACATAAACCCAGACACACCATACATATAAATAGAGTTCTCCTGGTGTAGCCAGACTATCCTCATTCCCCTCGCCCACTTTTCAAGAGATGGCATGATCATTTTCTTTCATCACAGGTGATTGGTTACATCACATCAACACGGCTCTCCCAGAGCAGCCATTAAAAGATCGTTATTCTGTTATTCCATGCCAGCAAAGGGAGCTATCAGCTTTGGACCAGAGCTGAATTATTAAACTAAATATCAATCATGAAGTGCACATGAACACAGACTGACCTGTGAGGGCGGGCCCATCTCAGAGACTCCTACCCCTCCAGCACCGTCTCCATCCTCAGTGGGGCGTTCGGGCCGTGTGGGAAACCCGGCGATAGAGTTGCGTTTATTCCGGTCCATAGCGATGTGGAAAAAGGTGACAGGGTAATGCGGGCCTTTTTCTGTGATGTACCCACATGACAAAGAGGACTCAATTGTTCTCTGCAGAGCCGAGAGTTTCACGGCAGCCCAGCGTGTGCTCAGTTTGTACTATGGAAGAAAATGTATCACACGCGTACACCTCAGGTTTAATTTTATTCAGGGTGTCCCTCCTGACAAACCCTGGCAAGATCCAAGCGGATTCTTGCTAGTCCAGTTCCTCGCTGCTGGTACCAGACAAGGCCAGTATGACAGGCCTTCACATGGCAGAGAAACTGTGAGTCCTTAGAGACCTAAAACGAGAGGAAAAAAATAATGAGTCAGCTTTTGTCAGTTTTATACGGTGTGTTTAATGAGGGAATTTAATCTAATGTTCATAGGTTCTTCCATAGAAGGGCTGGTTCATTTTCCTTGAAAAAATGAGGTATTGAACAGTCACTGTGGCGGTAAACTGGCTCTGACCTCAGGACTGAAGAGGCAAACCATTTTTGCTCAACAGGCTCAAATTTAATGGCTGTAATAGGGGCCGATTGTCCAATTATGGGAGATTAGCCAAGGAATAGCTCAGGTCCCAGACCTTTTATGCCATCCAAAACAATGTCAGCAGGGTACGCGGGGAACAGGAAGGGACGTCCTTGGCTTAAAATATTTCCTCCAAACTCGTAAACAATGCCGCTTTTATATCTTTTGAGGAGACCTCATGCCAGAGGGAGATTTTGTCTGTTGTAAAGCATGTTGAGACTGGCTGTCCTTACTCCAATACTCAGAAAATACTCAAAAGCACATTCCAAGATAATCTCCCATCAATTATGCTTTTGACAGTGTCTGTAAAAAGCTAGTGTATGAACTAGAGATTAATAATTACCCCCTTAGGTGGAGGGTCTGGGGTGTGGATGTCTAATAGAAAAATCAATCGAGCAACCTTTGATTAAAAACAGTGAGGACTAATGACCTTTATCAGTGTACAGCTCTGAAAATCCTCAAGGCTAGTTTGCCAGCATGTAGGACAAGTGCATCAATAATTTATTTATTAACCTCCTCTGAGCTGAATTGATGGATGACTCATAAGGGTTATGCTGCAACAAATGCTATTCTAAAAACGTACAAATTAGAAAAATAATTTCTAATTTCTATTTTAGTCAATGTTGTTCGATTCATCTTTAAGATAAATGTTGTCAGTTGGGATATCAATATGAAGCCTCCTACTCACACACAGAGATGCTACAAACTCATTGGATTCCTTAGGATAACTAGGCAACCATAATTTCTTCTGCAAATAGACCACACTAAAGGCAGCATTTGCTGTTTTTAACCTGAAACAACTTCAGAGTTGATCAACTCCCACTGTTATGAATTAGTGTGTGCACACAGGGCACAGCACAAACAGTCTGGCTGAACTTGCCCTGAGACATAAACAGCAGCAAAGATGAAGAGAATTTCAGTTTTTTTTATATGAAAAAAGTCAATCTTGAGCCCGCATGGGGGAGAAAAGGATCAAATCCTCGAAACGGGAATGACACAACAGTTACTTCAGACCAACGGGACGGCTTATGAGATCATTCCCTTTCCCAGACACATCCTTAAAAGGCTTCTCTATCCTCTTCCTTTTCTTTTTTAACTTTTGTTATTTTCGACCAATGACACCTCATCTCATGCATCACTGTGATGGCACAGCAGACATTCAAGTGCCTGAAGAGCCACAGGTACCAGAACAAAGATTTCCTCTCTATTTTCAAAAGGCTCTTCAACCAAGAGAAGGAGCAGAGCAACACGTCTCAGTGTGATATGAGTGGACCTGAATAAGCCATCAAGGAAAATATAATATCACACCTAAAATCACAATAGCAACTAGGAAGAGGATCTGTATTCACACTTATCCATGTGAGTGTTAATCTAAAAAAGTCTGTTTGTGTCTTCCTGATTAAAGCAGGATAAAAACCAGCAGTGTGAATTTTCACAGCTACTTGAGGTAAAAATGAAAAAGCATGGATGATTAAGGACATAACTGCTATTGTCTCATTTAAACTCCAACATCGCCACAGACATCAGAACAAACCCTGAGAGACAGATGGGTGTGAACCGGCCCTGACCATGGCTAAAGAGAGGAGGGCCCAGGAGGATCTTCTACTAGCAGAGGGGCAAAATGGTTTAACTTCTATTCTAACTTTATTCTTTATCCCAACTCTCTTCTTCCATCGCCAAAGTTCTCTCTGCATTTTGGAGGAAAAGTATTTATAAAAAAAAATCTACCAAATGGATTATATCTGCATATTGGTAAACACCAAATCCTATGCATCCCTTCTTTAGATACTATAGATTTGTAAATTTTCCACATGTTATAGCTCTCTATGATGCAGCAAATGATGACAACCAAAATAGATGCAAGCCACCCATGTTCATTACTACGGGTATATTTGTTTCCTAACTATACCCCTGCTGTTTACGGATTCCGAGAGCATGCATTTAAAATACCACACTAAAGGACTGTGCTTGAAACAGGGTGGAATTTTTTCTTGGTCTGTAAAATGTGGCCTTTTCTACTCCAAAACAGATGGGCCAACACCAAAGCAGCCTAAGGCAAAAATGTTTTAACAGTGGTTGAGAGGCCTGAACACCATCCAGCTGTGTCCCAGTGGATTACAGACTAATAGAAGAAGTCAGTCATAAATCAAAAATCAAGTGATGCGAAAATGATAGACTGCAGCATGGAGCAGGAGGTTTAAAATGGGCATGTATGCCTGCTCTTTTTGCACATGCATCATAAATGCTGAGAGACAAAAAGTATTTTAAAGCACATGGTGAAAGTTTATGACCATCTCCTTTGATCGTTTGTGGATTCATACTCAGTCTTTTCAGGCCAATCTCATATAAGGCACAGATCCCTTCTTAGATAAAGGAGAAATGGCAAGAATGTGAGGGGTCACATCCAATATAACTGGAGATCAGCCTCTTATCTGATCACAAACCCTGTGGAAAACTTCCTGTATATAACAGCCCCGTGCATACCTACCATTCTTCAATTGTTTACAAGCACTTTAATAATGCATAAGGCTGGAAGAGAGAAAAAACCTGCCGTTACCTGGATGCTGCAGGCAGCATTTTTGCCTAACGTTATGCAGCTGTAGGCTACAAGACTCATTAACATGAGATCCACAGATAAGATCTCATAGCGGAATTTCTATGTGTAACTTGTTAAGGATGCGGTGTGCATTCCAAGGTTAAAAAATGTAAACAAACCAGAGAAGCAACAGTGAGTCTCAGAGTTTACTCCAGTTAAAAGTTTGGCTGACTCACCTGTTTATATTGCATTGGGGAGTTTACAAGTAAAGTCCAAGCTGGGATAACCGTTTTCTACCAGGAGGCATTTCGAGAAAACGGAGAAAAAAAAGGAAAATAAAAAACTAACGCCACAACAACGTTGCTAGCTCAGTGACTAGCGGACGGGCTAGTTTGTCAACAAAACTCAAGCGAGGCAAAGAGCTAACAGACATTAGCCCGAGATCCCACAAACACGCACAAACCATAAGTTTCCCACCGTGACGTCTACAAAGTCCACATATCCAAAAGGCGTGATCCCGAGTTGAAAGTAAACTTTACCGCTGCCGTTACGTTGTCCAAAAAAGAAGGAAAGAGCGGCGGTTCCCCCTGTATCACCCGTGATAATATTTCAAACGACTGTTGCTGTTTGACAGCTCCGTCGTCTCATCCAGTTACTCCCACTGGCCCCGCCCATATTCGATTGGCACATCTCTGAGCCAATGAGCGTGCGTTCCTGCTTGTCACCCACCAGACCTGAAAGATACTAAATGAAACACCGAAAATAAGAAGTATTTATTCATTAGAGGGAGACTTTAGCTTGCTTTTTGGTTTTTCTTAATACTCTAATAATACTTTTTCTTTGGTGATTTCCAAGTTCCTCTACATTTCTTTACAACTTTACAGCATGTGCATCTCAGCATTAATTTGACAGTTATCTAGGTCCATACAAATATCTTAAATATGAACAAACCTTTTCTGTAAAAATCTCAGTTTTTGGGAGCAAAAGCAAGCACAGACGCCACATTTAGAGTTTGATCCACCCAGTTTTAGTGTGTCAGAATTAAACTCTTTGAAGTGCAAAACAATAGCAGAACATTGAGTTATAATTTTACTTTTATCATCTTTTTGTCTCCATCTGAGATAATAGGTTTACCAAATGCCAAATACCTAATCGTTTAGAGGAGTTATTGTTAAGAAAATAGCTTTAAAGAATGTATTTAATTTTAATATATATATTTACACAAGACATCATTTTGTCAAGAACAACTTAAAATGTCTAGACAAATTGGGCTAAAAAGGAAGAAAATAAATAAATAACGGACTAATTGAACATAGTGAAGTTTAAGCATGAGAACAGACAGCGTAACCACAGCTTCTGTTTACTTTAGTGGAAATACAGCCTCATCTGGTGGCAGGTCTGCAAAAACAACAGCTGCACAATGCCACCCACAGGCTGTGTGGGTTTGATTAAACATGACTCACACATTAGTTTGGTTTTAAGTGGCATTGAGTAACAACATGGACTGGAAGACATTTCTCTTCATGTGATGCAGGAGCAGTTTTATAAAGCTGTTGGTGAATGTTTATGACATTTTTTTATCTCCAAGCCACTACTTGTGTGGGTTCAGTTTCTGTCCGTTTACAAGAACTGACATATGCCTACCATCTCAGGAACATCTCAGGAAGTGCAAGTGGGGCAGAGAAATGACAAACTTCTGATATTGATTCAGCTGATTCAGCAGTATGTGGTCTTGGATTGCTTAGGCCAGATATTTAGAAACAGAGAAAGGCTACAAATTATTCCGAATTGTCTATAGGTAAGGGAATTTAGTTAACTGCAGCAATAAATCACAATAGCACTCATTGACAATCGCAATAGCCTTTTTAAGCCCCCAATACATGTTCTCTCATTTAAACAGTGTTGCACGATTATTTACTCATTTCAGGCATTATTATATGTCCTCTTAAAGGATTTTTTTTTAAGTATTTGTATTTCAGTGGCACAAAACGGCCAAGTAAAACAAAAAAAGTAAATAGGTAAAACCTTTTCCAATATTAATTTCAGATGTGTGTATTTTTACTTGTAAAGACACTACTGAAATGGATAAAGGATTACTTGAACACACAATTTAAGTGCAGCATTAATAAAATAACAGTAAAAAGTAAAATGTTATCAATAGATACATTTATTGAACTAAAAATAGATGAATGTCGCTAAAATATGTCAGTTCCTGAACTCATGACGTCATTATTTCCAGCTGAGAATTTTTGGCCTATCAGCAGCGCCGTACATCTCCGTCACGTGACCGTGGCCGTTTCCTGTTGCTATTGTACTACTCTTCCATGTTTTTCAGCCAGATCAACAGCTGTAATGTAAACTAAAAGGGGGACGACAGCTGCGGTTGTGTGATTTGTCCTCACATTCGTGAGTCCGCCTAACGTCTGCCACGTCGCTACCGCCGGTAGAGGCTCTGTTTCGTGGCAAAATGGCCAACTGTGTGGCATTCCAGAGCAAGTTAGCCTCCATCATGGAGATGCTAGCCAAAGCAGCCGTGGTGGAAATCAGCAAACTATGGGAGGACGGATTCGCTCTCGTTCAGGTCGAGCTTCGCCGGAGAGAAAGTGAAATTGAAGCACTTAATAGAAAGTTGAAGTCGATGGAAAACGAGCGGTTAACGGGTCTTCCTCAGGTCACTAATAAGTCCACATCTTTTTCTAAAAGAGAGCAGCAGAACAAGCTGCTGCCGCCCGCCGGTGATGGTAAGAACAGCCAAAATACACAATAATAGCCACTCTATACTTAACAAAAAAAAAACTTTTGTTATATGCCACATTATGTCCGCATGCATAGACTGGACCATATGTATTACATAGCCACAGTTTGGTTTCTTGAGGGGGCCACAAGAGCAATGGGTGTCATATACAGACATATCGCTGTGACCATTTTGATAAAAGTTTCAATTGAAATTGTTTTATTGGCATCTAAAAACAAATAAATACGATCCCAAATTATTCTCTAGTTTAAAACATTACATGTCTTAAAAGCATAAACTAATAAGCAAGTTTGTCCAAAAGCAGATGTGCAATACAATTGATGTACTGCTCAATTTCACTCTTATCGGATTTATTGTGGCACGGCCATTCGCCGATATTATCGTAAATATTTCATCTTCTATTAAAACTGGTGGTTAAGTTGTTTAATCAGGACACGTCGTCCTGTTGTGTCCTTTCAGGGCCGTCTGCAGAGTCGGTGCAGACCTCGTCCTCTGTCCAGAGCAGCAGAGATAAGGCCGACTCCTCAGTGAGCAGCAGCTCTCCGCCACCTGCTCAGACAGAGGAAAAACAAGAGGAGCCGTTCAAATCCGCCCGCTGCGAGGACAGGAACGACCATGACTTAACCGTCAAGCTAGAGGACGAGGACGACGTCCAGATTGTGGAGGGGTCAGTGGACGCTGAGCGCGGCAGTAACGCCGGAGCAGGTCACCGCGAGATGGAAACGAACCACCAGCCCGTCGAGGCCGGGCAGGAGCCGGAGAGCCGGCAGTGGCTCTGCGTGTCCGTGGCAGACAGCGACACAGAAGACAACTCTGACTTTATCTTCGAACCAAAGCAGCCATCGCAAAACCTGGACTCGGAAATATTGCTCATTCAAAACGCCTTGGACATTTTTGACAATTCCGCAGAGGCGGCATACTCTGACAGGTTCTTGAGGGATTGTGAGACAGTGCAAAGTGCCTCAAATAAGCCCAGAGTTCCCATGACTTTTGGCCAGTCTCAGCCAAGTGTACCCACGGAAGCAATAAACCGCCCTGAGCGAGGAATGTCGGTTCGATTCCCCTCAGAAAAACAGCCTAAACAGACTAAAAACATGTCGGCTTTCAGCCCAGAGAGCAGGTTCTTCCTTCTAAACGACCCGGAGTTGCACAAAACGATGGCGAACCGCCGCATTAAGGAGAAGTGGTACATCTGCCCGTTCTGCGGCAAAAGCTTCGACCGCATCAGCCACCTGGAGATCCACCAGCGGATCCACACAGGAGAGAAGCCCTACACCTGTGACACATGCGGCAAGAGTTTCTCACAGAGGAGCAACCTGCGCACGCACCAACGGACTCACAGGGAGGCTCTCACCCAAAACGCGGCTTAATGCAAGAACTTTAGAAACATCAGTGTCATTTGTGTTTAGCTTAATTGATTTTATGATGTATTTTAATACCGAAAAAATGTAGCCAATTGATTTTATGTGCACATTTTTAGAAAAACAATAACTTTGACCCTGTTGTCAAAACTAACATTGGTACTCCTGACCTGTTCAGGGCTTTATTTAAGATAATGAATTTAGATTTTTTTTACATCCTGTAAATAAGGAAACACCTCTGTCTTAAACCTTTGGCTAATTTGATGTCAGTCTCTGCATATGTTTAGATGGAAAGGAATTTTCCAGTAAAAACTTCTAAAATCTTACCCTTAAAGGAAAAAAGATAAATATTACAGAAACCCATCATCAACACCAGCCTGTGTTGATTATATTGACTTGCTCACAACAAATTTCAACTGGGAAGATCAGGATTTAATGCAAACGAAAGCCAGATTTCAAACTCAGGAACTTGTGTAAGGTTTGTCAGACATGCATTCCCAAGAAAGGCGAATTTACTCCTTTTTATCTTTTTTGACAAAACTGTTCTGAAACCAGGTGAGCAAATTTGTCTTTAAAGTTCAGAGTAACAGTTATATGTTCATCTCCTAAACAAAAATAGAATTTTGGATAAGATGAAGGCTTGGGAGGGGTGTAAACATTGTAACGAAGGCCCAACATGTATTTGTACCAAGCCCTGTAACTTATAAATGGAGAAAGAAAGGAATGTAAACATGTGATTATTGTCTTGTGCCCAGAAGCGCTGCGCTTCCGGCTGGCTGTAGCATCAGAACCTCTCTTCCTCTGTCCGTTTTCAGGTCACACTGGGAAAACACAGCAGCAGCTCAGATGCACATCTGGATAACCAGGTGAACTGGACCAGAAGGAAATTCACCAGTGGGATCATAGGAAAACAAATATTTTACCACAGTGATAAATGGTAGACGTTTTCCACCGTTTTCATCATCTGAATCTTCTTCATCACACTGTTTACGCACCATCAGTTTGTTCACATTTCATTCATATTAATGGTGATACCTCTTTACTTAAGATACTGTCACTAAAGGATCCTTCCAAGTTAAACATATCTCTGTCAGGTTTTTTAAGGGGCTTCCCAATGGATCCATACTACTTTAGGATTTTTTTTTGCACTAAAATAAAAGGAACTAAACAAAGTTTCTTATCGGTTTGTTCAGTTTCAGCATAATTCTGCAGTCGGTCCTCAAGTCTTGAACTGAAAAGAGGTTAGGCTAACCGTGGGTCCACACTCTCCTAAAGGTGTTCAAATAGTCTTCATATCACTTTAATAATGCTCAAATTATTCGATAGATAATCATATCAGGGAGGAAATGGTTCATACAAAGGTGACTCAACCCATGACGACTCACCTGAAGTTAAAGAAGCTGATGATGATTTAAAGCAGGAACAACTTCAAGGAACAAATGAACAGACAACTTGGAAAGTTGCATGTAGCTCATTTAATCTGTAAAAATCGCATACATAACAGACTAGTCTTATGGGACGTGTGTGTTGGGCTCTTTTTAACCGAGTCTCAGCTTTGAGTCCTAAAAGTCTGCGTCAGGAAGCTGGACACCTGTCAGGTGTTCTGGATGGATGATAGTTTTTTTTTCTGGGATCTTCACCTTAACAGAAAAAGAGAACGACAGACTCCTCTCCGTGGATAGGCGAGAGGCCTGTGGTGAATGCACTACAGTCATGCAGCCACCCATTCTCTGCGTTAAACATCACAAAAGTATGCTGTACTTTTATGAAGAAACATTTCCACACAGACATAAATAAAAAAAATATTTACACTGTATTCACCCTCTCCTCACAGTCCTTCCATATGGACGGTATTCATTCAAAGTCCATCAGGTCTCCACTGGTCGGCAGTAAGACTTAGACCTAGTCTCAGTTCCTCCCTTTGGCTCCATATCTCCCTCTTTGACAGAAACTTTGAGGGCTACTTGGATTTCTCGATGGCCACTCTTCTGTTATCCTTTGAACCTGTACTGGGACTAGACGGATATGTAGCTCGCCAGCTCCAGTTTGTTGTATTTTACCCTTTAGAAATCTGCACGTTTGCTTGTTCTTCATAGTAAGAACTATTTTTGACCTTTCATTAGCTGACAAAATAAAAATAGAAAACTATTTTGTGTAAATATATATATACATATTACATATGTGTAAATACACAGGAGCATGATGGCTGTAAATATAGTCATATTGCCCATGTTGTCCTCCCTGAATGGTTTTTATGTAAACGGTAGCATATGTGAAAGACAGGATTCTTGGATAATTGTATTTTGGCGCTGAAAAAAAACTGGATATCGAGGTATAATTAACCGGATGCTCCGGGTCCACCTTTTAAATTTGTAAACTTGGTGTGAGGAGAACCTCGCCTCCTTGCTGAGGCAAGGAATGAAAATTAATCAGAGCGAGTTAGTGAAACAGACGCAAACCCTCCAGTGACTTGACTCAGTTAGTGGATCATCAAAATATTCAGAATAAGAAATAATTAAAAAATTCCAGCTCCTAAGTCAACCTCAAAATCCCTCATTATCATCCTTTCTTTCCGTTTCCCGTCACCTGGACTGCCTAATGGGTGAATTAATTAAAAGATCCCCAAATTATTCAAAAGTTAAGTCATTTTAAAGTAAGGATAGGAGTTTAAAATATCACCAATCGGTGGGAAAATGTGCATGAAGGTGCCGCTTTGGGCTAATCACAGACACACACACACCTTGTGTGTTAAAAAATAACCATCCGGTAAGAAAGAGTGAGGTCCTGCAGACAGTCGGCTTCAGATGATGATTTTACTGGGGTGCAGCAGCACGGCGTTGGAGTCGGGTTTGGGCCGGAGAAAGCCTTTGCTGTAGTAAAAGTGATTGTTGAGAGCGTTTGTGATTTGGTAAGAGCCGCCGTCGTCCTCATCCTCGCGCTCCTCCACCACGGAGTCGTCCTCGGGGGGAGGGTCTCCCTCCTGCACCAGGCCCGGGCCCGGATCCTTACACCCGTCGTCCTGCTGGGGCTTCAGTGGAATTAAAGATGAGGGAAGACCAGAGTCCTGAAAAAGAACAATCTTTAAAATATTGTCCTTTGAAAAAAAATCAAAAGATATTAGGAAATTAAATTTTAAACTCGAAGATAACCCAAATTCAAATCGGTTTCGGGAAATTGATGACATAAAATGTCCTGTAGTTTTTAATCTTAGGTCACATTCAATCAGCAACTTTTGTGGCAGGACAACCAATCAGATGTCACTCTTTTGGGTTTATAGGCAAATGGGTTGACCTGCAGATTTTGGCAAGTGAAAACAATCTAAAGAACTCTTCTGAACACAAAAAACATCCGATATTTATGCTACTAAAGTCGAGAGGCCTCCCATGATGCACCTCTCTTCCTGCTGCTCTCTTTCTCCCCGTGCACGTGTGACTTCGTTAACTGGTGTTTCTTTTGTCAGCAGGTATCCCGGCCCAGTGTCGCGGTGGTTTATTCTCGATTATAAATTAGTTTTTCCACTCCAGTGTATCCTCACACATGCTCATAGGATCAACGGGAAACTTTGAAGCAGTCTGTGGGTTTCCTTAGCTAAAAAACTGTTATGATCTGAAATTGTATGACTTGAACAAATTTGATTTCTAATTCCTTCAGCTTTCAGGAGCCTGGAAGTGACTTTTTTTTTCTTCAATATGGCACAACGTAACTCTGAACTGAACTGATAAGTTCCACAAGCATTCACTGGACTTCAATTAAAAAAAGAAAAAAAACATGCCAAATTTTCAGTTTCAGACTTTTTTTTATAAAATATTTCTTAGAGACGATAGTAGTTTGACATCAATGAAACATCAAATCGTGACTCGGACAGGAAAACTGTCCTGATAACATTTACAAACTGGTGAAAGAACGACGGGGACGCCTGCCCTTCGCTCCGGCCTCCAGTACAACATCAGCAAAACACAAGGAATAGTTACAGAGGGGGGGGAAAAAAAATAGGTTTAAGCTTAATGTCTCAGATGCTGACTGGTACCAGTGACATGTTGCTGCTCTTCATGAACAACTCCATCCTGGCGTTGTGCTCCTCCTTGGCCACGCTCCTCTCTGCCCCCCTCACCCCGCCGTCCTCCCAGATCATGGGACGTCCGAGTTCGTCCAGCTCCACCTCCTCTGCGTTCGGCCACCTCCCGCCCAGGGTGGACTGGCTGCCCTTATAAATGGAACGTCCCTAGAGAGAGAGGGAGGGAGGGGGTTAACAAACTGACAGCAACAGCTTAAGACCACGAAATAACTGCATAATGTGGTTGAAAGAGGGCATTTTGGGGGGTATTCAAGCTAAATGTAAAGCTTGAATACTGTCTGTTATATTGGCCTGTCTACTTTAGCCTGGACAGACAAGAGGAAGTGTAAGAAAAACATGTGAGGGTCCTTGCAAACAATCAAATGAGCTGATCACAGTGAGGCATGATGGACGGTGGGGGCCATTATTTGCTGGAGGCTGCAGCTGTCTGTGATTATCGGCCTCTGGCTGCTGACTTGCTGCCTGCTCCACCCAAGCAGGCCGGGCGTGTCAGCCCGACTCCTCTCAAGCCTTTTTACGGGTTATTGTTTACAAGAGCAGCTTTTGTGTGTGTGCTTGTACCTGCCCTCTGTATTCTGAGCCGACGGAGGCCAGTCCCCTGAAGGAGGCTTGTCGGGAGAGGGTGTTAATTTCGACTCTGGGGAAAAAAGAGAAGAAAAAAAAACACGGCATATTTAGAGGATTTAGGGAACAATGGTGCGTCTAGAATGTAATTTTAGAAAAACAGGTCAAGCGTTCCAGCAGTTTAAACATCAGCTCGCAACCAAACATTAAGCAGAGCGGCTGTCATCACGCCCGGAGCTGTTATCAAAAGCCTCCTCCAGCTTTTCCGAGAGATGGCGTCCTTGAGAAAGCGGGGCTGGGCTCACGTTTTTTCGCTCAGCGCTCTCTTGAGCCTTTTGGTCTTGCGCCGGTTGCGGCGGCTGATCAGCACGACCACGATGACCAGGACCATGACCACCACGCCGGCCGCGATGCCGATAATGACGATCAGCATCAGGTTGTCGTCGGAGGTCTCCCAGATGCGTCCGGACTTTTCTGGGGGGGAATAAAAGATGACAGACAGATCTGAATAATCTCTTTCCATCACTAAAACATTAATTTGCATCTTCCGTGCGGCAGTTTTGACCCCCGTCTTCCACCTGACCTGGTCCTGCTTTACACCCGCCACCAGGGGGCGGCAGATTATACAGTTAGGAAAGTAATAAAGACATTCCCATCCCAGATCCAACACACCTACCTGTTACTTCTAACTGATACTCTGTTTTTCCGATGCCCACGCTGTTCTTGAGCTCGCACTCGTAGGACCCGCTGTCGTTGAGTTGGAGGGCTCGTTCGAAAATAAGTTTCCCTCCCTTCTCAGACACTCCAGCTGGAAGAGCTCCTCCTCTCCTGTAGATGAGAGGAAAATGTTATATTAAATTGTAAAAAATTAACCATGTTTGGCCCCAGACTCATTGTTTGGAACAATAGACCTGACTAGTTTTGACGACTGTAAAACAAACAGGAAGAAGGCTGCATTCCACTTTTAAGCCCTTACACTCTTAAGCTACAGCAAGAAAAATAAACACAAAACACTCCTTGGAAATAAACCCAACAAAGGATTTATTGGGGATTTCGTCGCCACTGGGTGAAACCGGACGGTTTTGCTTGTGCTTGTAAGCTGTGCTCTGGAAGTCCAAACAGAGCAGAGGTGTGTGGAGGTGTATGGGGGTGTGTGGAGGTTTGGAGATTTGGAGGTTTGGAGGCTGGGAGCAGCACAGAGCACTTCACTGTGCAGCCGCAGACTTCCCCGGCCACATAAAGCACAGACACTTTCTGATCGGGTCCACCGAGACGGGTCATGTTGCCCCGGGTTTCATTGAGGCCGCGGAGGTTATTCTACTGCTGCTTTACCCCACCACCACCCCCCCAAAAGCGCAGCGGGCTCCGGTTTCTTTTCCCAAAGCCCCGCCTAGCTTTTTCTAAGCAGCCTTCAACGATCAAGTCTCAGGTAAAGATTTCCTCTAATGCTGAACAGATGCTTGAGAATGGGGCCGGTGAGGTGAGTTATTCACCTACAGCAGCCACAAAGACCCTCATGTGATAAATGAATTTACAAATCTCAAATATGTGGAAAGTGTTAAGTGAATTATTACCATATCAGGCAATCAGCCGGAGAGTTTCTGTTTATACAAAGAGTGCAAAAGGCTGAAATGAATCAGAAGATCGCGATAAGGGAACACAACAGACCTGGTTTGCTTTGGGTGAGAGTTGTGTTTGTCCTGTTGTAATCTCATTGTAAAATAGCTTTAAAATAATTCCTTCCTCCTTCATACACACAGCTCTCCACAATGGGAGAACAAAGAAAACGACAGCGCTTATTAGTCATTCAAATATCGATAGGCCTTTCACATAAACACTCAGACTCTCTGTAATGGCTGAATTCAAAATCCATCACCCCTGAGTGGACTTCAACTGTCTTTGAAGTAAGAAAAGACACTCCTGTCCTCAAATAGCAAACCATTAAGAGGCCTCTTTATGTGTAGCCTATGTTTATTCTAAATTTCCAGCAATGCATCTGATAGAAAACCAGAAACCAGGGGCTGAACCTACATTATCATTAACAAGAAAATCAGATCTGATGTTGTGTGACAGGAATTAAAAGAAAAGCTCCAGAGAAAAAAATGAGGATCTCAAGATGACAATTCAATGTGACAACAACCAGAAACATGTACCAATAGAGTTTTAAAAAAAAGTTCCATACCTCCAAGTTCCACTGCTTCATTTTTAACATTTACTGAATGTTTTCAGGCTGCAATGGCATGTAAATGTAACTTGCAAATGGTTTCATTTTGTGAACACTTCCCTGTTCACAGATCGAATCAGAGTGTTGCAGAAGATGAAGACGACTCTCTTGGATATCCATGAAAATGGAAAGTTACATGAAAAGTCATCAGGTTTGGAAAATATAGAAATACAACATCCTAGTAGAGGTTTTAATATCTGGAGGTTGTCTCGTGGCTGCAATATTTTCCACTCAGCACTCATCATTTGATCATTGTGTGCACAGGTATAGCTATAATGGCTGGTACGGTGTCTCTAATTAAAGCTCAGACCTGTGTTTTACCAGACATTAGAGTGATATTTAAAGCACGCGCTATGATTAAGTGCTTAGCCGCGTGTCTCCGTCTCTTCCTCGTTTCGCCGGCTCTCTCCCTCGTGTGAAAATACCTGGCCTTCTCACATTTTCTGGCTCCGCATTTCGCAACGTGACCCCACAGCTTTTATACTGCCGTGAATTGAGTCGGCAGAGGGAGGCGCGCCCCCCCTCTGAGTCCCCCTCCTCGCCGTTTGGCAGGCTGGCAGAGACTTTTCTGCGCTTTGAGTGGGATTCCACTGCGGTGCACGCTGTGATTTGTGGAGCGTACCATCTCCAGGCGACGGTCTCGGGTTGGGGGCTGCCCTTGCCATGGCACACCAGCTCGGCTCCCTTCAGTCCCACGTACAGCCGCTCAGGAGAGGAGGAGATGGTGGCAGCCGGGGGGTCTGCAACAAACACAGTTGTAAGGCACAGATTAATAGCCGGAGCGATTACGTGGCTAATATGTTTATTTCACTACAACATTGCCTCAAGTTTAAAACCACTTCAGTTATAGAAGACATTAATGTTCTGCGTCAGCTTTTTAAAAACAGGAAAACTTTAGCCTTCATTGGGCATAAAGCAAAATGTTATTTAGTGGACCTCTATTTCTGCCAAAATATTCATTTTTGATCATTCACACACACAAAAACGAAAACAAAACAAATGATGAAAACAATGAAAAAACTGTTTTAATGGATCTCCGGAGGCCTTAATCTAAATAAGAATATTTTCTTATTCACAGGCTTACAGTTGTTATTTGCATTTCATCTTTCAGAGCAAAGTCTGAGTAGTAACTCTGTGAACAGTATGCAAATGTGACATTTACGCTTATCCATAGTCTGATTGCATCAAAGTCTGTCAAAACAAAGAACAATTAGCCCCCGTGAGCCCCTCCTTTCCCAAAAAAGTGTTGTCTTTTGACAGCAGCCTTCCAGTTCTGCACTGGAGTCCCTATGTTTTTCCCTATGTTGTGACAGAAATAAGGCACCGGGGTTATGAAATCAACCCAAAAAAGAACACTAAAAGGAAATAAAAACAATACTAAAATTTTGGCTGATTAAATTCACAGGAAGAATCGACAGCACACCTTTTGAGTAACAGGTTTCTGGCATTCCTCCATCACCATGTCAAAACCTGAGAAATTCCAGGTCAAAAGGTTACCGAAACCTGGATTCATCCGTCAGCTTGAAAGCCGAAAGAAGTCCGATTTATGACTCAGGTCCACGCCTGTGATCTGTCCATTACATCAAACAAAGAGTGCTCTGACAGAGCTAAAGTATTCGGAGCCTTCGGGCCAAACGCACGGCCAGAATCAAGCCCTTTGTCAGACCGACGCAGGTTCAAAACAGCCAATGAGCTCCAGTGTTTAGTCCACTTTCCCGCCGGTTTTCACAGACAGACACAGAAGCCCTCCAGACATAATGATAAAGGTTTACTGGCTGAACTCATCATCAACAGGAAGCTCTGACAAGGTTGGCGCAGAGCCCCGGGAAAGAGGACAGAAATGAACAATCACTGAGTCATTCTGCGTTACAGCGTTTCCCCTCCAAGAGCAGTGAGATGAAAAGGAAAAACACAGCACCTTCAGTTTTAACCTGGATTTCGCCATCGTTTTAGTGGGTATACGAACACTTTGGGCATTTTAAACAGATAAATAAAACAGCAAGGGAGTCAATCTGGAATTTAAAATAATCCCGAATACGATCAGCGTTTACAGACAAACCCAGTTTTGAGCGTTTTCCTGAGCGTGCCCTGAACATGCCCCAGTTTGCTGCCGTCATTTGGACGGCCTGACGGAGTAAGAAACACGGGTGTAGCTGGTAAAACCTCCCTTTGGGTGTTTCTGTTGAGAGAAACACCCAAAGGCAGGAAACAGCTCTGCTATTGTGAGCTAAGACGCCAAACAAACATTTGTTTTTGCCGTTGGGCTGCATAATGAATACGTAAATGAAAATAACATTTAAAGGAGACGTGGGTTTTGCATTAAACTAATTGTATATATGTTAAAGTCTGTTTAAAAATGAAAGGGAAAGACGGATACTTTGAGCTGAGGTTCTGACAGCTCTAAGAATAAAACCACTTATGTGTCTTTTTTCTCCTCTGTTTTTTTGTGTGTCACTCATGTGGCAAAAGGTGTGTTTAGTTATGAAGAGTGCTGTTTTTGTCATTTTCAGGAATGCGTTTCAGTTTGCTGAGAAGACGTTTCTGATTTACACTCTTCTGTTGTGTTCAGTGCTTCCCATTAGCAGAAAACATACAATTATCTTCCACTTTCTAACTTTCTAACTCCAAACAGCAGCTAAACCTGGAATTATTTAGCCCATCTGCTGTGGGAGAAAGACTCAGGAAGGCTGGTTTTGTCTTCCCACTGACAAACTGAGATTCAGACCAGGCAGAAACAGGAAACAAGGATCCAAACGGCACACTCACAGTGAACCACCAGGCGGTTTTCGATCCTGCGAGGCTCCTTCAGGCCCGGATGCCACACCAGGCAGTCCAGCCTCTTCCCGTTCATGCTGCGCAGCGGGTGCAGCGAGAACAGGCTGGACACGGCCCCCGTGTCGCTGGTGCGGTTCTGGACCCGGCCCGGGAGGTCGGTGTCCCAGGAGAGCTTGGGAAGAGGTCGACCCACAGCCCTGCAGGAGGCAACCACCCCGAACTGCTGGCCCTCCATCAGGGGCTCTGAATCCACAGAGGAGATGGGCAAAACTACGGAGAAAAGAAGGAGAACGCGGAGTTTAGGGCTTCTGATTTCCACTGAAAGACCTCTGAGGTGCAACTCTCCTTGTGCCATTCATCTGGCATGAATGCATTTTATGAAAAACAACTGACAGAAAAGTCACATTTTTGAGATTCTGTTTAGAAATGTATAAATAAGGTGTCATTTATTTCCAAAGAGAATACTTTGTTTATTTCAGTAAAACCATCCCAAACCACTTTTTGTGAGACAGTATCTAAAATAATAGTCTAAAATAATTCATGAACTGGCTTGATTCTTCTATCAAAAAAGAACATTTTGAGTTTTACAATGCAACAAATTCCAGGTTGTTGAGCCGATGTAAATTAATAGCGATCAGATTATTTAACATGTAATTAAATCAGAATGAGATAAAACACATACGGGTGAACAAATGTTAGCTATTTAATAATGTTTTTGGGACAAAAATAAGTACTTCTATGTTTTATTTGCCTTCTTTGTAATACATTATGGAGAGAAAAAAGACTATTAACATGGCTTTTAAGGCATTGAATTCTTGTTTTTACCCCCGTGTCACAGGTAGACTGCTCCGTAATTTGACTCGGTAAAAACCCAAATTACACAGCAAAGGTTTCGGCGGGGCTGAGGATTCAGTTTCCTTTCATGTCACTGCGTTAGGATCTCTAAAATCTACAGAAACCCGGCCCCTAGGTTGTTCATTTTTTTCTAAAAACGTCAGCAGGTTCCCTCGAAATATGTCTCAACAGCTTATCTTAAAATCAAATTGGCAAACGTCAATTCCACCCAAAAAAATGTTTGTTTTTTGCCCTCTATCTGCAGCTGATTTAACACAATCATGATTCACACCGCAATCATGTCGGATTGATTAAGTATTCCTATTAAGTACTATTAGAGAAGTACTCTGCATTCACGACAGCAGCCACTGCAGAACAAACTAAAACTGAATCTGCACAACACACGACTTCAAAGTTGTGTCCGTCTGCAGAAAAACCTGCTGCACTCATTGATGAAAATCTATGAGTAAATCTTAGAAAATAGTCTCACCCTAAACATAGTCTTACCCTAAAATGCAGTGATATCACTGAGAGGCTGTATTACTTCAATTAAGTCATGAATCAGATTAAGACACTGCAGGCTGGTTCAGTTTGTGGTTTTGAAAAGCCTCTTGCAGGAGTTACTCCGTATGCAAATCCACAGTTTGAGGCAGATGAGAGCATTCAGCTCTTGTGGTTGTCAGTTACCTGTCTGCGTGTTTCTGTTGGTTTTCCTAATCTGGGGCGTGCTGAGACAGGCCCCAACCGAGGCGTCCTTGTTAATGACTGACAGTGAAATGAGAAAGCCGATCCAAAGCGATAGCATCACTCCAAATTTGACTGGTAGGGGGACGGACCCAAAAAAGAAAAGAAAGGATTCCCACGCCTGCTGTAATGATTCCAGTTAATTTCTTTCTTATTGTAATCCCCCTCAGGAATCCTCAACTGTGCTGAAAAGTGCGCTAATAGATTAGCTGCAAAGACTTTATTATCGACCCAAAAAAGTATTTTAAAAAAGGCTGTTTTAGCTTGGCTTGAAATGTTTACAAAGTAACATTAAACACAACATATATTGTTTTAAATGATCAGACTACAAGTATCAGTTCATGCTCCTCTGAGTTCAGAAGAAATCACAGGAGCATGAACATTTCCTCATCTGAGTTCAGTTTCACGTCAGTTCTCCACCTCAGTTTCTTATTTCCTGCTTCTAAGTGTTTTTCTGGGAGAGGAAGAGGTGCAAAGCTTTTTATAGGATGTCTTTCTCCTTTGTGGTTCGGAACTAAATTAATATAACCGACTCCCCTCAAAAGCTCATCGCTAAACCAAATCTCTACCTGTGGTTCAAACCTGCTCAGCCACCTCTGCCCTTCAGTGTGTTGACAGCTGAGTTGCGTGTTAAAAGAGATGCCATCAGCCCCCCATCTTGTGCCAGTCTCAGCCAGTTTTAAGGATTTGTGGCAATTGTGAACTTGAAGGCATTTTATTTTATTTTCTCTCCCATATAAGAGCAAGGGATAACACCCAGAAACCAAATGTTTTCCTTTTGGCTTTTAAGCCACTGAGGAGAATTTGAGGCCATGCTGGGAAACATCTTTAATTCCTTAAGTTCCTTTAAGTTAGAATGGGATAACAGGGGCTTAAACGTCAACTCGCCGGCTCTGGCGGGATTAGACAGATGTGGGAGACAGAGGTGACGCTTACTCCAGACGTTGAGAGCGATTTCTCTCTGGAAGTTTCCGCTGGGGAAGACGGAGATTGTGCAGATGTAGGTGCCCTCGTCCGACTCCTTGGTGCTGAGGAGGAGCAGGGCCGAGTTCTCCGTGGGGTTTCCGCTCTCGAACCTCACCCGGCGGGAGTACTTCACATAGTCTGGGGACACAAACACAGTTTCACCTGAGTCCCTTTGAATGGTCTGCACGACAAACAAGGGACGAAATACCTTCCGACAGATCATTTCAATCGGTGAAAACTGTGCAAAACAAATCGGAGGAGTTCAGCACAACAAACGAGACGTCAGGGACCCACCCTGCAGACAAAGCCCGCACAAAACAGCAGCCTCCAGGAGTGAGCTCAGTCCAAATGACTGTGTCACCCATTCAACACCAGCTACACCCACTCCATAGAGAGCAAAAACTAAGTTCGTTTCTACACATCACTTTCTGCGTCATGAAACCCTTTTTCAGACGGACACGTGTCCGATCAGGCTTCAACTACACGTAGAGCGAAAAGCTAATTTTGTCAGCGTTGAACCATTTTAGGCACAATGATAAGCTTAACAAAATTTAAATATTTTCATCTAAATCCAACATTCCCCCACTCTTCTACATTTTATAATTAAAAAGTGCCTTATGTCTTATGGTTATTTAAAATTTAACTTCAGATTAGTTTAGATACAACTTTATTATTGATTACTTTCAGAAGGTTCCTTCAGGGAAATTAGGAGGAATTGAGAGACATCTATCTCTAAGTTGTAGCCCCTTCAAATTCCTGCCATTTTCACCAGAAATGCCTCTAAAAGGCATGCCTGCTAACTGTAGTCACCACAGGAAAATGTTGACATTTGCACATCCGACAGCCATTTCTAAACTGACTTGTACGCCTTTCCGGATTCTGCACCATCTTTGGCTTTATGTGTGGCTTTTGATAGTCACACGGAGATAAAAAAAAAAAAAAAACTGATTCAGCGGCTCAAAGCCCAAGTAAATAACCCCAAAAACCAGATGAGGTGAAGAGATTACAGCGAGGCAGAGCAGAGACTAAACGGAGAGAAAGGGAAATAAACCATTTCTCCCCTCGATCATCGTGGGAAATGAGTGATTACCGGCAGATAAAACGAACAAGCCCTAACATGGACACAGAAGGAATATTTTCCTCGCAGACGTGGCTGCGGGAACACTTTCCCAGCTTTGAGTCATGACAGAGAGTTAACGTCCAAGCAGGAGGCCAACAACAGATGGCGTATTCCTCAGTGTGTCACCGAGAGGCAGCTGTGCATCCCCAGATGTTGAACTGCTGGCTGTGAGTTTCTGTCCAGGCTCACCCCGAGTTTCCGAGTGTTGCCAGGCAACGAAAACAGCTCAATCAGTTCATGGAGATCTCTAATGAGCCCGGAAGAGGCTAATATCTATAAGCCACTGACATGCTGAAAGAAGCGTTGTGTACAGTTTGTTTAAATACAAAGATGCTCCAGTTCTGCTGTCGGGGTGAAGTTCCACCCTCCCTCTGACCGCAGTCAGACAGCCTAATCATCAGGAAACTAGTTCCGGTGTCTGATACTGACGGTGTGGGTGGAAGGAGGAGGCATCGGCTCTGACTTTGACCTGAAACTTTGGAATTCTTCACAGTCAGAAGAGACAGACGCGCCGCAGCCTGGTCTAACTGGTTCTCCCTCCTCTAATCCTCCGTTCAGCAACCCACAGATGTCTCACTGCTCATCCAGCAGCTTTTAAAGGGGAGACGCTCCTGTTTTTTAATGACTAATGTTTTTTGTCCTTATCTGGAGGGCAGCAGTGGTCAACATTTCCACGAACTAGCACCCCGTCATGAGTAAAAATGTGTTCACGCTATGGATGAACACCTCCATGAAATCCAAACCCCAGAGCTAGAGCCTCTGTCCGCGTCGCTGGCGTACCTGTTTGGCCTTCTGTGAAGTGGGCGGCGATGATGTAGTCTTTCTGGCCCCCCGGGAGCACCTTGTACCAGGTGACCTGCACCACCTTCTCCTCGGGCTCCACCTCGTATTGGCAGGGGAAGCGGGTCGGAGCGTCGGCCGCCGAGTAGAGGGAGGTGACCGGCTCCGGAGGATCCACAAAGTCTCCCTGAACACACGTGGCTGAGGAGGGGGAAACCAGAAAGAGGCCATCAGGGACACATTTTCACAGTCTTGTAGAGGTTTAACATCTTTTACACCTTGTTATGTTGCAAAAACAGTTTGGCTGATGGTTAGAAGAGCAGAAAGTTCCTCAATGAACGATCATTAATCGATCCAACAGTATTAAAAAAATACATGAAAACAATACCCATGGTACTTGTAATTGCAATAACTGGAATAACTGAGAAAAAGTGAAGCGTTTGAAGTCGGTTTGTCATTTTCCCCCCTGGAACCCCTCAGGTAAAGGACCACCGAAGGGCTCAGGCAAAGCCTCTATGGGTTTGTTTGTGGACTAAAACCCAACTTGAAATAGACTTTCACGAGCTGTCAGTTCACCGAACCTGCTCATCCACTGAGGCGCTGACGGGGAGAAAAGCATGCACACTCCACACACAGACAAAAGGTCAGGACGGGCGTCCTCAGTTTGAGGCTCTGAGCGACAAGCTTTGTGCAGCACATACCTATTTCCCTCTGCTGCCACTGCCTTATACGAACGACAATCGAATGACTCATTCCTTCCTCCAATAGGCTTTATTTTGATCTGCGTGAATTTCATGAGGCTTAGCGTGGTGAATCTTTGTTATTCGCTCAACAGCGGCAGGGACAGCGAATCAGTTTGGTATAAGAGCCGCCAAACAGGAAGTGAAGCCAAATCCCACAATACAGCGAAACTTTCAGTCGGGTAGTTTCAGTCTATAACGCTGATTTGTAGCCACATAATCAACATAATCGACATGATTTCTGAGTCTGTGGTGAATGATTTAGAGTAATGACCAAACACCATAGCCGTCTGGGGACTGCTGCAGCTCCAAACCAGAAAAAGTTCTTAATGAGATCAAAAAGTATTTTTCCCATAAACGATTTACACCTAGAATTAGTGTGCTGGTTACTCTGAAACAACTCTACAAGTTTTTTCTAAGCTCGTCCCAATAAGGTCACTTCCAGCTCCAAAAACACAACAAAGACAACCCCCCCCCCCCCCCAAAAAAAAGGTGAATTAGGTCCTTATCCTAAAAAAAAAAATCAGGAAACGTCAACTCGATCTAATCTTTAAATGAACCCTTGGATTGGGATGTTTTCCCACCGTCCACAAACAGTCAACAGGTCAACTGGAAGCTCTAAAACTGCCCCGAGGAGTGAATATCGGTGTGTGTGGTTGGTTGTCTCTGTGTGACCCCGTTAAGGACTGGTGACCTATCCAGGGTGTAACCCCCTCCTCTCACCCAATGACAGCTGAGGCTGCTTCCAGCCTCCGTGACCCTACTGAGAATAAGTGGGTGATGAATGGATAACTTTTTTAACCAGACTGACAACATCTTCTGACAAAGAACTCGTTATGTGTCTGCGTACATGGCAAATAAAGCTGATTCAGACTGAGGAAGAGCCAAAGGCTTTCAAAGGAGCTATAAGCTACACTTACAACGGGGCTAAAGTTTTCACCGTCTCAAATAAAAACAAATTATCTCACAGTAGTTTGAGCAAGAAGTTTTGTCTTTGAATCTTTCAGAGGATGTTTAGTGTGAAGAAAAAGGATAGAATTGTTTATCGGACCTTTTCTAACAATGGGTCATAGAAGATCACATCTAAACTACTTAGTTTAAATACTTAATAATGACAGTTTAAAAAAAAAAAAAGCATAATTATACAATTTCACATCACTATTTTTGTACCCAGAGAGCCTCTGCGTTTTTGTCCACACACCAGCTGATTCTGTCCCACTCAAAGCTCTGATGGCTGGAACTATAACACGGCAAAATTATTTGGAAGCCCGCAAACATTAGCAGTCCAACAGGTCTGACAAGCCTTGATGGAGTCAGCTGCTCAGAGGAGGGATCCACTGATCAGCCGCCATGCGTGCAGGAACAGCCTCTGTTTAATCTGCTGAAATTTAGTTCCTGATCTCACTGCAAGACACATAGATGATTACATCTTTGTAAATGTTTGAGCTCTTTGGCTGACAAATGGCCTTTGCTTTCCTTCTGAAACACACACGCATATCCTGTGTTGGTGGTTCGAATGTTTTTGGGACTAACTTCTGTTCTTATCCTCATTAATCTAGACTAATAATTTGAGTGGAATCTGTGGAATCAGTGTGGTGTTCACAACTCAAGCCAGCAGCCTCTGCAGCCCAGGCTGACACAGAGAGAGAGCGGTTTGGCAGGCTGTCCCCTGTGTCGCGTTTTACTAATCAGAGCGGTCTAAAAGATCGACACGCTGCTGACAAATGACTAAACCTTTAATCACACCCTGTTCAAAAAGCCTGCCCTCCGCCGTGGGACGCAAACAGGAGCGGCCGTGAGAGCGGCGCCTCCAAAAACGCAGGCCGGAAACCGCAGACCGTTTGAACTTTGATTTCTTGGATAAACGCGTTCGTTTCTCCCGTCGTTAATGATTCACAAGCTCAATCGATTGGTTGCAAAGAGGCAGACTGGGGGGTTACAGACCCCCACAAATCTCACACACTGATAAAGCTGTGACACGGAAGAGGGCCCAGGCCTTTTTCACACCAACAGAGAACACAAATGTGGGCAACAAAGAGCCACAGTGAGGCTGACCTAGTTTGGGGGAAAAAAACAAAACCCCCCCCCCCCCCCCCCATGACTGAAAATGACTTTAGATTACGGTCAAGGGGAGCGAGGCCAGAGGTGGGAGCCTGACGTGGGAGGCAAACACCAAGTGGAAAGAGAGTTAAACACACACACACACACACACACACACACACACACACACACGGTCGACAAACACTCAGCTGTCACAAAGGCTGCCACACGAGCTTTTCCTGTTCACTCAGGATGAGAGAAACTTTATCACACCTGCGGTGAAAACGATCGGCCCCGATAAGGCAGCGGCGCAGCGTTCCAGCTCTCGGCCACACAAACCTCCTCGAAAAAAGGAGGAAACAAAAGCAGACGAGTGGCGGCCGAATTAGTCACGAAAAAAGACCGGAAGGCGCAAGTTGGGCAATGAGGCCTGATTCACGTTTAGAATAAGTAAGAATGCGACGGGGCAGCATTCTGCTCCTGAGCTCAGGTCCCCCCCGCCTGCAGAGAGCAGAGGGGTGAGGACGCACAAACGCCAGAGCAGCGTTACACAAGATCCAGAGAGGATTTCCTCACACTGAATGTGTGAGGCCGAGCCATCGGCCAGACGGGACAGAAAACAGGCCAAAAGTCGCCCAAAATTAATAACAGGGCCCTTCCATGGTTCTGATAACACACTATTTGTGGACAGACACTACACAAACAAGCTAAGTGGAACCTCAAATCTTATCCAGAGACATTAAGTTAGATTTTCCATCCGTTACAAACTGAGAAAAGGCCTGATGATGATGAAGGTTCCACAGATTTGGCTTTACTTTGAGTTTGAATGACAGAAGCTCAAGTCTGAAAGGAGGACAGTGTCCATGCAGACTTCTACCAGATCGATAGGACAACCTCATCAAAAATGCAAAAGCTTGTGCTGATGGTCTGTGGTCTGATCACTGTGGGTTTCTTCTGCCAACACGGCTGAAAAAAGGCCCCAAAAGAAGAAGCAGGACAGTTTTGGATAAGGATTTTACAAGTTCCAGTTCTTTCCAAGCATGAGCACAGCGCCAGTTTGGCAGCCCTTCTTCTAATTCTGTTTCAAAGCAAGTAACACAAAATCTGATATTCTAATAACAGTACAAAAAAAAAAAACACACAAACAAAACGCGTCCTGCTAAACTTGTTCTGCTGTCCTGACGCTGCAAACCCAGGTCTGAAAGGAACTCAAACATGGAGCATGAGCCTTAAAAACAGAGCAAAATCCAACCAAAGAGCACTCACACACACAGACACACACACACACACAGACACACACACAGACACACAGACACACAGACACACAGACACACAGACACACTTATATGTTTAGGAGCCATTTCCTACCCAACACACACGCTAGAATAAAGGCAAAAAAACAGACTTGTCCTCATTTACGCAGGACATGACACACACTGGACACTTTGCTGCTAATACAGGGCAGAAATCAGACCTGGAAATAAGCACACGCGCAACTTTTGGGGCAGTTTCCCCAAAGCCAAGTGGTCTGAAATTGGCCCACTTACCGATTACTAAGAGGAGAGCCAGAGCCTCTGCACGGAGCCCGCCCCACTCCATCTGAAGCGTCCCCAGTTTCCTTCCAGTTACTGGAATAAAACGTTAGGCTGTCATAGTCTGGGTCTGTGTGTGTGTCCGGTGGGTCCGCAGCAGGCAGACAGGTGCAGCAGGTGTTTCCTCTTCACCTCATGTATGAGCCTCAACAAGAACACCAAGGAAAAAAAAGACAAAAATGACCCTCTCTCGTCCCCCTAACACGACAAGAATAATCTCACAGCTCCAAACGGCACAGGATTCATTTCAGGGCAGTCCTTTCCACTAGTGGGACACAGCTCCACACACCCCGCGTGGCTGAGCAGACAGATACCTGCGCGTTTGTCACGCTCACTCAGCAGCTACACCTGTCGGGCCCCGCCCACCTCCAGAGGACACGCCCACAACACGTTCAGGTGACACGGAAGAGTCGGAGACCGGCCGCTGTGCTTGTCTGATCCAATCAGCAAAATAAAAGATGTGCACTTGATTCTATTGATTCTCGTCTTTGGGAATTCTGCAGACATATAATTTCAGCATCGTCTGTTAACTAAGAACCCATATTTGCTCTGAGAGTAAATCCACCTCTTTAATATCTGAATGAGCATCCCTGCATCTCGGTTCAGGATGCAGCTTCATTTCTGTTTCAAACGGTTAAGCTAAAAAAAAGGCACGAATTTCCCAGCATGCATTGAAAGCGTCTAACACTCGCCTCAAACACCTGGAGGGACTTCAGGAAACGGTCCTTTCTATGGTGGCACTGCCAAGACACACAAATATTGTGTCTGTAAACACCAAAACACGGAAGGCCAGTCCTTCTGTTGAGTCACACTGAAGAGCCTCAGGATGCGAATCAGCTCATTATTCTGTTTTGAATAAAGTCCCTGTTCTGTTTCCATGCAAATCCAACAGACTATAAGTAAACAACAACACCTTTCACAGCAAGCAGGCTGACCGGTTGGGTTGAATTGTCGGTCCTCCCAGTTTGTGTGTGAAATGAACCAAAGAGCAAAGCTAAGTGGACTAAAACTGTACCAGACACGTTTCCATTGTTTGTTTGTGACTTGAGGAGATTTAAGAATCAGTTTAAACAATGATCTTATGGAATAATCCGTATCTGAAGTGGTGATCCCACAGCCAGGGGACTGCTCATCCATCCAAAAACCACAACCATGAGTTCATGGGAGGAGTGAGCGTGAGATGTGCGTGTTTTTTGTGTCTGAATGGACCTGTGCAGACACGTCTTCACCTATCGGGAAAAAAGGTGAAGACACCAAATCACATCAAACCGAAAGTGATCCATGGGGCGGCTTTGTGGAGATTCAGAGCCCTCTTACAGTCGTTTTTACTGTCAGCCGGTCTGACTTTTGAACTGAACAGACTTCAAAGATAAGCGGATGTTGTGAATTGTTTTATGGCTGATATTTTATCATCCTTTTGTTCTTGTAACCGAATGAACACATGAATGCTTTATTGGGTTATGCTATTACAAGTCACAAATAGTATGTTTTTTACTGTTGGATTTCTTGGATTGCACAACTTAGATACAGATCAATGGGCCTTGGGAAATGCACGTCATTAAATGCAATGGTAAAACGGAAAATAGTTTATACTTCATGAACATGTACAAACTGGAATACATACTGTATACTGGAATAAGAAGATTCACCCTAAAATCTGTTCAGGTTTGTTTGTCTCTGAGTCAGACCTGATCATATCGATATCTGTTTTTAAGTGGACTTGATCATAGAACCTGTGATGACGAGCTTTCCCCACATTTTACCCCTTAACAGGCAGATCAAAAACTCTAAAAACTAAACCTCTTTTGAATCAATAAAATTAAAGAAACCAAATAAACATTCAGTTTCAGCTCCTCAGTTGTGGAAAATCAGACTTAATCAGAGTAAAATAAACGTTATCAAGGACATGGCTTCAGATTATATATAAACCATAAACTAGTTATCTATTCAAATGCATTTTTTGAGAAAAGATCGGCTCACATCGTGTTTCACGGCAAAGCCTCGTATTTCAAGTCCAGAGCAGACGACACTGAAGGAAGAAGACCGACATGAAAGGGGTCTCTCACAAAGATAGCCTTTATTAGTAAATGATTAAATTAACTCCAGCAGTATTAACATCACATGCAAGTCGGGCACAACTCAAGAGATAGATGAGGAGTTTGTACAAAAAGAGGATAAATAATCGTACAAATGCTCGATACGTAGGCCAGCCATAACGCTATGGAATATAAAAACAAGGCATAAAGCTTGTATTTGTGCTGCATCCTCACTGAGTCCAGCCGGCCCCGGTCACACCACGTGTCGTTTGTCGGTTCTGATGACGTCGTACTCGTCAGTCGTGTGGGAGCTCAGACCCTGCAGGACACAAACACCACACTCAGAAACGCCGAATTCAGGCCAAAAGCGAGCCTTCACGGCCTCAGAGTAAGAGAGGTCGCCAGATTTCTGGCTTTAGAACGAGAGGCCTCACCGCATAGATTCCTCCTTCAGCTGGTTTCTTCTGCGGGACGGAAACAGAAAAGGCATCACTGTCAAATAACTTTTAAATAACTGCCTCAGCCGGCCGCTCGCTGCACGGTGAGGAGCCCCAGAGCTCGACTCTAAACATCTAAGACTGTGACGTCTACGGGTGTGCATTAAACCCATTTAACAGGAAGCAGGATTTGACACCAAAAACAGAGATGGAAACTGTGACAGTACAGAAGAAAGAGGTTGGTGGTCAGCTTGAGCTGACAGGAAATGGTTGGAGGAGGTGGGTTTTAAAGCACAACAACTACGGCTAATGAGAATTTACAACAAAATGAAATGTAAAGAAAGACTCCCCAGTCCTCCCTGTTTGTTTCCCTAAAGCTAACGCAGGTGTGAGGCGGTGGTAATTTTACCTCTGGTTTCGGGCTGGCTGGAGACATCTGTCAAAAAAAAAAACAGGAAACATCCACAGCTTAGTAATATATATATAAAGATGATGTATACACACACACATAAGAAAAAGAGAAGATATTCAACTTAAGGAAATGGCTGAAAATGCTAGAAGGACTCGAGGAAATCTGAATCTAGACATGAATTAGAGGAAGTTGACCAAAGTGAGCCTCTTCATGGGCTGAAGGAGCCTCTTCTCAGCTTTTCCTAGAAACAGGCCGCGGTTCAAACGGGAGGAAAGTGTCGGGGTGGTGTTGGTCCTACCTTCAGCCGGCAGTACAGGACGGTGAGGATGATGCCGTACAGGATGAGGATCCCGTCCAGGATGTAACACAGGTTCATGTCTCCTCTGGCCTCTGCGCACACACAGAAAAACGCTCATCACCTCCACCAGAAACACCAACGCCCCTCGCTGCTCGACTGCCAGACCCAGAGGTCTTTCAGACGCTTCCCCTCTGAGTTTTGAGTCGTTTCTTTCATCCAAAGACCCACCGTCGGCGGGATGAGACTCACCTGCGGTTAGATGAAGAATCTCTCTGTTCTGTCGGTCCTTTGTTGGCTTTTTTAGCCAAAACAGGACCCTGAGGCGAGGCTTCTGCGAGCGGCTGTGAGCAGGAAGTGCCGGGTCCTCTGTCCGTTTTGAAGCCGTGTAACCACACGCCTACCACAGTGACATCTCCCCTTCACAGAAGTTCCTCTAAAGCCTCGGCAAAAACACACGCCATGGCTCTGGTGAAATCGCCGTGACGCGAGGGTTTGTCAGCAGGAATCAGGAAGAGAAACCTCCACAGAATAGGATCTGACCACAGAGGCAGCCAATGTCTTCAAGGGGAGTGGGCTTCTTCACCTTCAACCCAGGATCCCCCCCCAACCCCCCTCACCCGGAAGATTAGCTTCTATCAGCTTTGCAGAAATAAGCACCAACGAGAGGACCCGTAAGGAATAAATGGTTTAATAATGAAAAATGCCTAACACACTATACAAGCTACAGTTACCAAAAGAAAGCACAAATCTACCCTTTTTTTCTTTTTCTTTTCTTTTTTTTTTGTACAGGCCACTGGTTTGTTTAAAAGCCAAAACATTCAGAAAAATTGCATCATCATCATAACTTAGGCACCTTAAAAATGATAGAAAACAAGTTAATATAAAAACTAACAGTTTTGGAGCCCAAAATAAGTCTCTTGTGTGTTTATAAAAAAAACAAAAGCACTGTTAGAGTCTGAAAGTCTGATCACAGATGAAATCTCAGTGGCTTTCGGGTCTGACAGAGGACCATAAAGACCACCGGAGAAAGTTTTCCAGGTTCGGAAGCTATGCATTAAATATAAAACTGCGAGGAGCCCGCTCGTATTCAAAAGCATCGCCACCCATTTCGGTTGGAGTACATAAGTTAGAGGTGCATAAATGAGCCCATTTACAGCTGCTGTGAAACCATGATTATCAGAGTGAACGTGTGCACGACTCATTTGTTGTCAGCAGCCCAAACAACAGGCGCCCAAATGTAATGAAGACGTTATTACTGTTAATAAAAATAAAAAAAACTTTATCTGTCACCAGCCTAAAAACAGCACTGAGAAACCGCATCTCACAGCCTTCTTGCAGCAGATGGAGCAGCTTTCGGTTGTCTTATACAACATTCATATGGAACATTTTATGGGAACAGGGCAGCAGGTTTTAAGGTCCATGTTTGCTCGTCTACCTGAAAAACCCTTGAACGCATCACGAGCTGCTTTCTATATTGAAAAACCGATCTTCTCTGTAAACCCGACTAAAACATTCACCTCATGATTTGTTCAAACGTCACATTTAATGGTCTAAAACGGTCCTATTCATGAAGAGTTAATGGTGGCATCTTTGCAGAAATGATGTCATCTGAACCCTCCCACTGGATCCGGAGCAGAGTGACGGCCCAGCTAAGGCGGCAGAACCAAGTAAGACTGGTAAAAACAACTTTTGGTCATGTTTGCTGACACTGTGAACACGCAGCGCTTGGGGAAGTCCAGCGGAGAGGCCACCAAATGTGTCTGAGAGAACTAGAATTTAGGCCAAGCTGCAGACAACCTGCAGCCTTTTGCATAATTCACAAAAAATGGCGAGAATAATGACATTTAGGAGAGACCTGAGAACACCGAGCCGATGTTAAAACGCACATTTGCTCAGCAGGATAAAAGCTGCTGATACCGCCTGTTTTTCATATTGTCAACAAACCCAAAACTAATTTTTTTGTAAAAACTGACCAGATGCTTTGACCAGATTTGTTTCCACGCTCAATAACCAGATTAATCTTGATGGTGTGAAGTTGAACAAAAACATTGAGTCACAGCCAAAAGTTTCTGCTGCTGAGGTGGACATGCAATTTCCTGCTCACAGAAATACTCACCGCTGTGTGACAGCTCTAAATAGACTCCATTTGTGTCACTTGTGAAACCACCGCTATTACAAATACGGACTATTCAGAACATTTCGGAACTCTAATCACCATGAGCTGTTTTTCTTTCTTTTTTCTTTTTTTTTGTTAGATTTGTTGACAACAGGAAAATCGAAAAAACACCAGGCCGATCCTTTAATTTCCAAATTCAACTCAGATTGTGTTTGTGTGTTAATACCAGCTGAAAGCATTTGTTCCTCTTGCGGAAATTAATGCTAAGAGTAAAAAAGTTTAAAAAAAAAGCCAGTGTGAAGTACAAGCTGCATATGTTAGGCGGTTGTGAACATACAGGAGTCGGAAAAAAGCAACGAATCGGGAATGTACGTCCATTCCTCTGAACAGTCACATAGAAAACCGATGACCTACTGCACATAAAGCTACATTCTGTAGGTTAAAAGAGACGAGTCCCCCCCTCCGATACGAAAACAAGTCCTCGTCATGTCTGAGAAAAACATCGAGGGAGCCGGGAGGGGCTCCATTCAGGCCGTTTTTAAGACACCAGAAAGAGGAAATAAAAGCTGTGAGGTACCCTCCCCCCCCCCTTCAGTCATGTGTCGGGTCTTCAGTGGTTACAGCAACAGGGGAGGCAAAGGGGGGAAAAAAAACAATCCCCTTTAGGACACAAAAAGAGGATTCTTTTACATGGTGTTGCCATGACAACACAGAGACGTGTGGGTGAAGGCCTCTGACCGTTTCCAGGTCCGGACAATCGTTGAGCTGGTCACAGTTTGATGCTCGAGCGTCTGTGGCCAATCGGAAACCAGACGCTTTTCAACCTTTCACGGTTCCTTAGTGACAGATTGTGAGGGAGGGCCCCAGTTGGCTGGCGGCGGCGGCGGGGGGGGAGCACACCGCGTCCAGAAAGGAGCCAGCAAAAAAAAAAAAGAAAGAGGGGGGGGGGAGGTTTTGGGCCCGGCGCCGTCACACCGAGGTCTCCGACTGCAGCCGCATGACGAACTTGTGGCTCTTGGGGTCGATGAATTCCTCGCCGAGCCGCAGGAAGGGGAGCGGCGTCACCGTGACGACCAGGGAGAAGTCCAGCCGGCGCAGGGAGAAGACCAGACCCTGACGCAGGGCCGAGGTCACGGGCTCCTCGCTCACCAGAGTCCACTGGCGCCCCCTGCCGCTCTGCTGCTGGTACTGCACGGTGGGGCCGGGGCTCAGGTACCGCTCCAGGAAGGCCTGAGGGGGGAGAGGGGGGGGTTAACTTCATGGAAAGTGGCACAGAGCTGGTTTATCTGCTGCTGAAGTCCTGCATCATTAACGTGTCATCGCAGGGGAGCCGTGGCCGTCTCAAACCCGACCAGCAGCCATTTGGTCCCATTTTAATGCGGCTTTAATCTCTTTGTTTTCAGTTAAACTTCCCTTTTTTTGGGGGGGGCTTTTTAGAAGTGCTCTGCAGATAAATCTGTTGAATCTGTTAAACTGTCATTATTCAAACCTGTTCACACCTAAACTTTGTTTAAAATCGTATGAAAAGCTGCGATGCTTAAAAAAAAAATACTGCTAAACTTTTTCACGGGCAATCATTCAGAAAACTTCCCGATTTTCACTTTTTGGCTCCACCACTTTCCACTTTCACGCTTTCCTTAATATTGTATAAATTCAGCGAACCATTTATTTTTCTTTTTACAGGCTTTTTTTTGCTTCGTGTAGCCCAAATATGTGGTGAGAATACAGGAATAAAGGACCCCAGCGCGCTGGCCCACAGACCTTGGGCGTCATGTTGTGCGTGATGCAGAACTGCAGGTGTGTGATGATGCTCTCCATGCTGTGGAAGGCCTGCTGCCGCGTGGTCCTCAGGTACTTCTGCATGGCGCGGGCCATCGGGGCGAAGATGGCCTGGGCCGCCTCCCGGGGGTCCATCACCTCTCGGGGGTGTTTGGGGGACGAGGCCACCTCCTCCTCCTGGAGACGCTTGATGTGCGTGAAGGCCTCTTCCACAGCCACGACCAGCCTGAGGAAGAGGAGACCAGAAACCAGCTCAGACCGAGTCGTCTGACCCACTTCTGCCCATTCTAACGTCATTCTCAGGCATTTTTCACTGGAGTCCTCGAGATGTGGTGTCATGTGGGAACAATAATGCCTGCGTCTACAGAGATTTCCCACAGTTGGATTTAGTAGCAAATACTGCAGTTTTTTTACTCACTTGATGCATTTATGCTGGATTCACTCAGATAAACGACATACAGCCTAAACTGTTATAGCAGAGCAATTCTAAAGAAAACACAAACAATTCTGATGTTTTTTGGCTCTAAGTGCCAAACAACGAGATAGCATAAGAAAACTACAAGCACATATTGAAATTTTATGTTTTTGTGAAGTCCATAAACCTTTTAGCATTTCTTTGGACAGTTAAAAAAAAAAAAAGAAGACGATACGTGACAATCGGCTGTAAACTCTTTCATCGGGGACGGTTATGAAATCTCCGTCCTGCTGGTCTGCTGCCATCTAATAAAGGCGTCTTCTATTCAGCTGACAAACTGATTGATTTCACAGCAGCCAGAACAATGAAGACATGTAAGAACCGGCTGACGTTTCGGATAAAAGCTTAAGTCAAACTGCTGGAATGAATGCGCTGGAGCGACTTTAATGATATTTAGGTGCTCTGTCAGGCACGCACTGCCCTCTCCTCACAGCACGCATGTGATGACACAGAGATTTATATAACAGAAGAGAAATGAGAGCGGATGGAGATGCTGACCTGGCCTTGCGTTTGCGGACCCTGCGGTCCATCTCCGCCTCCTCGTAGTAGAACTCGTTGTGGGAGTTGTCTCTCCGCCGGGCGGCGGCTGCTATCATGGCGCGCGACTGGCCTGTGGAGTTGTTGGTGGTGTTCTCTACAAGACGGCACACGCAGGGGAGAGGGTTTTCAGGAATGCTGTTTCAGGTATTTATTTAATGACATTCGGGTTATCGCAGGCAGGCGCAGGTGGAGCTGTGGATTAAAGAGGGGTTTTCAGATTTACCGTCCAGGGAGTAGACCTTGAAGCCGGTCATCTTCTTGGACAGGATGGACTTGGGCAGGTTGAGCAGGGCGGGGTTGTAGACGGAGAAGTCGCTGTAATAGCGGTCCAGCACCCAGACGGCGGCGCGCTGGATGCTGAAACACAGAGGGTGTCAGCGGGTCAGCGCAGGCGGAGCCACAAAAAAAAAGCCGCTCGCACCGCACCACCAATCAGACCAAAGTCCACCAGGCGGGGCCAGGGGGATTCTGTACGCCCACTGAGATGTCCAGCCCCGTGGAGGTGGACAGATGAGGTGCCACCTCCACAGGCGTCCCCAGTTGGGCCGGTTGGACCCAGTAAGGCCAGGCGCCATTAAAAGAGCACCAGTCGAACCCCCACTGGTGGATAACTCCTCGGAGGCAATGAGTTTACTACACAATATGGCTCCCGTTTCAGCCAAACTGCTGAATGATTACACTCAGGGTAATAACTGAGCATAACCACCACTCGTGTCATAATCATGCAGATTATTCAGATCTATTGAGGTGCTTTAGTACCTCTTTTGGAAAAAACAACAAAAAAATCAATCTCTTGCTTTGATTAGTGGTGTTGATACAAGCAATGATGATGTTATCGATGTATATTCCCCTAAAAAATGGTAAGTTGGGTGGTTTGAATAACATTTCTAGCCACAAATTGTCTTGTCTTTTAATAAATTCAGAATATATGAAGATTTGAAATGTTTACTATTAGCCCCTTTCAAAAGGGAGACTACTGACCCAACCTCCCTTCTTTTCGCGGGGTTTCGGGTCACAAACCTGAGGTGGCCCACGTTGTAGAACTTGCTGGCACCGTCGGTGCTCCGGACCACCTTCAGGCAGAAGGCGGGCTGCAGGTGCCGGACCTCCAGCAGCACCAGGGCCAGGTACTGGATGAAGAGCAGGGCGTCCACCAGCGAGGCGGCGTACTCCACGATGCCCCTGTAGTCCCGCTCCCGGGGCTCCAGCACCCGCACGCCGTAGAACAGCCAGTAGGACGCCACGAACAGGAACACCAGCACCATCAGCAGGCAGCGGAAGACGAAGAAGCGCGGCAGGGTGGCGCGGGGGGGCCGGAGGAACAGCGCCCAGGAGGAGATGAGCAGCACCAGGAGCTTGAAGGCCAGCGAGACGTAGAGGCCCTCGCACGGCGTGCCGCAGGGCTCCAAGTTCTCGCGCCACAGGACCTGCGGCAGGATGAGGAAGGCCAGCGGCGTGAGCAGGGCGAAGAGGCTCAGGCAGCCGCCCAGCACGGGCCCCACGAAGCGCTTGCACTCCAGCGGGGTGGACTCCTCCAGGTCTTTGGTCACGCGGGTCAGGTCCTCGTTGGAGAGGCTGTGCTCCGAGGTGCCGGTGACCACGGTGGTGGTTTCCCCCCAGTTGTCATCCTGCGAGAGACAGAAAAAGGAGGATTTAGGCATCAGTAAGTGCTGAGTGGCTGGGTGTGTCCGCGGGTCTAACCCGGGAGTGTTTAGTCCCTTTAACACGAATCAGGAAATCAGGACTCGAAACATTAATCCTGTATATTGATCTACATCCATCAGAGCCACGGTTTCAACAGGTCATCAAAGACTTAAATCTATTAAATGTAGACGTATATCCACACTGCAGGAAAGCCCAGACCAGAGATTCGTTATTTTAAACCCCCATTTGTTAGAAGTCATAAAAGGAAGGAAGCCTTTCACGCTAACAGGAATGGTGACAGGTTGGATTAGCTCACTGTGTAAAGAAATGCCTCTCTGCTCTTTAAATAAAGGCCCCCTCTCAGACAAAAAACAAACCTCCACACTTAAATGTGTCTCTCTGGTTGCACAGGTGTCAACACCTGCTCCCTCTCTGCTAACAGCACAGCACAACACAGCCGAGCTGCTGAAAGAGGGCGAGAGCCCACTTTGTGGAGATTAATGGGCAGGGAGGCAGCAGCTGGGTCGGACGGGGGGGGGGGGGGGTCTGCTTGGGGGCGTTTAGTTTTCGGCCGAAGCGTTTTTAAAGGGGAAAAAAACTGCGGGATTTTCCGGGAAACGGGTAACGGACCCTGTCATCTCCTCGGGTGGACTCTGCGTCCAGGAGCGGCTCCCCGGGCGTCTGGATGGTGACCGACTTGTCCCCGCGGCTGCTGCTGTCGCGGCTCTTTGAGCGGTGGCGGTCCCTCCGGTCCCTGAGGAGGAAAACACCATCATCACCGTGACCACTGCATCCCCTGACCCCCCGTGGGTCCATATGTTTCACCACTGGACCCAATGGGGGTCAGATCCTGTGCCGTCTGTGAATCGTCTCCTGTGAACTCGCCCCACCTGTGTTTCCGGGAGCTCCTGGAGTGGGAGGACTTGTACGAGTAGCCCGAGTACTGCGACTCGTTGTCCATGTCTCGGGTCGGCAGCGGGCGGGCTTTGCGAGCCCCGCCTCCTCCTCCTCCGCCCCTGCCCGGCTGCTCGCCGACGCCTCTCAGCTGGCTCTTGCGCTCAGAGATGGACTTGGTGGAGAGGGCCAGGGGCAGCTTGAGCAGGTCAACCTTGCTCCTGAGGGAATCTATCTTGGAGGCGGATGAGGAGGGGGCAGGAGAAGGGAGGCGGGACGGCGGGGGGGGAGGCTAGCGAGAGGAGGAGCAGGGGACTGGGAGGGGATGGCGGGCAGGAGAGTCGCAGCCGGGGAGAAATGAGGTCGCTGAGATCTAAAGGAGGAGAGAAAACATAGAGCCGAGATTAAAACATGACCTGTTCCAGATCCTGGAACTTAGAAGCTATACAAGTTACTGAGTGGACTTTAAACAAGAAAACAAACACACCAGAGTTCATATTCAAAACTAATTTTCCTGCCTGGATCTGGTGGCCCGATCCAACCCAAAGTCCCCAAAGTCAAACACACATTTACCCCAAATTCCGCTTTACATTACAAATCAGAACGGAGAGCCAATAAGGAGAAGATGGGGAAACGCTGTTAGGCATTTGAGCAGCAAACCAGAAGGATTTCTGGGGAATGTGTCTGTTTATAGATCAGCTATTGATCCACAGGAAGAAGTCAAGCTGATCATAAAAAAAAACAGGAGCTCCATCTTTGTTTCCAGCATACAGAAACAAAAACGTCTCGACTTTACCATCTCCTTGTAGGAATCTGACCTCTTCCCCTTCACTCATTGTGAGTCTGAGTAGTAACCTTCTGCTCTTGCAGATGTTAAGACAGAAATGTGGCAATAAAACCTTTTCAGCCAATCAGAAATGTCCAGAGAGGCTGGCCCCTCCTTAAAGGTTTAGTTCAGTGTTACATCCTCATTGCGGTCCTCTTTGGGGCTTAAATTTCTCCCCTCAGGCGTCCTTTTTAAGCCAGCAGTTCCCACGATCACACCCCCTAAATGCAGCCACAGTCCTATCAGATGGTCAGTTTTTCTGGGATTTCAGGTCAACTTAAATCGTGGTTGTGATATCATGATGTTCTGACCGGCATTTGAATGTTAGCAAGTCTATAGGTCCACTTGGATAAAACCTCTTGATTCTGAGACCGTCTCTTGCCTTGAGTTCTCTTATATTACTGCTCAAATGCTTTCAGAAATGTAAATTGAGAAGAATTTTAGGCTCAAACCACATTTGACCCTTGATATTTGAGGACTAAGTGAAAATCCTGAAAAATACGAAGACTAGTGTGAGTTGTTTCATCTGAATGTTACATTTTAATGATCAAAAAAGTTGAATCTGAAACTCACATTACGCCGACAACATTTAATCCACTTAGTCCAGACTGTGTGCAGGATGGTGATTAAGTTTATGACCGTTCTGATTCGATTTTCGCAATTTGATTACCTATTAATTAGAAAAACCAGAGGGAAAAGAGATGAACCATCACAGCTTTCTGAAGTCTGAATATGTGGGATCATGTATCTTGTCTGTTAAGATCCTAACTCTTAAAACCAAAAATATTCAAAAGATTACTTTTTCCTTTTAAAGCTAAAGAAAAATATTGATTTAAAGCTGACTCTTGTACCTGCTGTACAGTGTTCTCAGTGTGCATGGCGCCCCGACCCCTCGAACCTCTGACCCTTAACTCCTAAACGGGGGCTTTGGTTTCGCTGAGCGCGCTGGGATCAGGCCTCCAGGTCCCGGCTGAGGTTAATAATCACTCGGCTGTACCTCCTTCAGAAAAGTGGGCTTTAGCCTCAGTTAGCTGCCACACAATGGCGGCCATATTGGATTACTGTGTTTTCCCTAAACTCGCCTGCCCTCTCCCTCCTTCTCGCCAGCTCACATTCCCTCCCTCACGCCCCTCGTCCCCCGGGAGACGGGGCCTCTCCGCTGCCATGGCGATGAAAGAGCGCGCTCGGATGGAGGTGGGGTCGGAGGCTGAGGGTTGCCGTGGAAACCTGACCCCACGCCGCCCTCTGCCCGTCCGCTCTCCTCGCGGGAGGAAAACCTCCGAAATGAAAACGCCGACATGACGGATGTCAGGCTGTCAAACGCCGGTTAATTGATAAAAGGAGGGCGTGGCTCTTTCCCTTTAAACGGCCCCCTGAGGGAAGCGGGGAGGCCCATTAGCTGCCATTCAACCGAGCCAGGCCTCTGAGCTCCATCAGTAACATCGCCTCTGGTATTTCCCCCTTTCCAGGACCAAGTGGCGTGACCCTTCCCCACAACAGGGACCATTTTCAGAGCCTCAACAACATACCCGCCCGCCCACCCTTTCAGCCACAAAATTCAAATGACTCACAGCCTCTGCCCTGTGCATCATCTTCGGCTTTTATCTTAGAATGAGCAAACATGATGCAGGGGGCTATCCAGCATTTAGAATGAAGTCTAATTAGCTGGTACAAAGCATAAGAGAGAGCACATCACGCAGTAACATTATTTCTATCATCCTCAACAGACTACAGGAGCCCATTAATAGACAAATTTGAAGTATCTCTTCCTTTGGATATGTCCGGGGGACAAAAAGTGAGTGCACACACTCCCTTGACTCACCAGCCCTTCAGCTGGAACACACAGCAACAATCCTGTCTGACATTAAAGTTGATCCCCTCCGCCTCGTGAAAATAGCAATTAGGCAATTCCTGCAGTTTTGGCTGCATTTCAAAGACGGAGCGGAACGAAGAAGAAAACCCTCTTCTTCACCCAGCCGCATATTTACCCACACACATCTGAAATTCCAACCTGATGAGATGAGGACGCTCAGAGAGCTGCTCTGTTTGCATTTCTGGGTAATGGCCCTGACGGCTGTCGGTCAGCTGCATCCAAGTAGCATCTCAGACAACGGCAGAATGATTCCACAGGGGGTCCGCGTGGATCCAAGTGCCTTAGTGGGAAATTACAGGCCAAGAATAGAAGCCTGGATTTCTTAACTCTTAAGATCGACCACAAATGGGCTGATCCGAGGACAAAAACAGGCTGTTAATGATGAGAGATATGATGTAGGGGAAATTAATTAAGACAGAAATAGTTCACCAGGAGGGGAAAAATAGCATCGTTATGTTTCTTATCCTCTTCCTGATTTAATCCCCCATCCCGAGTGTGACCCAGGCAAGTGTGGAAGGAAACAACTCCTGTATAATCTGTCCGAAAGGTCACGGGGTCAGCAAACACCCCCAGGACCACATACACCCTCATCAACCCGAAACCCTCAGAGAACAACACACGTTTAAACGTCGCAGACCATAAAAGGTGGATTAGTTTGACCGACTGACTGCCAGCAGGGAGAATACGGAGTTCGCTTTTAGATTGCTCTTAAAAAGTCTTCAGGGTAGATTACAGCGTTTTGCACAAGTTGCTCTTTTTCACAGTAATTACACGGTAATGACTCAAGGATGTCCCCTCACACAACTTGGCTGTATCAAGTTACCCCAAAGCTGGGCTAAATAACTGTGAGACCTTTAGAGAATCAACACAAAGAGAGAGAAGTGCTCGCTTTTCCTGCTGAAGGTGGGTTCGCCACCCGCTCTGAGCCACAGTCCTTCAGACTAATCCGAACCGTTTCCGGTGAAGCTGACGTCACGCCTCCAACATTCGAGCTGCTTCTCGCAGGACGAGGCGCGTACGGCTCAGATCAGCTTTTGTTACCGGGCCCGCCTGCAGCTTTGCCCTCTCAGAGGCAACAAAAGCCACCACTCCACAAAGAAATCCGGAGTCGGATGGCAGGGGATCGATACATTTGTTTGACTGGAGACTTTAGGAAACGGGGGAGGAGGCCCGAACATGCAGCCCAGCCTGAAACACGGAGACTCTCAGGCTTCTCTATCGGCCTAAGAGTGAGAACCCAACAGCGTGCGATCTGCAGAAGGTGTGGTCCACTAGTGGGGCGGATAAGGTTTCCCATTCATCCCTCTGTCCTCCGGCCTAGTTGGAGGAACTCAGCAGGGCTGCGGCCTGAGCCTCCGGTGAGCGGCAGCCTCACCCTCAGAGGGGAGAAGTAGGCCTGAACACAAAAGTCTGCTCTGTCCAAACACAACCTGCCTCCGCCTGCAGTTCTCACACACAAACACACACACACACGCATTGTTGATTTCTCACAGTCTGGCTCAACTTTGCCCCTGAAATCGTCACTTCTCGGAGGACCGGGCAGGGCGGGGTGGGGGGGGGGCGTGCGTGTGTGTGGTCTGAGATGAAACGGCCAAGACGCTTCCGGCCCGCCGGCCACAAGGCCGGGCGGTGTTTCGGATTAGACCAAAGAGCCTGCAGAGACATTTGATGCCGCGCGCACCGACAACTCAGAACAAAAGACGACGAGAACCCGGACGGGACGCGAGCGCTTCTCCACCCGTTTGGCTTTTTTAGCTGAAAGAAACAAGCTCGAATCGCCGAACTTCAAGCAGAAATCAAAGAAAAGTTCAATGAAATCAAACTAAAGTGGAGCAAATTCTGGACAATCTAGTCTGAAAGTATGTGGGCACTTCATTTATGTACCACATAAATGAAAGGTCTAATCCTAACACCCCCCACCCCCACACACTTGGACCTTGACCCGGTAAGCACCACCTTTTTTTTGGAGATGAAAGAGGAATGTTCATGTAGCTTAAAGAGGAGCACAGGGGGGCATGTGTCTGTCCAGATGACTTCATCAGGGTGTCAGGGGAGCTGGATGGGGCTTTTCTCTCAGCTGAACACAGAAAAAGGCTCAATTTTTCCTCTAACACAGACACTCAGTCAGTGGTCTCCATAAATCCTCTTGTGCAAACCGACCGACATCACCTCTGAGTCTAATTATGTCCGGAGCCGACCCAGTTAAAGCCGTCAGCACATCTGGGGGGGTCACAGCTGCATTTGTCTGATAGCAACACGAAATATGTCCCAATTCTGTCATTTTTATGGCTAATGAAAAACTCGCATAAAAAATTCATTATTGGCTGGACTGTTTTGATCAAATAAACCACTTTGGAGTTATTTCAGAGAAGGATAAATACAGGATTGGTGCATTAGTCCCTCCAGCTGCCGCCTTCTGTCCTTTTCATTTCAGTTTGCTAACAAAACGTCTCCGCGGCGACTCATCTTCAAATAAAGGGTTAATTCCAAAAGTAGGTCCTCCTCAGAGAGAAAAGCTCTACTGATGACACTGAATGACAACTAGATGCCATCAGCAACTCCGCCTGTCCGTTTGGCTCTTTTCCAGGAGATGCTGTTGTACAAATGACTAATCTAGACAGAAAACTCATCATTCACCAAACTTTTGCCACGTGTGGCCGGGTAAATGTCAGCTGTCTCTGGTGAGTGAAGGGCCGTTTTCTTACATTTCACTCTGAAGGTGCTTACTTTTGGACATTTTAACGACTGTGTGGACGGGTATTTTCTGGTTTCCGGTCAAAGGGTCTTCAGTAAGTAACGAGGAATTAAAACAATCACTCTCAATCCGACTGAATACCCAACATCCAACCAGCAATGTGCTGATTTAACGCCTCAACTTCTGCGTTCATTTTTGCTGGATTTCCTCCTAAAATGTTCCCAATCCTTCTATTTCCTTCCTCTCTTCTGTATCTGAGCAAACTGGAAAAGGCGTAGATGTAATTAGTATTCCATAAAGGCCCGCTTGTTCCTGCTCTTCCAGAGAAATTGAACTCAAACCGTTAGAGTTGTCTTTTCTCTTTTTTTTTATTACTAGAAATAAGCAGCTCCTGCGGCGTTCAATACAGGCAGATGTAGCGCTTTACGACCTCGTTTTCCCCCCGGAGGGGAAAAGAAATCAAGCTGTCATCACGGTTTTGAGGCCGCTGGCAGCGGGACAGCAGCTGTCAGGGAGGAGCTCTGAAATGACCAGCTCCGCTCAGCGGCCCGGCAACTGGGAAAATAAGCCCGCACACGCCCAGGCTGCAGCGGGACCAGAGGCAGGGCCACACACACACACATTCACTCACACACACACACAGCGCGGAGCCACCCACAGTCGCCTGACACAACATCAGTACGGCCGGGAGAACACGGGACAACTGCTCCTGTCAGCCCCGGAGCACACGGCCAGCCGACTGAAGCAGGTGTGTGTGTGTGTGTGAGTTTGAATCATCGTCCTCCTCTGATTCGCCCGCCCTGGTTTCCAACCCGAGAGCCCGAGACAGGAAGTGGATCTGTGGTCCAGCATGTCAAAGCCACAGAAAACTGTTGCATTAGTAACTGACCACACCATAAACCCCCCCCCCCTCACCTCCTATCCGCTGCAGTCCAGTGTAAAAAGGCTCTTCGGTGGGTGTAGAAAACAAACGAACATTGTTTCTTTAAAACTCCCCTTAAAGAATCAGGATTTTGTTGGTTGATTGTGACAGAGACGGAACAGATTACACCACAGCTGTTCGAGGCCGAGGCTCAAATCGAGTTAGGACTGACCACAGGAGCAACACTGACCCCAAACAAAGCGCTGGTGTGTCTATTTGCCCTAAAATGAGAGGATCCACGGGACTGTAAACACCCAGAAGGCTGGCTGGTTCAAAGCAGGGAAAAGGAATATCGGTGACTCTGGGGGTTTCTGTTTGCCGATTCTTGGGGATTTCGGACATCACGTCGGGCTTTGGGCCCGGTCAGATGCGGGCTAAAGCAAATGTCCCACATCCAATTTGATTTCAGGTGACATGTGAGTCATATTAGACGCGGCCCTCCTCGCCTCCGTGGAATAAGCCAGTTAAATCAAATCATATTAAAGCATATCTGAATCAGATGTTCATGACTTGTTCTCGTGTTCTTCTTCTGTTTCATCCAACAAACCAACGGGGCAGAGGGCTCGGAGAATCAAACAAGAGTTCAACTAGGCCTAAATACTTTTCAAAGTATGAGTCCTTCATGGGGGGAAACAGGCCATCAGATCCGGGTTAAAAAAGGATTTGATGCGTTACACACAAAATATGAACATTGAAGAGGCCTCTACTTGTCTTTTGTTGATATTCTGTATCATCAGGTAGCAAACTAACTGTCCTGTGGCTGAACAACCCCCCCCCAAAAGTGCCCTAAACAGCCCCACTGTGCTTTTTCTCTCTGAGGTGAAGAAGCTGGAAAAGCCAACAGGTATCTGAACGGCTCACTGGAGGGCTGGGGGCCACGGGGCCTGTTTTTCTGCTGTTGCCCCCCCCCCCCGACCCACCCCCCCCCCCCCCCATTATCCTGCTCCACTTTGAATTCCAGCCACCAAAAACCTGCCGGGAAGCTTTTTCTTTTTTACCACACCGAAGAACAGCCGGGTCGGTCCGGCCGCCTCAACCGTTCCGCGACCCTCCGCGTGCACAAAGAGCAAACCGGTAGCCAACTTACTGTGAGGTCCGGCCGCGTTCAGGGACAATCAGACAACAACGTTGCGCGACCTAAAAAGTGGGTTTGGGGGGGGGGAGAAGAAGAGGGCAGGACAATGGGAGACTCCCAGGCCCCAGCGGTGGCGTAAAAATGACGCCGAACGATCCCAGATCCCCCTTTTCGCTTCCGCACAACCGCCAATGAATGGACGCCCCCCCCCCCTGAACCCCCCACCAGGCAGAAAAACTCAAACCCTTCGGCCTACGTTCAAACTGGACGCGCTGCTTCCCTCCGGGTGCATCTTCTCCGCCTCCTGTTTTATCTTCCACTCGCTACAATGGAGCGGTTTCTCTTCCTCCCACGTTCACGAGCCGTCCGCGCGCTACGTGGCCTCCTCGGAAGCAACAATAGGATAGCCGGGGGGGTCTCAAACTTCGCTGCGGTTTGAAAAAAAAAGAAAAAAAGGCGACCATCGCGTCCTCCGGACTATTGTTTGTGGAAACCGGAGATCTCCGGCGCCAGCAGACCCCCCCCCTCCTCCTCCTCCTCCTGCCCTCCCCTCTCCGTGCGCGTCAGGGCAGCGCGCAGGCCCCCATTTTACCACCGACCAGCTTCCAACGACCCCCCCACACACAGAAAAATACTACTTACTTATTTCAAATCGTCCACCCAGGTATTTTCTCACTTTCCACTTTCTCTCCACTCAGCCGTAGCGCCGCGCGCGCCCCGCCTCTGCTCCCGCGTGGCTCCTCCCCCGGTCACCCCCCCCCCCTTCGGCCCTCCCCCTGTGGGGGGGGGACAGGGCCTGAGAAACGCTGTGGTTCAGCCACACCGCATCCATCACCCCACTGTCAGATTTATCCAAAGTAGAGAAAAGTCTTGTTCAGGTTTTCCTCAACTTCGTTTGATTTCATTTATTAAACTTTACTATTTCAGATAGATAGATGTTTTTAAATAGAAGTTGGTAAAAATGGATAATTCTGAATTAAAAGCGTACAGTAAGCAGGTTTAAAGTCTGTTTTTTTATTCTATCAGGATATTTTAGCCCCCAAAATCTGTTGTTTTTTAAACCTTTGGCGTCACTCATTTACTTTCATTGTTCAGTCCTTAAGCTTGGTCTAGTTTGGTTAAAGATTGAATTTCTCTAACCTCATAGTCATGCTCTCAGATTAACGTGGGCCGTTTTGCAGCCATTTTTTTTAAAGTAAATATTAAATGATATCCTTTCATGGCTACATTATTCCAGTTCCCTTCCTTTCCCTATCCTTCTGTTTCTCCTCCAGAACAAGTACTCACAGGTCTGATGTGAGTCATTGGTAATTAGCTGAATAAAATAAGCATAAAGTAGTGTTGCGTAAAGGTTTTTGTTTTTTAATACTCTGTAACCTGCAATAGAGGACACAATTACCCAAATCTTTGGGGCTTTCTGGACGTGATAAAGAGCAGAGAGTTCGTCTGAATCGGCCCAAAGACGAGTCTGTAATTTAGAGTTTAATCAACATCATTTAAGACTTAAGTTTGCTGTTCTGAACAACAAAATGGCTGCAGTTCTCATCAGGGATTTCCCTGTTTTCTCTTACATTTCTCAGGAATATCATCAGAGGATTCATTTAACTGTTGCAAAGCGTCAAGTGGAAAATGGGACCATGAAGGCAGAGTGGTCCCTTTTTTACATTTTTGAGATCCAATATTAGTTTAAATTACATGTTAACCTTGATTTAAAAACCCATATACCTGATACCAGTCACAATATGTGGCACACTGACAACACTCTGGTCTTTACAAAGTCAAATTGACATAATTTACAACAGAAATCTGGGCTTAAAAAAAAAAGAACATTATGCATCAAACTCAAACCAAACTTAGAGAAACTTTTGGAAAAAGAAGCCATTTTTATTCCTTCAAGGCATCACAACTGGTCTTTGATTCCAGCCTGTTAATGAACACCCCTCAACAGAATTAAAACCTTTAGAGTTGTTTCATTTCCACGGTTATCCTTAGGTTGAGAAAAGAACCAAAGATCCTGCCCAGCCAGAGTACCAGCGCCTTTTCAGTGTTTCAACTCCCCGTTTCTCCCCGAATCAAAGATTCTTTGACGGCTTTTGAAGATCCTTACAGCTGGGTCAGAGGAATAAAAATTGTTGTTAGCCGTGCTGGAGTCTTGGAGACTTCCTCCTTCCTTTAAAAACGTCCCCGTCAGTATCGCTGCAGTGGGTCAGAAACCTACACGCACAAAAGCCGATCGCTGGGACTTCGTTTCTTGATAACATTTCAGGATCTAGACTGTATAAAAACACATCACTGCACATTTCCAGATGTTGCAAAAGCTTGAACAGAAACTTTACTACTTGTTCACTGACTCAGAAAGTGGTTGTTGGTTTTTTTATCAATAGAACTGATTGATAAGTTAACTACATTGACAAAGAAGACGGCTACAGTATTGCACATACCTTTGCAATCCCTGTACAAAATTTCAGACGCACACCCATCCTGGTTAATAGTTCGTACTCACTAAATCAGGCGGTCCGCTCGGTCACCAGAACCATTCACACGCTCAGAATAATGCTTGATGTTTAGTGCCCCTCCCATGACGCAGTAAACAGGACATTCTTGGACGATAAAAAGGGGAAACGAAAACCTCAAATGAAAGGAATATAAACATCTTTTGCACTGGCAGGGCCCGCTGGTGCCTGACCAGTGCTTCCTGACCCCGGTGAGTCTGGCCCGGCCGGCCCGGCCCTCACGCCTCACGTCGGTGAGTCCATCAAAGTGACGTGGTCGTCCGGGAGAAAGCCCTGGGCTGAGTCCCACCCGTCGTCTGTGTACCTATGCGTGGTGTGTGTCTGTGGGGGGGGGGGGAGGTGGGGGGGGGGAGGCGGGCGGAGGGGGGGGGGGGGGGAATCAGTAGGTGGCGCTGGCGGGTTCCCTCCCCGAGTTGAAGAGGATGTCGGCCTTTGAGCTGATGAAGTACGTCAGGAGGAAAGAGGCCAGCAGCACGCCCACCCCTACGCCCAGCGTCAGCATCTGGAGGAGAAATGAGTCACATATCGAAACTTTACATCGTTTAGTCCACATTTAGTCCTAAACTGTTTGGACTGATTTACTTTTCTTTACTTTTCAAACCGGTTGCTAACAGTCACTGTTAAATTTAGGTTGAATTAACACCACAGTGAATCTGTGGTTTTGTTTGCCCCACTGGGGGACAAACGGGGCCAGGAGTAAACTTCAGAAAGAGGCACTGAACAACATCTTTTTCAGGCAAAAAGGCAAATTGCTAGGGATTTCTGGCATTTTAGGGCCAATTCAAGGCCTTTGACTTGTAAGCATTGACCGACAACGAGCAGAACGGAACAGACTTGTGGCACTTACATGTTCTCAAAGGTTTCTGTTTAAGCTAATTTTTTAATCCTAATTTATATAATCTCCACATGACTTAGAATGACTCCAGAGGTTTTGGAGTCTTAAAACTTTGAGCTGCTGCCTTGTTTTGCAGTGCACAGAGTTCCTTTCTGCACATTCCCGGCCTGCAGCTGCCCAAAGCCGCCCTGGGGGGGGCTGGCATAGCGCTGCTCATACCGCTTCGCTTTTTACTCCCTCAACATTTTTATGGGTTTTTGATGACGCCTTTAGAGTCTCCTCAACACCTAAAAAAAAAATCATGTGCATGGCAGAACATCTGCAGGAAGTGTACTACTGCAGGAGGACTGTAGGAGGCGCCAAAGAGCAGGAAGAAGTTGACTTGGTTTTTTTTGTGATACCTTTGACAAAAAGTGAAAATACGAATTTAAGTAATTCATTGCAATTCTTAAGTACGATAAAGACAAAGTGCTAACTGAACAAAAAGAAATAAAAGAAAAAAACTCCAATACTTTCTAACTCCACAACGCAGTCCGAGACACATTTAAGTGCTTTGATCCTGGCTGAAAACCTATTCCAGGCATTCAAAAGCCTTCATTTGGTGTAAGTAGTGCACAGTTGGAGTGAAAATGGACATGTCTGATCCTTTTAAAGAGTTTAGGGGCATGAAAAGAACTGAGGACTATAGCAGAGCTGTCTGATAAATCCTCCACAGTCTCCTCTTACACGCGGCTGGGTCATGTGACTGTAAACTATCTAACTATTTGGCACAACTGGAAGCAGCAGTTTAACCTGTGCGATGCTCATTAAAACTCTACAAAACAGTGATGGCTTCGATGACTCCAGCAGGGTGAGGGGGTACAAGCACAGACTCGAAGCTTCTTCCAGAAGCTTCTAACACATCAACAGCAATGGTTTATTTAGTTTGGCTGCAAAAAGCTTGATGAAATCTCAAACTCAAACGTCAACATGCCTATTTAGAGCCCAACAGACACTTCTATCGGATGGATCTGATCGTTTTCTCGATTAGAAATGTGGTTGTGTGCACTGAGCGATCCCTAAGTCGTTTTAAAACAGGGACTGAGTCAGATGAAGAGCTGCCGATTAGGCGGTTTCAGTGATCCGTCTCTGGCTTCCACCATGGCTGAACGGAGACGCTGAGTCAGGGCAGCCGGTCTGTGCTACATCAGGACACATCTGCTCTGACGGTTACCTCCAGGTCGTGGCTGGCCACCAGGAATATGCGTCCCTTGGTGGTCTTCCACCTGGACTCCGACCAGGTGGAGTAGTTTTTGGAGGTGTAGTCCTCCAGGTCGAAGGCCGGGGACAGCGCCGGGGAGAGACGCATGGTGGAGCGAACACAGAAGCCCTCCCAGTCTGTGCTGTTGGGGGGGGCGGCGCCTTTAACCCACATGTAAGTGTACAGCTGTGGGTGGAGAAACACGCGTCAGACGGAGCCTCATCATCTCTTCTCATTGTTTACTCATTTAAGTTGACAGTTTTCAGACTGATGTGACTGTTTTGACACAGCTGCTAGCATAAGCTGTTAGCATAAGCTGTATGCTTTACTCTTGTCTGGAATATTTAACGGCTGATGTCATGGATGACTAAGTCTTCCCACTCTGACTCTGGGATGATTTAACCCTGTTAAATGTACTGAGTTTTAAAACAAACGCCAAACAGAATGAGGCCTGTGGTCAATCTCACGTCTTTGCTGTCCTTGTCGTCCTCATTTTCTCTGGAGTTCTGGCAGTTGTCCTTGGTGATGTTGATGGCGCTGCCCGTCAGGTTAGCCAACAGGTACTGGAGCAGGAAAGTCGGCTCGCTGGTGTGTTGAACCACACCGATATAGAAGTTTGTGGATCTGTTGGCTGAGAGGGAGAAAAACAGAGACATTGCTGTCACTTTTGGGAGTAAACTAATGATGAAAAATACACCTCCTGCTGTCCATGGCCGTGTCCCTGTTAGCAATGGCAACGTATTGGGTTTTTTGCTTATTTTTCAAGAGTAAAAACTTTCATTAAAAGAAGGCATCAAAGCAAGACACAATAAAGACAGGGAACACTTTTTCCTCCTCTAAAAATCAAACAGGGTTAGACTTACTCAGGTGGCTCTGGAGGTCAGACGGGACGAGCTGCTGTAACCAGGTGTTATTGGACTCAACAAGGAAGCTGTACAACATTTTGTTAACCTGAGGCAAAATCAGGAAAGTTCAGCTTAGCTCTGCAAGATCAATGCATTTAAACACTCAATAAAAATATTCCTCGTGTTTTAAATTATGAGCACAAAAGGACATAAACAAAAAGGACTAGAATACTTGTGTGATATGATAATGGCATGGTAAAATGGTATATGTTAAACTCCGTTTAAGATGTCTGTGACAGAAAAACAATACCTACATTAGGAGTAAAAAAGAAAAAAAGCTAAAAGAAACAACAGAATCATCTTCTGATGTTGATCTGAACCCAATGAATGTTTTAACCACGGACTCCTTCAGGTATCTACTAATGAAATAAATGTTTCACTTATGTCATGTGGTTACCATGAAATGCTGAGGTTTGGAAACAGGAAATGAAGTTGTGATAAAACAAGTGAAAGCATGTTTGAGTGAATGGTTTCATGCAGCCTGTACTGAGAGGCTCTTTCGAGCCGGGGGACAACATTTAGATCTGTACATTTACAGAGAAACGGCCTTACTAGGCTTTGGTCTGCTTGAATGCTGTCCCGCATGGTTTCCTCTCCTCCGGCCTGTGCATACAGGGCTCGAGCCACCATTGTGGCCACCTCAGCCAGAGCCTGAAAGATGCATAAAGAGAAGAGCATACAAACTTCTTAGAACTACTTTACACGTTTATTTCTTCACACAGTCAAACAAAGCGAGGGGACACATTTTTAATCCAGGTATTTTCCTTTTTTATCTTAAAAATGGTCAGGATGTCTGTGAATGCAATAAATGAACAGTTCTCTCTTTTTACCCACCTATGCTACAAGGAGGCTGTGTTTCCACGACAGTCTTAAGGATTTTTAAAGATTAAAGAAACCCCAAAATAAAATTTCACAAATGTTAAAAAAATTGGGGGGAAAAAGGCTAATACGTCCAGTCTAACTGTTGTCTGCTGGCTCAGCAGGTAAATGAGCAGGTCTGAGCAGCAGAAATACCTTTGCTGTGTCTGTGATGAACTCGAGCTGCTCCTCTGGCGTCAGGTTTGGAGGGTAAGACACGTTCAGGTAGTCAGCGTTGTCGTACATGCTCTCATAGTACCTGCGCACAGTGGACGGGAAAAAAATGTAAGCGTTCACTGACACGAGCTCAGTAATGCCGTGTTTGTTTCAAAGGAAAACCCACTTGTTAGTGAAACTGGACTGGTGATTCTCGATAACAACCCCAGGGATTGGCTGAGCTCGCAGGAACTGCTGGAAGGACGATGGCGGCAGCGGCTGACTGGACGCCGGTTCCTCCAATGAGAAGCTTAAACCTGTGGCGGCTAACTGCAATCTGCTGATGAGTGTCCTCACCTGAGAAAAATCAGTATGGGTGGACTTAAAACTACATGTCAACAGAGACACAGACACCATTAGCTCCACTCCTGCTTCTTTGTGTAGCATCTAACCAAAGACTTAACGGATCCTTTTAAAGGCGTGAGATGTGTTGTTTTGTTTGGGCTGAAATAAATGAATAACCACAACACTGGGTGCGATCAAAAGCAGATTTATGGATAAATCTAAAATCCAGTTTAGACTGAAGTCTTTCCATGCAAATATCCAATCTATTTAAAGTTAGCTGACTTATTCACACCTAATTTCACACAGAAACAGGTTTGCTTTCGTTAAATACGTCAGCTCTTTCGCACCATGTGACTCATCAGACAAAGATAAAGTATAAACCATTCTGCATTCTGCCACAGGATGGAAAAATATCTCCGTTCCAGGATGTCACCACCACTGAGGTTTTTGAAAACTAAACTAACCCTAAAAACAGCTGGTTTCTAAACTCAATGAAGCATGACTTTATCTCTGTTTTTCTTTTCTTCAGAGCCACCACAATCCCCCCCGAATAGGATCAACAAAAGTTTATCTGATGAATTTACTAAATCTAGTTGATAATAAATATTTTGCTGAAGAGAAAAACCCCTTTCTGCTTGTAACGGCGCTGCATCTCAAGAGCAAGTGGACACGAACCTCTTCCTGTATGCTGCTGTTTCTATTGGAAACAGGATCAGAGTGAAGCCAGAGCTTGGCGTCTGCATGCATTCCCACCTTAGATAAGAAAGTTTAACACAATATTACACAGTGCAGAAATATTTATACATCACTTTTAGTAAGTATTCAGTTCACATTGGAGAACGTCAAGTTAGTGTTGCAAAAATGTGTTTTTGTTGCATTTTAAACTTGTTTTCAAAGATATATTTTGAAGTACCAGTAGAGAATTTTGCCTTTTTTAGGCTTTTTTTCTTTCAGTTTTAATCAGAAATAGAATGGTTAAAAATATATTTGAAAATTATTACTGAGTTTCAGCCTTTTGACAGCAACAACTACTTATATGTTGCTATAACTTCAGAGTATATCCTGAGTAACAATTTAAGCAGAAGTTACCACTAAGGACGGCTAGACATACCTGCCCGATCTCCAGCACTGAGTGGACATTGTCCAGGTCAACAGGAAAATGGTCCTTCTCCATGTCGTAGACCATTCTGGAGCTTCCGATGTAGTCAAAGGTTTCCTGTGTGGCAAAACAGACGTTTGTAAAAGTGGCCGCACGTTGCAAACTCATCAATCTTGTTGGTTTTTTGGGGGGGTTAAAAATAACGGTGAAACAAAAGGTTAAGAAGGGACCAACCCCATTGAAGAAAGTGTAGAAGATGGTGCGGTTCAGCTGAGCCGTGACGTCCCGCAGAGCGTGGGCGGCCGCCAGCAGAGTGACCAACCCCGAGGCTGCGCTGTCCGCTCCTGGAGCAACATCGAAGAAAAAAGACCTGCTGTCCATCTGCAGAGGAGACGGCAAAGAAAACACCAATTCACACCACAAATAAGGCAACTAACTTCAATCAAACTGTGGAATCTGCAGCTTTATGCATCTTTCCACGACGGGGTTCCACCTCTCAAAAATTACATATCCCCCACTGCAGATATTTCTTTAAAACTCAGATGATCTGTTACTTGTTGGACTGTGTGTGAGATTCGTAGCCGCTTAGTTTATTTTTCCTCGGGCTTAAAGGAAGAGTAAGGCTGTGAAACCCACCCTTGCAGCAGCAATGATCACGCTCTCATTCATCTTGTGGCCCTTGGCTGTGGTGTTCAGAGGTCTGCTGGAGGCCCAAACATTGTAGTCACCCAAAGGGTCGCACACCACCTCTGACGGGGGACACAGAATGCAGGTTTTACCGTGACAATCAACATGGGTTTTCCTTTTAAATGAGAAGCACAACACTGGTGGTGTTCCTGCTGCTTAGATACCTGGGTTGAGGCTGAAATTGATGCCGTTTCTCCTCATGCATGTAGCGGTGTCGGTGACGGCCGACATGTGGGAACTGAGCTGCATGGCGCAGAGCGGGTACTGAGGGGTACTGCCGTTCACGGGGCGGTTGTGGTCCATGTAACACTGGGAATGGAGGAAAAGCCCCCACAATGTCAAAATCACAATACACTATAGAGTCTTATATATTCTAAGTCTTAGAGAAGTAAGAAATTAAACAAACTAAAAGCTTGTGTATTCATAATCTCCATCAAAAGGCTGCCATTCTGTTCGGCAGCAACAGAGAACATTGAGCAGTATTAAAAGATTAAAGCTCGGGCTTTACCTGTCGTATGACCTGTGTGTCATTGTCGTCTTTTAGGGAGAAGATCGGGAAGTCAAACTCCTCGTAGGCCAGGTTGTTCCCCTGAGGGTTCCACAACGTCGTGTTACAGTGGGCCAGGGCCGGGTCATAGCTCTCCGTGTACACACCTGAGACGAAATACAGTATATCAGTATCACAACAGTAGAACCTTCAGAAAAGGCTCCAAACAGATGTTTACTTTAAATTTCTGTTGTTTATTATTCCTTTATCAAAGATTTTTTTAAAAGTCGATATGGAATATTTACATCAGATCCACTTGATTTCTCCAGGCTTTAATACCAGAAAATGCTCAAACCATAAATTGGATTAGATTACTTGGTTTCAGCTTTATAATGTTTTTTATAGGGTTCTAGTACTTTAAGAGTAGTTTATTATCATGAGATGTTTTTCCCTCTTTTCCAACGTGTGACGCTTAGCGGCAAGTCTTGGCATGAGACTCCCCACCCACCTGTGTTCTCGTTGGGGCATTGGTTGTGGGGAGAGAAGCCCTCCGGTGGGTTTGAGCTCGGCTGCACGACAACAACACCGGCAACCCTGCTCGAGCCGTTCTTCATCTTCATCATGATGGATCTGACGGGCAGACGGTCGGCACGGGGCAGAGGGGTAAAAAGCAGGTCAGGGCTCGGTTAGAGTCGTTTGAAAAGCAGTTCAGGTTTCTTTCCTGAGGGCTACACTTGTAGTGTGTGCCAAACTACATCTCTGAAACCACAAGCTTAAGATAACATGATCTGCATTTCCCACCGCTCCCCCACACTTCTCTATCCACTTTAATTTTCTTTGAGTACAACAGATTTAAGTAATAATAATAAAAAGCTTTTTCTAAAAAATAAAAAAAAATACTGTTCAAATGAACATATGGAGATAAAAGTGAGAGACCCATCAATTTTACCTCGTAAAGAGAGCGGGCTCAAGTATAACCATATAAGGAGGGTTAGGGCCCGAGCTCAGGACCCAGTCCAGGTTTTCCTCTGATTCGAGCAAATGGAGCACACCTACATCCCCCGACAAAGAAGCTGAAACCCAAAGGACAAAAAGTATCAGCACCTCTGACAAAGCAGAGCAGCAGCATTTGATCAAATGTTCTCACAGCTTCGCCTTTGATGGGAACATCTGTGGTGGTTTTAACAGAAACAAAAGAAAGAAATAAAACTGAACTGAAAGAAATAAAACTGCTGTTGGTGAGGCAGCATGCAGGTGTTCCTACAACTTTTGACACCAACACATTCATCACAGCTTGTTTTAGTCTGTGATTTCATCGTTACAAAGCCAATCCCAACCATAGCAAATACACAGATTCACGTCTCCAAACATAATCCACCTGGAGCAACAACACATAAAACCAGTCTTTCAAGCATTTTAACTGCAGGACTTTCACATATTTGAACTGTCAGTTACTTTCATGAATATGACTTTAATGTGCTGCCATACTCACACTGGCACCCTATTTGATGTGTTGCATTGAGGAGCCGCACACATGGGATAGTGTAATTAAGATGAACATAAATCTTCTTCTCTACAGAAGTACAGCTGACACCTGCAAAGAAAAAAGCAAACCCCACACGGTAAACTTAATACCACACAAATATGTAATGATAATAACACACATTATTTATTTCTCACAAGTAAAATACATAGTACAAACATATGTTGTGCTATTTTACAAAAGACTGCTCTTTGAACCCTTTCAGGCAATTTGAAAGTCTTTTGGAAGATGGATTTAACTTGCGTTTTTTTCTAATGGGTGTCAATCTTTGACCTTTGACCCTATGAAGAAGTGAAAATGAAGATGTTTCAGTAATCCGACTTTTAACAAAGAAAGAAATGTCCTCAAATCCTTCCATTTCTTGTTGTGACCCTTTTTCAGTCTTTCAGGTAGGACATCTTACAATAAAGCTAGTTTAAATTACCTGTTGTGGTACATTATCCATAAGAAATAAGGGACAAAAATAAAATGTTTTTTAATAATCTATGGATTTCATAATGGTCACCAAGTCAAACGAGAAAGCAGATAGAGTCTAATGCTGGATTTGTAGCAAAATGTCTAAAATAATGGTCAGGATTAAGTGAACCATGGCTGGGTCACATGAGTGGGGGAGTCTGATGTTATAAAGTGTGCTAAGGCATCTACACGTGTGCTGTGACTACACACATTTAAACTGACTTCAACAGTGATTACCAAAAACAGACGTTACGCAAACAAAGAGATGAGGTGTGGTAAATGGTAACCCTGACAACCTTTAGAAAGCATACAGATGTTAAATAAAGCCAATGTCATCTGCATATTCAAGGCTTGGAATACACAGCCCAATTTTCAACCTAAATAATTTGACCTAAATCTGGTGATGATCCTATTTTGTATTTGTAGGTCTGTAAAATGTTTTAAGATAGATATTTCAGATTAAACTGAAAAAAATTAAACGTTACTGCTCTTCAGTTTCTTTTCAGTGTTGCATTATAAATCAGGAGTCATCTGATCAGTCATAAATTCATTCTGCAGCTGGAAAATTCATATAGTCAGAGGCTAAAGTTCACTGTCCTGCAACAAGTAAAATCCTTTTTGAAATAGCTGGATGGTTTCATAAAGTCCTGACATAGGTCATTTAGAGAAAACAACTAACCTGATAATAGTGAAACATAATTCTACAAAGGATTATAATTAAATTAAATGTATTATTGCTTTTCATCTGCTATGAGGACCCTTTTTTGCAGTTTAAAGAGCCTCTTGATATTTTTATATCGATGATTAAGCATTTGGAAAAACATGGTAAACTGGTGAACCCACTTGAGGATTAACTACATGAGCATTTAACAAAGTATTTCATAGTCACTTTAAAAGCAACTTGTTTCCTTTTTCTCAACAAAAGGAAAACACCCCAAGCAAGCGGAGCAGAAAATGACAAACCGATTTCATCCTAAATACAGTGTAGTTTTACAAGGCTACCTGTAGCTGGTACGGTAATCATATAAAAACTAAACAACCTCAAAAAGGCTTTCATTTAGCACGGTGATGTAGCACTTTAATCCCCAGGGCTCCGGATGGCCGCTGCGGTAAAATCACGAGCTGTCACGCTGAGCCTGTGTTCCACCTCCGGGGAGGGCAGCTCCAACCTCCGGCTTACTTCCATAAAAAGTGAATAATAGCCACTGACAACAAGTTATATGTTCATTTCCGAACGTCGTAAAGGCGGAGTTGTGTTACATTTAATAATAATTCAGAGCCCCATTGTAAAACTTGATTAAAAAGAAAATTCAGTGTAAACTGAAGAGGAACCGGCCAGCCGTTGCTAACGCTAACTAGCCTAGCTTTCAGCTAGCTCGAACACAAAGAAGTCTGTCAAATTAACCGCCTGAAAGAGAAACGCACTTAAGTCGTTTACATATTTGTAGAAACACGGGTCTATCTGAGTTGGGCAGCGACTTACCAGCCAAAAACAAAAAGAATACAATATTAACGATCCATTTGTTCGACTGCAAATCCATCTTCCTGGTTAGAAAAGCAGAAAAACACAACAGGAAGTGAATATCTGGGAAACATCCGGGCTCTGCTGTTCCGCTCACTATATTCGCCACACACACACAAAAAAAGTTCTGGCTCTCTCAGCCCATTTAAAAAGATATATCGATGTAGTTTTGGTGTATATCTATGCATTTGGTTATTGAGCAGATAAGTCTCGCCTTTTCTTGTGAAGCACCTCTCCAGAGGTCAGTGAACTCATTGTGAATTGCAAGATTGACTTGGCTTGTGGTTCAAGTTCAATTTCCAGGTCTGAATAAAAAACACCCAAAAAAATCCTCTCAGTTTTACTCACCACAAAGATGCCACACTGGCACTAAACCACAACCACATAAAAAAAAAGTCACACCCACACGTTTCAGATCTAGGGTTTCCATTTATTTTTCCAAGATACACAGAGCAGAGTTACTCATTTTTCTTGATTTATTTGGGATCTTTACAGCCAAAGAAAGCAAACAGTGAGGTTTTTACAGACTTAATAAAGCACACAAGAAAGTGTTAATGCAACAGCACTTAATAGACTTTTGAAAGATAGAATAGGTGATTAGCTGAGAGGACTGTGAGTGTTAACACCACCCAGAGGACAACAAAAAGTATATCACTGTATTCAACTCTCCGGAGAATTCAGGGAAATATCTGCTGAGCAGTTCCACCTCTTCTTTCTAGCGGAACTGGAGTGGACTCACACGCAGACCGATCACATCCTTTCCGATCTCCGTCACCTGCAAATGCACGTAAAATGTTGCTTAGATTTCTTTTTTTTAAAGAGAAAGAAGTATTGTAATCATTATCTTTTAAGATAATCTCTGTACAGAACAAACTGGACTGAACACTGTGGAACAGTTATGTTTTATGATATTAGAACAAACATTCAAACTTAAACCTGGAAAAATCCCTATACCTTAAAATTCTAATAATTCTTATAAAAAGCAGAAAAATTAGATTTTTTAATTCAATGTAAGTTACTTAAGTGACAACTGAAGTAATCAGAGCATTGCTGTCTAACTGAATAACTTTCGATTGGCAACTGTAGAGTGGAAGAAGAAACCCACCCTTGAATATTTATTTAGATTTATCTACTTATTTGTTTTTCTTATTTTTCTTTTCACTTTTCTAGATAAATGATCGATTATTTTTGATAATCTGTCTTTTGGATTACCGTTAATATGATTTTCCATATTATATATTGTTTTGTTTTTATTTCAATGGTATTAAGTTGTATTGTTCTTCTAAAATTGAAAATTTCAAAATAAAGTTAAAAAAAAAAGTGGTATTTTAACTATTTCGTTCTTCAGCAACATTTGCATTTAGATGTACATTTGTAACGTCAATTGAATCACATCGTCCCTTTTTCGTGAGAGTGTATTAATCTGAGAATCTGCTGAGGCTTTTGTTACTTAAAGGGTGACCGGGCCTACCTGTGTGACCCTGCAGATCTGGCCCTTATAAGTGGGGCAGTAGCAGGCTCCAGACAGCGGGCACTTCTCAACCGGACGCCCGCGGTAGAGGGGAACGTAGGAGGCGGCGCACAGGTCGAATGGATTGTGGGGATCGTAGTTCAACTGATGGGCGTCCGTCAGAGTTTTCTCACAGGCCGCCAAAATTTTCCGGGTCTAAATATCGGGGAGATCCACGTTAAAATCGGCACGAGATGAAGAGCAGCGTAATGACTTCAGACGCAACGTGGACATTGACAAAAACCTGCTGTGCGACATCTGGCTTCGGCCCGAGCTCGAGGAGGCGTCGTGCAAATCCTGCAGCTGTTTTAAAGTTACGGAGTTTGAAGAAGAGGTTCAGAGCGGTGCGCAACACCAGCACCATGTGGACGGGCTGCAGGTTGCAGTGGGTGAAATAAGCAGCCATCTGCAAGGAAAAACAAACAGAATGCGGTGATTTCTATTTTGCAGGTACAAAGCTCTTCTTCACTTTTGGGGCAAAGGCAGTTTGGCCATCTAGACCCTCAGCTGCAATATTGTGGGGGGGCAGTTTGGATGACCACTATGTCTTAATCATAAAGAGTAAAAAGGGCTTTTTAATGGCTACATAATCCTTTACCTCACACAGCCTCTTCTGCTGATCCAACGTGTCTTTAGGCAGCTTCTTCCTCTCGGTCTCCATGGTCAGACCCACAATGTACTCTCTGCAGATTGTGATCAGCTGCTGAGCCTGAAACGCATTCAGACGAGTGGCATTTAGCAAAGTAGTTCACCGGAGTGAGGCGGAAACCGTTAAATGCCCACAAACAAAGACATGGTGGACAGCAGGCCTGGAGCTCACCTCTGCAATTTCCTGCTTGTTGTCGACCACCAGCAGGGGCACGGAGAGCAGGATGGCCCTGAAGCGCTCCACCGCCTCCTCAAAGCGCCCGGCGGTGGTCAGCTGGTAGCACTGCTGCAGGCGGGCGATGAGGTCAGAGAGGCGCAGCCCCACGGCGGGCAGCCCCTGCTTCAGGCCGCAGTCCTGACCAGGAGCAAACACAAGACGTTAAAACACAAACGTACATCTGGAAACATCTGCTAAGCTACTAAACCAACAGCGGTACCTTCCAGTTGCGCTGCGGGTGGCTGCGCAGGCAGGGCAGCGAAGGCAGGCCCAGGTAGCAGGTCCGGCCTCTGGACATGGTCTGCATGAAGAGCGACTTGTAGGGCCCAAAGTTCACCACTCCAACCTGGTCGTGGAGCAGCTGTGGAAGACAAAGATAGAGCTCGGCCTTACTGCACATGCGAGTAGCAAATCAGACACAAATTAGGCACCAAGCAGAATGGAAGCAACGTATGGTGTGATGAGCGTACTCTCATGGCCGTTTCGAAGGAGCCGGCCAGGATGTGGTCCACCGACAGCTGGGAGTTGTTGCACCACATCTGGCTGGGACTCGTGCCCTTGGTGGGAGGCACGAAGAACCCATCCTCTGTTCCTCCACCTGCTCCCACGGGCACGTCCTGTTAGGAAAACAATTTACATTTGGAAATTCATGCTTGACATGAAGACATTTCAGTGTCTTAAGGCACAAACAAACACTTTTTAAAAAATCTGATGAGACTGAACGTGTTCTCAGTTTTTGGGTATATAATGATGTGGATCTTACAAGCTCCGGAGGAAGCTCCAAGTCTTCCTCAACCTCCCAGCCTCCTCCCTCCTCTTTCGCGATTCCCTCATCCCCGAATCCCTCTTGGGCATCCACAAAGCCATCTGAGAAAGACCGAAACACAGACATAAAAAAAAAAAAAAGTACTTCCAAAATTTAAGAAGGAAAACATCTTTCGATCAATTCTGCATTTACCTTCCACCATGGTCAGCTCAGCATCGTCTCCCCAGCCCTCGCCTCCAGCAGCATCCATATCCAGGTCCGCAGCCATCTGACCCGCTTTCCCTGCAACACCAACGGAAACACGTTGCTCTCACTCCTGCACAAGTGACTGCAGCACAAAGGAAGTCGTGTTTCATGCCCTATGACTCACCTTTTGCGGCAATGGCTCCCTCAAAGAAGCCCTTTGACACGGTGAGCAGAGGCCAGTTGGTGTCCAGAGGGTTGACGGGTGGAGGAGGCTGCAGCAGCTGTGCATTCGGATCAACCTCTGGCACCTAAGAGGCACAAGGCCAATCCTCATGTCAGCGAATAAGTCGTGGGTCATTATATAAAAAACACTATGGCATTACTGTACAAGCCTTTAGACTACAGTGTCTACTACTTATCCCGTGTTACGCGTCAGGGGGGACTGTTTTGCCAACACACCGTCTCTTTTTCTGGGTCAAAAGTCTCCTTTAGGGCCTCAGCTTCTTCATCCAGTCCATGTGTGGCAGCCGTCAGGTAAGCCAGAGACTCTGAAGACATTTACCAAGTTATTACCGTCTTATGTTTTCATTTTTGTTTTATGGTACAACATAGCGAATGCTTAATTTCTTTAACTGAAAATATTCAATTTAAGATGTAGAAATGTTACCATAATAATAGATTTCTAAATGTAACTTTGCTCTGTACATGTACATAGACAGTAATAATGAGAATTACTGATAATTTACTTGTCTAAATGGACACAGGTTTCAAAATATGTTCCAAAATCTTCCGCATTTTAAACAGGTGGTCCAAACATTTATAGAATACAGGATCGGGCACCATAGCAACACCGACATGGAAAACTACTGAAAATATTCTAGAAGCAACCGGATTGCCTCTAAACAAACAGTGCTGACGCTCGTGTGTTTAGTTCCCATTTAATGACCCTGATACCCCTGATGGAAGGCCTCCAATTCTGAGAGATTATCACAGTATATGTTTTACTCATATTGCAGAAGATAAAAAAAACATGCATCGTGGTTCATTTGTCTTTTTAAATGAAAGCATTGAAACAAGACAATTTTAACATCTTAAACTTTTAAATGGATGGGTGACTTAAATACAGGGGTGGAGCATATAATCAACCCTTGCGTATATTTGTTTGTACAGACTGGAGAGAGAAACATATGAATGAAAATACTGAATATGACAAATGTACTCACTTTGTCCACAGTTCTTCAGGATGCGAACCCTCTCACTGACGTCTCCCAGGTACAGGGCTGCCTGGTAGTGGCCGCTCATGTCTTTCCTGATCTCAGCTGCACATGAAGAAAAGAGATACAATAATCATTGTATATGAAATAACATTGCATCCAATTGCTATACATTTAGAATAAATCATCAGAACTCACCAATCTTCATCATTTTGCGCAGCTTGGCCAAATTCCCAGTGATGAGGTAGAGGAAGGTGAGCTTGTCGAAGTTCTTGGTCCTCTGGTAGCACATTTCCACCACCTGGTGGTGCCCCTGGAGCAGAGCCGCCTCGCCCAGACGCTCCCAGCAGCTGCGCTCATCCAGGGCCTTCGCTGCCTCCAGCGCCACCTGGAGGCAAACAGAGGTCACTGTTCACCTGACAGACTGTCCGGCAGCAGTTTTTTTTTTTCTTAAAGTTTCCAAGCAAGGCTTGGCTGCATCCTGTGCTGACTCACCTCTATGTTGCCGCACTCCAGGGCCAGGCTAAAGCGAGTCTTTTCATCCTTGACAAAGTGCAGCGCCACCTCAGGGTAGCCCTTCTTCTGCAGGTAGGCAATGATCGACTGGCCCACCAACTTGGCGTTGCGCACCATGTGGAGCACCTGAAAGCGGAGGAAGAGATCAGTCGCTGCCACTGGGTGTGGTACAAAATATGCGGCAAAAACGGCAGTGGAGCTCGTGCAGGTCAGCAGCTACAGCGAACGCACCTCATCGTATTTACGGTTGACCAGGGCCAGCTTGAAGCGGTACTCCGTGGGGTCGATGGTGAGGACACGGGGCCTGCACTCTCTGTCCAGGCAGTAGACGCTGTTCCCTCGCACACGGGTCACATAAATGGGCAAATCCAGGGTCCTGATGATGCCGTGATCACTGCAGGGACAACAGAAAAGTACTGTATCATAACAAAGCTGCTGTTTAAAAAGGTGCACCTCTGAACCGAAGCAACCAGAAATAAATTTGTTCAAACTTCTATGCAACAACAACCGATAAAAGTTGTGGACCTACCCTGAAGTCAGGGCGTATTTAATGTGGTTGGAGGTGGTGTAGATGAAGACCCCACTCTCGTCCCAGGCTCCGCTCTTCACTCTGATGTTCTCATGAATGTTGCAAAGACTCTCCAGCTTACGGTTGCAGATCATAATAGCTGATGGGGGAAAGGCAAAAGAAGAGAGTGACTTTTACTCCTACCCACAAAGACAAATTTCACATGTTCTATTGGCTGAATAAAACCTGCTCTGGAGGTTTTGAATTGAGTTTTTGAAAAATTTCTTTAAAGAATTTAGAGATTATATCAATCAAATCCTCAAAATGCAGCATTGTCTTTGAGATGTTACTGACATTGTTTGGCATTTCTCAGCCAAATCAGCAGTTTCTTTGTAACCATCTCTGGAAGACATGTTTTAGCGGCCTCGCGACAGACGGACAGTCGGCTCACCGTGTTTGGCCAGCAGAGCCACGTGGCTGGTGTCAGAGCTCCACACCACGTACTTGACCTTGGCGATTTTGACGGTGGCCAGAGAGCGCTTCTGCTGCACGTCGAACAGCGTGATGCCGTCAGCGTCGCGCAGCAGCAGCGAGCCGGTGCCCGCGTAGAAGATTTCCTCGCAGCTCGGCACCTGGACTTTCTTCACGATCTCATTCTTCAGGTTTTTAATCAGAAGCTGTGATGAAAAAAGAAAATCTCCCATTAAACAACTTTTAAACAAAGCAAAGATCATCCTTAAAGGCATAAAACATCAAAATGCTTAAAATGAATATAGGACAACACAGTCATTTTTTCTCTCTTGAAATAATCCTCCCCTGAGCCCACTCATAACCCTGTATCACTCATACTCTCCACCACATTCATAAATATCAATCATGGATGATCAAACAGTCTTTTGTCTCTTATCGCTATTGAATCTTTCCGCTTTCTCGCCACAAAGCAAAACTAGGAAAGAGCTTACAGAGTGCATGCGGTCCAAGACGGCAAATCTGTTCCTCGCCACCCAAACGGCCGTCAGACCAGAAGATCTTTTCCCCTCCGGTGCTGTGAAAAGATCCGAGCAGGTTACTTCAGTACAGTAAAAGTGGAGGGATTTAAACAGCTAACTGTGCATATGAATTTTTAGAACAACCCTCAGTAGTAGTGTACTTACCATCAGGGTTCTGGGAGTCACTTTCTTTGGGAATGGAGTACAGGTCATAGGTGCTGTTCTCCAGGTTGGTTGCTCTCTACAGGAAGCACAAACCATTAGACAAAATGTACAGAAAACCACTGCAACAGGCTGCATTTACAGGTGGAGAAAGGCTTACTGTGCAGAGAAGCACGGCGTTTTCAGCAGGGTTGTAAGACATGCTGAACACGGGGAACTTCGACCCACTGGGGAAGAGGATAACAATTCATTCAAAACTGACTTTTTGCATGTTTGCTCTCACCCGTTATTAAGAAACCACAGACTTTTGAGTCCACAAAGCAGGTAAATTCTTAGCCGAGGTGAGAACAGTGTTAGCAGGACAAATTGAGGGCTCACTAAACTGATAATCCTTAAAGAGAGCCCCTGTTTGTGATTTCTGGGTACATGTATGTGTTGTTCTGCTCATATTCTGCTTTTATTCCAAATTTGTTTGGTGGGCCGCAACCCATTTCGTCTATGACCTTTTTTTCCAGAAGCTAAGTCACCCAGTTTAATCATTTTCCAGGCAACTTGCTGATCAGAAAAATTTAGATGAGGCTTTGCAAAGATTTTGGTAAAATAGTAACATTAAAAACTTTGATTTAGTCCATAAGTGGCTGTATTTCTTTAGGAATAACTGAGCTGACGCCGACCTGCGCAGCTGCATGACGGCGGTGTCTTTGCTGCTGTTGAAGTCCAGCTGACGGAGGAAGCGGTCCTTCACGTAGTACAGCATGTTGCCGTGCACGGCGTATGCGGGGCGCTCACGTTCCAGCTTGAACACAATCATGCCGCTATCGTGACCTGAAGGACAAAACAAAAATCAGCCAGGGCAAAATTCTTACAAAATTTCCGTTTCTGCACTCCACTTTCTAACATCCGTTTACAGGTTACTGCACTGTTCAAATCAACCCAGATGTAGGTTTGTGAAACTACTCGCCAGCTGCAAACAGGTTCAGGTTGGGGTGGGCCCCGAGCACCCAAAAGCGGTCGTGGTCGCGCCGGAAGGTCTGGACGCCAGTCCTCTTGGACATGTCCCACACACGGATGCTCTTGTCCTCCGAGTTGGATAGGATGAGCTCCTGGCGGGGGTGGAAGACGGCGCAGGACACGTTGTTGTAGTGGCCGCGGCACGTGTCCAGCTCCCACGCCTTTGACTCTGCACGGAGACGGAGGAGACGTCACCATTTTAAAGACATTAGAAGTCAATCAGTTAAGTCGTTGGATTTGTCAAAAGGAGAACAGGGTCTTTGCTTTCTGTGCTTCGTAGCTGGTGTGTCCTGAGTGAGCCGCTCACCGTTCATCCTCCAGATCTTCACCTGCCTGTCGTCGGCTCCAGACACGATGAGGGGCATGCTGGGGTGGAAGGCTGCCCAGTTGACCCCGCGGTCATGACCCTGGACCCAGACAAACAAGATCAGCTCACACAAATCCAAACTCACTTTGAATCTTTTAAAATAAATGAGCCTTCCAAACACTACTGTTGACATAATCAATGACGTGTGACTGAAAAACAACATGACTGTTTCTTGGTCATCATTCACCACAAAAACACTTTTTTTCTTAAATGGTAGATTGATGATGTGGTCGGACTGCAATTTTTAAAAAATCTAAACAGTGATAGGACCCGCTCACCTCCAGGACGTGCTTCACAACAGCATCCGAGGCGCCAAACAAGTCCACTCCAGAGATGCCGCGCACATCCGTCTCCACGGCGCCGGGAGACAAATTCTTCTTCCTCAGACCTGGAACCATCATTCAGAGCACCGTGCGCACGAAAGGAAAGCCATTTTCATGTTACACAGGGCAGGACCCCGATACAACCGTGGAAGAAAAAACACAAAGGATAACACACAGATTATACAAATGGTCAAATACGGGCCAGTATCCTGGGAGAAGAAAGCCAGCTAAAAAATAACAAATTTTAAAAAATAAGGGAAGAAAGGATTGGAAACTGTTGGACCACCGAACACACACACAGGGCTGAAACACACTAACACAACTTTTGCCTTCTCATTATCCAAAAGCTTAAGTCTGGAAGCAATCTTAAAAGCAGCAACTGTTGATTAGGTTAATGAATCAATACAGAGGAATTTTTATGATTTGACTGGATGTCAGATCAAGATTACCGATTACCTCCAAGACTTACGAGATCGGGAGAGAAAACTACAAGAAGACACAGTTTGTATTCATGATTTCACCCCAATAAGTCAGTGTGGTGAACAGGTAGCTCAACAGGAGTAGGGGGAAAAGCATATAAAGGAAAGAAAGGGCTCTAGGAGCCCATGTGCAGATGTGGATGTTTCCAGGGGGAGCATGGGACAAGCAGGACACAGGGGGACTTGGCTGATGAGGGGCGGGGTGTGTGGTGGGTCGCGTTGTAAAGACGTGCTCTGATGGGGCGTTGAATGTCAGGAGAATGAGTTTGAAAGTTTGTGATCTTAAAGGTACGTGCATGTTTCAGTTAGAACATTAAAACCAGATAGTGAAAGTTCATGTTAGAATGACTTCATCTATGTTCTATATCCGAGTAGCAGATCCAACCATGCGAGACTCTGCGGGAATATGAGAATATTTTAATATCAACACTTAGGAAGTGTTAGTTTAAAAAAACAAACAAACCTGTTAGTGGTTATTGTTGACATTTGTCTTTGAGTAAATTAAAGTGGTACAAACAACATTTTGAACTTTCTATAGGGAGAGTTTGAGTGCAAAGTGGTCCTTTCAGGGAGGATAATTCTGGTCATGCATGAAGCATGCAGAGTAATATGAAACTGTCCATGCCGTAGTTATGTCATGTCATTTCATGAAGTTTTTAAACTCGTCAAAGATGGATGCTATAATGCTCAAAGCACAAAGAATGTCAAAGCATAAAGAGACAGGGCAGATGAGAGTCAAAGATCCAAGTTTCTGGCATTTTCATACATAAAATGTTACAACATAAAAGAGGTAATAAATTATTCAGTTAGTGTAAAAACATAAGACATTAGAGGAAAGGAAAAAAACATCCCAAACACTTTAAGAGCATGCAAAGTCACAGAAACGCCTCTCCTGTTTCTTCAAAATGATGCTGTAACTGTCTGATCTGTATTTACAGTGCGGCATTCCCAAACAAATGCCACACCATAAATCTTCAGTTCATTCAGTGTCTAGCTGTTCTAAAGGAGAGTGTTTCTGCAAACAGCCCACAGAGATCTGTCCTCTACAAAATGAAGAAGAAGAAGACATCCAGGAATTGACATCATTCCTGTCCATGCCTCCTTCTTCATTCTTTAAGCCACTCTGTCTACAACCCCTCATCCAAACTCAGCCCACTATCCACTGTGGTGCGCTGTGCCCAGGCCCTCACCGGAGATATCCCACACTCGCACGGTCTGGTCCAGGCTGGCCGACACCACCAGGTCCTCAGAAGGATGGAACTGAGCGCACATCACATAGTGATTGTGGCCCGTCAGTACACTGCAGAGGAGAAATAAAACACAAACATTAAAATACGCGATTCATTTTTCAGGGAAAACCAAATCTATTCAGTAACACTTTTTAAGATGTATCTTAAAGTCAATTTTAAAATCAATCCTGAGTTTATTAATCAAGGTTTGGCATTTAATGATATAATTAACCTATTTAAGACAAAAAATATACATAATAAAAAATTATTAATGTGTAATAATTGTGTCATATCAAATCTGTGGATATGCTAAAAATTCAGAATTCCATGGTCAAGTCCATCTTAAATCTAAACTCCAGTCCCCAACAATAAGACACACAGAGCTTCTTACCACACGCAGGTCCTGGACTGCCAGTTCCAAATGCGAATGGTTTGATCGTCCGAAGCACTCAGAATCCAAGGGTACTCCTACATGTAAGGTTATAACTCATTATTACAGTAAAAAAGAGAATATACAGGCTTTGGAGATCATTGAGTTTGTTTGGTTTTATGCACAGTGGGAAAAAAATAAACAAAAGTATCACTGTTAATTTGTGTTAATGTATGTACAGACCAAGTGTACGTTACAGTGTCATTATGACTCACATGGTGAAAGAAAGTGGTTCTGATGTAGTCCAGGTGCCCCAGGAGGGTAAAGAGGCAGCGTCTCAGTTTGTAGTTCCACACCTGCTCAAGTCAAGAATTATTAGTATTAGTTTAATTTTAGCACACACTTATGGAAATAAGAATTTTGTGGTACTCCCACAGTCTCACCTTGATTTTGTAGTCATCTCCTCCAGACACAAAAAGTGGCTGCTGTTTGTGGAAATCAATACCTCTGACGGGACCTTCAGACAATATAAAAAACAAAGAGTTATTTCCATGGGACTAAACACGGATTTCACACCGGACACGTCACTCACCATCATGCTCATCAAATTTGTCAATCAGGGTGCACATCCGATAGTCCCACAGCTGGATTACACCGTTGTGTAAACTGGCAAGAACCCATGGTCTTTTGGGATGGAAACTTAGGCCTAAAATGTAATGTAAAAGATGATCAGATCAAAGAAAGCGCATCAAATTGTCATTCTTTTTTTTTAATGTTAGCTACACAAACAATGCGGTGCCTGTTAAATAAAGATACATCTAAACAAAGTCAGTGTACGACGTCGTTGCAATGAGGATTTAAACTGTATAAAAATCTTACGAAGGTAATATATTAGCCATCAGTCTCTTTACAAATCAATTAAAGATAAGTGTAACGTCAGCTAGCTAACGTTAGCTACTGTGCTAACTGTATGGTTAGACTTCTTTTACCTTTCACTCGGGCCGACTTTGTCTCAAATTTGGTTAACATCGTCACAGGTCCTCAGTTGTCTCCCTATAAAAATTTGGAAAGATAACTCCAACTCGACAACAAAAACAACTTGAAATACTGCAGACAGGTAGACTCAGGGGGCCTTGTCGCTTTCGCCCCTTTAGCCGATTCTCCTTTTCCTGACACGTAGCCTGTTTTGTCTTCCGGCTTTGAACAATAAAGTTTTGCAGTCAAAATGTGATGCAGGAAGGGCCACGGCAACAGAACGTAGAAATACAATTCATAGAACCTCTCTGTGAGGTTTACAATTTGATTACAGTGTGCAAACGCTATCATAATAAATCTATAAACATTATTTCTATATCTAAATGGCTGCTTATGTATAGAACGACAAAGTCAAAAAGGTGGTGTGATGTCGGAACATAATTTTGTGGGAATATCGTATTTAAAACCACAAACCACACGGAAACACTGAAACTCAGTAAAAATCAATTTTCTAATGATCAAAAAAAGATTTTACTGAGATAATTTCCAACTGTGGCTATTTGTTTTTGTATCATTACATAACTTATACTAAAACCAATGGAAGGAAATATTTCAAAAATAATTTTTGTATTCTTAAATTGCCATAAAGATTATTTTTACCAACTTGAAACGTAGTCTTATGGTCTATGTTAATGTCACCCCCAAGCTATGGTTCTTAAAATGACAGAGATGCACAGATGGTGAAAAGGGCCCAAAAGGTTAATGTTTAAAGGTTAACAGCTTAAACTTCTGAAGTCTAAATTCTTGTTCCTTCAATAAAGGACAAAATAATTTCAGTTTACACACAAAGCAGTGCTTTACATGCTCTAATGTGCTGATTTGTTCAGGATTTTAAACGTAAAGGTAACAATGGTGAATGTGATGGGTAAAACATGAGTTTTTTTATCATCCGGATGCAGAAACAAAGGCAATAAAAATAATTCACAAGACAAAAAGGAGTTGCATTATATCATTTTTAATCTATATATTTACAAAACAATGCGGTGTCAAATGACAGGTGGTATCTTTTAAACAGTGCTGTGGGATGGCGACGGCCCTGAGAGCTGAATAGGTCGTACCTCCCACCCTCTGATGAAAACACGGGTCTTTACACTCCTGACCACAGCCCCCCTCAGCGTTTTGATGCAACTCTGATCTCTTTTCAGTGCATAGCTGACTAAATCCTTTTATTGTACGTTTGCTGATGGGCTGATGGTCGTGTCATTTCTGGACCTCTCCACACCATAACACTGGCAAACTTTTGTCCGCCCACAAAATGGTCGCTGTGGTAAACAAACCCAGCATCACCGGCAAAAAGCGCAAACATCAGTCTGTTGTTGTTACCCAGCAGGATTCAGACATGTTTGGGACACACTGTGATGTTTGCCACTCTGCTACTTCTTCTGGAAACAGCGTGGTGTTTGGGGCTCACGCCGGGACTCCAAACCAAAAGGAACCACCACTGTACATTGAACACACTCACACAGGAAGCACTTAGCACATGAATTCAAGACTGTAATGATCACCGTTACCACAGCAGAGGCATCCAGAGGCCAAAACATACATCACTTCAAATAATTAGTTGGGAATGGAGACTAAGATTTTGGGAAAGGGTCATTAAAGGGACTGAAGCTGGACAAATCACCATCTTATCTCAGTTCTTTTTTTTTAACTTAATTGGCAAACATACACTCATCTGTTTCCAGTTTGTTAATAATCGTCTTATCAAAGTTTTAATCTAGCCCTGTACAGATATTACAATTTGTTTAACACCCCCACACAAACAAGATTTGCTGCTTGTAAACCTAGGATGACTTTGCAAATCGATGTTATTTTAAAAGTATAATCTGAAGTGCTGCACAGAATGTTAATTTAAAACAATAATTTAAACTCATTTAAAGTGAAAAGGCACCGTTCCAACCCGTGAAGTGGCTCGATAGAGTTTGCCATGAGGCTAAACGGTATGTAAAAACACAGTGGTCGTTTTTTTCTATGCTGTTAAAATGAACCGTGGAGATGTGGCAAACGCTGACAAGCTACGGCAGAGAAGAAGAGATGTTCTCTGTTGTGCGTTCAGTGATTTTACAGAGATGACAGTGTGTTTGAGTGTGTTGTCCTGCTGTTTTCGTGGCTCCTCTCGTGTGCACACTCCTTCATTGTAAAAGCAGAACCGTGTTTGGTCACCCTGCTGCCTGACCTCTGCTTCACTCTGTCACCCCTCTTTTTAGCTGACAAACTCAGAGCGGCAGTTCGACTCCAGAAGTTCTGATGGACCGCGCCGCCTCACATGACGGAGCACTGCTCTGCTGCCCCGGCCCCAGGGCCTCCGGGGAGGTTCAGAGACTCCATGTCAAAGTTAAAGCCGGGAGGCTGGAGGGGAAGAGGAGAGAGGGAGAATTCAGTCCTGAAGAAAGCATTTCAAATACTTTGACTCCCCCACAACTCTGCTACCAAATAATTCTACTCAGTCTGAATAAAGGATACAATTCGTCATTATGAAGCAGTTTGACTCATTAATGAATTTTCTTTGCCATCAGCTATATTTGTAATGTCTGACATTAAGGACTCATCCTTTTAAAACACCATTTAATGGATGAATGGAGACAAAGATGCTTCAGATTCATATGTATTCATTTTTATAAAGTTCAAATAACAAAAATTAAAAAGAGAAAACCAGCTTGCAATCTTGTTAGTTTTCATTTGTCTGTTAAAATTGTTACACACCACAACGGTTTGAGCTTTTCTGAATTAATTAGAGAAAAGTAATGTGAGCTGCATCGCTGTGATTCATGTGGACATCAGAAACATCTCAATATTTACAAATACTGCAGAAAGAACGTCAGTTCTACATCAAATCTGAAAATATAGCACTGGTTTTGCACACTTCATAGAAACGAATGTAGCGATGGGACTTACAGTATCCCCTGCCAACTCTTTGGGTGGCTGGCCAAGGTCTTGCAGCTGTAAATAAAACATCTGTATGAATGATCAGTTTTAGTGTTTTTTCATTGAAAAGGAAAGTCTCCGCGTGTTTCTCTTTCATGTCATACACAGAAATTACCTACCACCTCTATTCAACCTGAGTTACAACCCAACCCATCTACAAATGTAATACATTTATTGATCACCTTTGTGGGAAAAAAAAGAAAGATAGTTTTAAATGCTGATTTAACATCAATTTCCCCCTATGGACAGATATCAAAACAGGAGCCAGCCATGCAAAAAGTATTTTGCATAGTATTTCTCACTAGTGAGCAGATTTCTGTTCAGCTCTGCCAAATCTGGTCAGATATCAAAAAATAATTTAGGGTTCACTAAGTAAATATGACAAAATATTTAACTTACTACTTAGGAAAAACACCATCTGTTTAATGGAAGTGTTTTAATGTGTCACCTTTTGCATCAGGTCCATGACACTCTCAAATGTTCGCTCCTTATCTTCGGCCCGCTCGTCTTCTTTCTCAAACAGCTTACAGATCTCTCCCATAATTTTGGCCTGCTGCTCGTAGCGCTGGTAGTCCTCTGTGCTGAGGCTTGGCTTATTGGCGTCCAGCCACTCTGGGTACTGTGAAGGTAAGTTCCCGTTACTACATGCACTAAAAAAGACCCTGAGTTGTGTCAACTGTGGAAACAGAGACTCACCTTGGTGGTGATCTCTTTGAGAGATGGATAAAGCACTTCCTTTGAGAGAAGGTTCTGCATGATGGACTGCATGATGGGCAGGATGTTGCCATCCTCACCACCTCCTTCGCTGCCTTCATCCAACCCCAAGCCTTCAAGTGTTTTGACCAGGTCATCTCCAGCGAGTCCAGTGGACTGACAGGACAGAACTCAGGTAGTTAGTTATCACTCTCATCTTATAGCTTCAAAACAACTGCAGATGTGACCTACCTGCAGGTTGTCCGCATTTTTTGCAAGGCCACGAAGGGTATCTTTAAGACAGGAAGTGAACTCTTGTTGGGAGGCAGTGTCGGTACCTGTTGAGAAAATGGAAGCACAAGAATTTCAGAGTGAGACAAAGAATTTCTCCTGTTCAAAATTAAATGATGTGGCTCTTACCAACTTTTCCTGCAGCCTCTGATAGTTTTTGAAAGTGCTGAAGCAGTTCTGGCTCCTCTTGGGCCAGCTCTGTCATGGCCTTCTCCCACTCCTCCCGGGCCTGGGAAGCCATGTCCCCTTCAAACAGACTCTCAAAGAGTTTGCTGTCCTCTAGCGGGGGGGGCTACAGGTGGTGATAGAAGCAAGAACACAGAAACCTTTTTTAATTTCATTTCCGGCTTGTTGTGGTAGTTCTCGTACTTCAAACTTGAAATAATGGATAAAACTATTTTCCTTTCAAGTAAACTTCCCACACATTCTGGATCGAACAAACTAAAGAACAACATGAACATTAACGCGATTCGCTCTGCAACAACCAAACTATATCCAGAGTTCCAAAAAAAAGGAAATAGAAAAGCAAATGAATTATTCAACTGAAGCCTGACAAATCGCCTGATTCCAAAACATCTTGCGACCAGCTGACTGTGAAATATTTTGCAACCTGATGAAAGAACACAAGTGCAATCCAGACAAGAGAGAAAAGCCGACCTTCTCTGAGCTGGCGCTGGCAGAGGAGGAAGCAGTTGCAGGTTCAGGTGCTGGAGGAGCAGACGCTTTGTCGAAGTCGTCCAAAGCACCTGAAGAAAAGAGAGATGACCTTTGACCTGAGCCAGAAAGACATGCATGTCTTGTTGCAATATTCTCCAAAAACCACATTAGTGGGGATAACTAGTTTGGTTCCTCGACTTGACTAATGCAACGAATGGGTCCACTGAATAAGCAAAGTCACCGCACAATTCAACACTGACAAATGTTCCCTTTTGACACGTTTTAGCGACAAAAAGCTACTTTTTTTTTGTGAAGGAGGTGGTTCATATGATGGGATACGAGACAGTCAACAGAGAGTTTAGCTGCCCATCTTTGTGCCAGTGTATTTCCAAACAAGATTTCTGTTTAATAAGAAAAGTGTGTTCCCCTAAATGAATCTGCTTCTCTTCATGTGTTTCTGAATGGTGTCTGTATCCAGTTTCATAACCTAACAACACTGATCGCTACATCTGTATCTTTCAGCAGCACTGTGAAGCTTTGTGTTCACTGGAAGGTGAATCCTCTGAACATTTTCAAATGAAGTTTTCAACTAATGTGAGTTGTAAAGTTACAACACATTGAGCCTAGATACATTTCTTCGGAAAATGTGGCTTCCAGTCCTTTCTAAAGCAGCAAAATACTCACGAACACGTATTTCGAATTAATTTTAAAAGAAAAAAGGTTGAGTTAGAAAGCTTATTTAGTAAGCGTGCATAAACGTTTCTGTCAATGTTCAACAGGAACCGTCATCTTTGCGTTGTAATTATTAATATTTTCTTCTTTTTTTTCAAATTCCAAATGTCACGAGCAGCCTTTCGACTGACGGTCCACGGTCAGCAACGGACGTTGCTTCACCGGAGGTCCCACCGAGCACCTGAACCGCTGACACGGTTAAACAAAGCGACTGACACCGTCAAGTTTAACACCAGAAGAAACCGCAAGACTCTGCCAAAATGTCGCCTCCGGTCAACCGTAGTGCCAGCACTCACTGTCCAACAGTTCGTCCAGTTCGGCGTCGTGTCCACCGGACGAATCCTCTTTTCCTGACGCCATGATGTTCTCCAAACTGCAGCCACCAACCGAAGGTCTCAGAATATTGACGTTTCTGCTGTAAAACTGTCGACGACTCATCTACGTCACGGCCTTCGGTCGAACGGACTCACATGGCGCCATCTGGTGGCCGAAGCCGTGAGGTGTTTCCCTTTTGTCATCTCTACAGAAGTTGATTCATTCTGTTTATTTTTTCGCCAAATGTTAATATATTTCATTTGTACTTTTACGAAAAGTATTTGTTAAATTTACATTTCTTTGCGATTTTTCGAAGTTATGATTATTACAAAAGCTTTTAAAAAATGTATATTTATAAGGATTGTTTGCTCATTATTATATGAAATATGTTCAATTAGATATGACCTATGATTAATCATAAATATGATTTAATATAAAGTATTTTAATGGTGTCTATACTGAACAGAAAAGCCTAGATAGAGGCCTGTAAACTGTCTTATGAGCAGATGGAAATACTAGGAAGTCCAGAAATGATGGTCACTTTACTATTGTTGCCCATTCAGTGAAAGTCTCCTCCTTTCATGTACTTATTCTTTTTCTTCTTACATTACTTTATACTCTTTTCCAACAACTATTTACATAAAAACACAGTATTAAAAAAATTAAATACGAAAAAGCTTTAGTTGATCAGTGCACTCTGTTCCAACAGCATCTGTAGATAAGTGTTCATCCATCCATTTAGATTTTCTAGTGTGATTTCTTTCTGTGAAAACCAGTTTTCTGAAACATTTTTAATGTTTTCCGGTGCTGCTGAAAGGACCTCTATCAGCAGATCTGATTAGTCTGTTGTGATGCATTACCATGGCAACAGGAAAGATGTCATCTGCTAGATACCGGTTAGCTAACTGTTTGCTTAGTGTCAGCTAATGTTGGCTAACTTGGCCCTCTAAATCTGGAATAAGACCTTCAAATCAAGAAAATTTTGAAAATATAAAACAATCTAAACTCATTTCTGATGTGAGGTGAGGGTTTAGGGTGGAGGGGGGTTTCAGGGCCTGTTGAATGGTGAATTGTGTCTCTGTACTGCAGATGTTGAACTGTCAGATTTGGACCTGTCCCTTCTGTGACTGTCTAAGATGCTTGTGCACTCATCCGCTTTGTTGCTAAGTTTCAAAACAACACCCTAGCCAAATTACAGCCACCTCTGAAAAAATCCACCAGATGCTCTCTACTTTTTTAAACCCTGAACATGTTACTCAGTTATTTTCAGATGTTTTGTTTTCTTTAGCAACAGCATCTTTTTGATAATGATTTGTACTCTAATGTTTGTTAGCCATATTCCTTTTTTGGATGCCTGAGAATAAATGAATTATTTATTATTCTCAATAATGAATAATGATAATAAATAAATGAGTAGAAATGTGTCATTTATGCAGGTCACATGTAAAATAATTCTGCGCTGGGCTCTACTTGACAAAGCTCTTTGAGGATCTCCATCAGAAAAAGCCTAGATTTCTGGATGTGATGGACATTTGTTGTTTTGGGATGGACCTGCTCTGTGCTGGACATGGCACAACCAAGTCTTATTGGTCAGTAACCTCTGACATGAATAGACCAGCTCCTGATTCATGCAGATTCTACTGAAATGTGATCATAACTCTGTGAGTCATAGAGTGAAGAGGAATTTGGGAGTATCAATCAATCAATCAATCAATCAATCAATCAATCAATCAATCAATC